AAGAGATGGCGATACGTCCATGACCACCACGCCCAAAGGAGCACGTCCTGGGTTGATATCCAAGAAAGACCGTCCAAGGCCCAGTTTTAGCCAAGAGCTGTTGTATCCAAGAAATCAAAAAACGCCAACAGCAAGCTATGGCCAAATAATATCTTCCAGGTAGTAATTTACGGGCCTTGCGCCTGCTGCCTCGTCTTCCTCCTCTGCATGGCCAGGTTTGAGGCGAAATGAACGCATGGGCCGGGGCACGAAGAAACATTCCAAAGACAAACATTCAAAATCAGAACCAATAATTATTGTTTTCAGAGAAGCGCCGCGTGGCTACGAGAAACCCTACATAAAATCCCCAAACGAAAACGGCCATTCGGTCGGGAATTCGATGGCGAATCGAATATATACTACCTCAATCCCCGCCGATTTCCGATATTCTCCGCCTTCTCCCTCGAACTTGACCGATTCGGAAAGAAATCCATCGCCATTACGATCGTGCATCCTCCACATACATTCAGAAATGCTTGCACAGCACTTCTTTTCATTGCGTGTGCGCGACCGACGCTTCCATGACAACCCTGGGACAGGTGACCAATCAGAGTGCGTTGTCCTAGATTGGACATCTCCCAGACTGGTCATGCTGTGACAAAAAGTAGGGATTTCAGGCGGTTTTTTGTTGTCAACAGTGCATACTGCAATTATGGCTCAAATGAAAGATATGGATGTGATTATCAACCAGCCAAAAAATCAGAGCAATCGGCCAAGGGAAACCAGAGTTATGATCATTTGAATACGGGTGGGTACCCTTCATCGGCAAGTATACAGTTAGGATGGGAAGCACGGCACAAAACGGGTTTCAAGAAGGCCATAGCAACACCCTAGCAACAGCCCAAAGTACTCCAAATCGCACCAAACTTGGACAGCATGATTAGTGGAGCCCACCGGTATAAAATCACTGAATATTTTTTTGAATTTTTAAAAACTGAACAGAAATAACAACAATGGCGTCCATAGCAACGACCTTAGCAACAGGCTTAGAATCTATGAAACTGCTGCTCATTGTATCAAAATTCACCTGTTGGATAAATGTACATACTGATATGGCATAGCATACATGTACGCGTGCGCGCACACACACACACACACACACACACACACACACACACACACACACACACACACACATACTACTACTATAGCATGACTGCCCCATAGGGCCACGTCACTCCCTTGTGACAGGGAGCCAGAGTCAGGGTAAGAGAGTCCATGCTGGCGAGCCACATGCCGGTTGACATCTCGTTTTAGCCGAGAACGTTTAAAGCAACCAGAGGAGAGGAGGAGAGTCAATGCTAAAGGCCGATGTGTCAGGTTCGGGGCGTGGAACACACAACAGATTTCTGCAGTTTCCCTTTTTCTTGCTAATTCTTCTTCCAGATCAATGATTTTCTTTGACAGGCTTTCAACAGAATTTTTTTCAAATTTACTGGCATTTTCTTTTTGAATGTCACACGATTCAGTACCGACATTATGTGCTGGGATGACATCCAGTTCAGGCAGAACGAACGGCTGACAAAGCAGTTCGCTGATGGCGTCCTCGGCTTTGTCCTTCAGCAGCTTCTTCCGTCGGTATCTCACCCGCTTGACTTTCGTCCCAACTGCTTTCGCGTTCACTTTGTCTATTTCCTTGCCATCCACTGCTGACAACAGCAAAATCAGCGACTGCCAATTTATTTGCGTGTTTGTAGTCCACGACAGAAGTTCAAGGACGAGGCTGTTCGTCAGCTGGCCAGGACTATCCACTGCTACCCGCCCTGATGGCGAGTCAAGACGGAGCGCATTGCAACTGTTTACGCGTCAGAGACAGCTTCTTGCACAGAGGGCCAATCCAAGACTCGTCTTTCTCGCACGCCATGGCGTTCTACTAAATTTCGCGAACAACCGCGACTCGTCAGCAAGATACAAGGAACTGATCTAAACTAAATCGAGGGTGCAGAATCCGATTATCGATGTTGCGAGTGTGTGCAATGCTTGCATCATATCGAAAATCGACTTTGAAATCATTGAAAGACGCACGAATCCAGTCTTTTTTACGCCATTTCACCGAGATTGGTACCAAATGAAAGCTCAAAACCTCTACTCTCATGTAAACCCGTTCGATTTTGTCTCCAAGCGTCACTGCATCATCCAGTGACAGTTGAACGCCTCCGCAAAAATTGTGCCATGCGCAGATCCCCAAATCAATGCAGCTGCATGAAGGCTCTTTCGGGCCAAAAAGTCACGTGACTGAAATCCCTACAAAAAGGCTTGGAAGTGTCAACGTTATTGCGTAGCCAGCCTGGATTCAAGACAATGCTAACGTTTGGGTCCACCTGGATCCATTCTTGCCATTCTTTGAGGACTCATACATGTTTTTTTAAGCAGTTTTCTTCACAGTTGGGCGGCATATCCGTGAGAAATGACTATCCTGAACCACAAGCATGCTTACCTTGGCACAGGAGAGGAGTCATTGGCACACTGCTGATCAGTGGGGTTGAACAATAGAGGATGTTTGCACAGGCACTGCGCCTCAACAGTGGCACCTGATAGCGACACTGCACCACTGGCTAGAGTGCTGATATTGCTGACTGACATTGGAAATGTAAACAAGAGGACATCTTGCAAGCTGGAAATGATTGCCACTGCACTTCCACCCATTCCAAATTGCGTGTCGGCAATCAGAGGAAAGTAGTATGATGCATTTGTTAGTGTTCCCGAGTCCGAGTCCTGCAGTTTGTTTCCCACATACAGTGACACAAGTGATGTGGCTGAATCATGTACGACGGCCACAAACACCCAGCCATCGTTTAGCTGCGTTGCATTGAGCTGTGTGCTGAGGGCTACATACTGGCTTGGATCATCATCGGCTGAGAACATGTACTGCAAGCTAGCTATGTCGGGTGTGTTCGCAGGTGCTGCTCCAATGCGTAGGTCACTTGTGACAGGCGATGTGGATTGCCAAACAGTATCACCACTGCATGCACAAAGGCAAGAAAATTAACAAGAAGCACTTTTAAAGGTAGTAAGATAATTCCGTGCAGGTAAGTAGCATCATTTCAATAACACATCCAATGTCTGTTCACTGCGCCGGGCTACTTTTTGCCATCACAGAGTATGTGCAGAATCACTAGTCACCAACCGCCACAGAGGCATCGTTTGCACAGTCACGACACCAGCCAGTACAGAGGTTGGCTACACAATCGTTCCCCATGAAGAGTACATGATTGTACATGTAGTTGCAGGCAGACTTTGCGTGTACAGTGTGATTGCACTTTCGCCACTGTACCTATGGGATATACCATACATGTTATGCGTTGTATGACTTACTCTGGAGTAACTGAGCTGTTCAAATGTATCCAGGCGGTGACGGTGAACCCATCGGTAAAATCTGCAGTGCCCAGTGGGATTGTGGAGGTGATTTCTGCACTGTCGATCCCCACTGAGGGTAGTAGTGATCCTGGCCGACGACTGACTTGTAAAGCACTTTCCTGAACAATCCAGGGAACACAGAGCACACCGCAGTAAGGGTAGGTATGAGTCAAGGCCAAGGAACTGGCCTGTATTTTCTCTCCTGAAATATACAGTTACCATGGTTTCCAGAGTGTAAGACACACCCAGATTTTTTGTCACGAAATATTGACATCTACTCCATTTACCACCATTAACTTGACCATCGTAGTAATAGGGGATTCACACACACACGGGTAAAACCACGGTTATGGGAAAGTTGTTATGGAAACTATGGTACTAGGGGAAAGGAAGAACCTCTCGGGAAAAATTGGCAAAGCCGTGGCCGTGGGCCTCAGGACGTTTGTCAAGGGAAAAATCCCATGGCGATAAGACGCGCATGCGTAGATCTTGTCTTTGGCAAGAACTCTGAACCCCAGTTGTACGAGTGCATCGCAACCTGCATTTTCAGACAGTGGCCATCGGAAAATCGTGCATGGCGAATGCAAGATACAGTATAGAATGTACTACAAAAATGCAGAACAGATTATTTTTTTAATTGCCCAGCCACAAGTTCATGGCCAAACATGCGGCCAAGGGAAAACTGACCGGCACGGGTGTGAACGGCCCCACTCCGTTGACCGAAGGTCTAAACTTTTACCTTGTCCCGTGACCTCAGGTTTCCCCGTGAGTGTGAATCCCCTATTAGCCACACCAATATTTTTTGGGATGAATGATTGGTGTCTAAAGTGCCGGCTTACACTCCGAAAAATACGGTAATTGTACCACTGAACCCGTCTAAACATGTCGGTAAGTACATGTAGATGTCGTGTTGGTGGAACACAAACTAGCACACGAAGCACAGAAGCCACTGGAAATTCCAATGAGGCCATTTGCACCACTACACTTCATGATCACGTTGGTGATATGAGCAGCAACAAACAAGCCCTTATAATCTAGCTTTCGAAGTACAGCAAAACCTGGTGTAAGCGATCTCTGTGTTTAGCGACCACCTGCTCTTGACGACCGTCTTTCCATGCACCGACAGTTCTACATAGACACTGTGGGACCTGGTTTTAAAGACCACCTGGCTTTAACGACTGCTTTTGCTTGCACCGTGGGGTGGCACCGTGGGGCGTGGGGTGGTCGCTTAAATCAGGTTTACTGTAGTTTCATCATGCAGTTGGCACCACTCGCTCTGTTAGGTGCCATTTAGTCACTGCTTTGACCGCCTAAAAGCTAGATAAGGACGGGTTCACTACTGCACATATCACCAAGGTACCGGTTTTCAAGTGTGATGGTGCAACAGGTCTTCCAGGAACTTCCTGTGACTTCTGTGCTTTTGAGGCCTGGCACGAGGAAAACATGGATGTGGCAAATGGGTTTTTGGCCTTTGGCCTCTGGTTGGAGGATCTGATCTATCCTCCCCCGCCGTTTAGGAGCCGCATCTGACGCTTGATCATTTCGCGGTGGCACTGATCCCACTGAAGCGGAATGGGCAGTTCTTGGTCCGTCCTGTACGCGAACTCATGCAATTTTATTCTGTGCTCAGGTTGCTCATCTGCCACTAAGTCAAGGCATGTATCACAGGTGACCAGCATAAACCCTGGCTGGCACCGTCAAACTTCACTACACACTAACACTGTAGCAGTACAGCTGGTCCAGGCAGACATTGATGTTGCATTGCCTTTGCTCTTTCTGCAGATAGAACTGGGTGCATGCAGCTATGCCTATTTTTAGCAATCTATTCCAGTGGAAGTGGATCAGCAGTGGCAACCATCTGCAGTGCCTTGACCACTGTGAATACACACTGCTGGCCAAGCACTGAGTGTGCTGCTCTGCCACAGAGATAGGAAGTAATCACGGACACGTCCTTCCTGAAACCGCCGAGCGTGCCATGCCGCGCAGTGCATACAGTCACAAACAGACACTGAACCACGCTGCTCCTCTACGAAGTATTAGCTCCTCACGGAGGAGAGCAGATTTATACACACTGACTGTATGACTTTTACTACTTTTTTGTCCCTCAACTCGAGTACTACTACTACTAGTACTACTAGTACACTAGGAGTAGTATAGTCTGTCAGTGCACGGAAACCACATTACTGCTCAGCCTCGGGACACACGTGTCCTGCATATTCTGATTTCAGCGAATGCTTGGCTACTACTAACTTATAGCACCGGTCTATCGCAAAATGAATTACCGTTGATCCGAGTCCCGAGAGTTGCAGCAAATCCAGATACTCGGCTCCCCCAAGACACTGTTGCCGGCATACAGCTTCTCCGCACAAACCATCCGGATTGGTGGCATTGCCAGTGCCGCACGTACTGCTAGCTGTAATGCTCTGGCTAAAGTCCACTTGTTCGTATGTTTGTGCCAGTCCCAGCGGCAAGAAGAAACAACACAAAACAGCGAGCAACACGACTGCTGCCTCGCCGGAGCACCGTGTGAGAACACTGCGCCATGTCGGGCGGGCTGATACGTCCCGGTTGCCGAGCAACCCAAGCGGCGGCAGCATCGGTAGACTGCACTCTGCAGGCTGGCAAACCTCAGCCTAGCCAAGTCCTGAGCGCGAGCGTGCCTTGAAATAGAACATGTGAACCTCCCCGCTATTCCGATAACTACCTCACCTAAAAACAGATTCTCGCAAACCACTCTTCTCTGACCTTATAAAGGCTATCAAAGACACGTCTCCACCTCTGGAAGAAATGCAGTGCTAGCGAGGAAACTATTCTGTTGTCGGCAGAATTACTTTTACAGCCAATGAGAACTGAAAAACGCGCAAACAACAGAGAAGGAAAAGATTTTTGGAAATCAGTGCTGTTTCACTTGCCCCCTCCTACAAATATTGACCGCACAATGGGCAAGTTATCGACCTGACAGTCTAGAAGGCTCTCAGTCATTGTATGCTTCACCTACCCTGCCCGTGGCCATAGCCTAGGCATAGGGCAGAGGCAGTCGTCATTCTTCCACTTGGCGGATTGACGCTTGACACATGGATACATGGGCATAGTGTAGACCAGGTAGACTAGAGTCGACTCTAGCGGGCAGTCACTCAGTCAGTGAATTATGTGTGCAGTGGACAATCGGGTGAGTAGTAGATCTACGCTGTAGTGTAGGTCTACAAGTACAAGTCATACATGACTACTGACCCTGTGACTCAGTGTGAGAGTCTGTGTGGAATCTACTGGTAGTCTACCCAGGCAGTGGTCATTGTCATTGGTGGTATGCGCAGATCTACGACTGGACGAGACGACTGACACCATACTCCATAGACACTGACTCTTCATTTCTTACTTACCTGTGACTGTGTTGGCTGCACTGATATGTTGTAGGGATTGCATGCTAGATCTACTGAGTCTGTAGTGTAGTCCTGCCTTCGTGGTGGGCACGACCTATCCGCGACGGCACGAGGGATGGGCCTAATGACGTAGATATGACACATGTCATGACTTGCGTGGATACTACTACAGTACTAGCATGAACTGTCTGTACACTGTACGGTATTTGAATTTTGAAGTGTTGATTTTATCACTGCATTACGCTTCCACTTCCAATGATAATTTATGAAAGTACAATGTAGCGGCAATGGTGATTTAAAAATGTGCAGGCCGCAGAACCTTCACGTACACACGTGGAAAACAAACAAAAAGCCCAATCGTGATAAGTTACATCAACTATGATGTACAAGTACATGCAGTTGCTACTCTGAGACTTAGGGTTGCAATCTAATCCGGAAAGCAGTTTGTGTCTTCAAGCATGCAGGTACATGTAAACTCGTACATGTAGATCTACCTGAGAGGAATCAAAAGCGTTTCTGCTGTAACTCTGAGTTTCACGGTTTTAACCGATCATTTTTTTTACAATGATCACAGCTCACAGGCAAAGACAAGAAATTGCATAGTACATAGTGGGAGCATAGTGATGGTGAGGCTTTTTGCCCTCAGCCGACCTGAGGTCTCGACGTCATGGGGACATAAAACGCACAAAAAAAAGAAGAAAAATGAAAAGAGTGACACTGAGGTACATGATCCGAAATGTTAGGAGGAGAGACAGTACATTAGAAGGAGGGGAATGATAAGACAGACAGTGCTAGGAGGAGAAGGAGAGAAAAGAAGAACAGACGTTATTGGGAATAGTATGTGGAGCGGAATTTGGAAGTCATCATCAGACAGCGCTGCCGTGAAACGCAGAGTTACAGCAGAAACGCTTTTGATTCCTTTCAAGTGTGTGTACTAGGCTCTTCACCTTGGTGTATGGAGCACTGTCACGAGCAACCACAACTCCCTCCGAGTTTGTAAACTCATGCATGTAGCTAGATTTAGTACCAACATGAGAGGAAAGAAGGAACACTTCGGGCAGCCGCACCTTTGGCTGTTCTGTGTTCCTTTCACCTGGAGAGTTCAGTGTTCAGAAAGCAGCTCAGGATATACAATGCCATGTAGAGTGAGCTAAGATCATACCGGGATTTCCTACTTCTAACGCTACTGCTGCAGTCTGTATCCTCAGTGCAGGTTGCTGGCAGTCACTGCTTCACAAGGATGAGCAGTGGACCCAGGGCTGCACAATTAGCTGGCTACGTGCAGATTCCACATGTGCAAACACTAAACATCATTGTGATACGGAAACACATTGCCACTAGCTACTTGGCAATGCATAAATGCAAGTTACTCAACACACTAATTCACACAGTCTGACGAAGAGAAGAACATGTGACCATTACACATGTACATGTAGTCATGTGTAGCAGTACACATCTTCCACGATTTTGTGAATACCGGTAATCTCACTAGGCCACTGTGAGCCACTCCGAGTCATGATCACTGAAGGACACTAACAATGGTAACTTTCTGGGTGTGAGCCGCGACATGTTTGCCCCAGTTTTGGGCACAGCATAATCGTGCATAATCGTGTGGCCAGGGCTGCAACGTACCTGCCACGATCTGTGCACAATATGCAACGTCACTGCTACTACTGTTAATGTTACTGCGTATCACAGCCTCCTCCGGCTCGTTCGCATCCACGCAGTCTTTGACATTGCTAGCCTTGATCGGCTGTGACTCATAGATGAACAGAAAGCGGTACCGATAGAAATGTGGTACGTGCTTGTAGCCTTGACACTTCAGCACGGGGGCTGTCAGTTGACGTGTGAAATCCTACCCTTCGACTCTTGACATTCAGCTCATATTTGGCAAACTGTCAATTCACCGCGGCTAGAGGGTCGAGACTCGAGACCCACCACGAGCTACGGTCGGTGCGCATCGTACGAAGTTACGTAGAGTCGTGGCTGAGCGATAATCAGTTATCTACATGTACATGCAGCAGAGTACAGTCATGTACGTGTACGTAGTAGATCTACACCATGAAGCATTGGCGCATGGCGCAGATGAAAATTCGAAAGAGAACCTCCCTAGAAACCTTCACGTAGCGACCTGTGACAAGATTACATAAACCACAGAGGACGAAACAGTTCTGTCCGCAGATTGAGCATAAACAGTTTATGTATTCTTGCTGGTGATGTACATGTACCCATGGCCGCCGGTAACGTAACGTCGTTATACAGGTACTACGGTGGATCATGGATGAGAATGAGATTGCGTCAATCATAATGATCATGAGCATACACTGGTTGATACCAATACTGGCAATAGCAAGAATACGAGAAGCCCTACATGTACATGTACAATACTCAATAGAGGGAATTCCCAGATTGCCTAGATTGTTCAACACCACAACTGGGATGGAGCAATACCACAAGGATGGAGCAATAGCACAATGATGGAGCAATAGCACAACGGCAGAAGAGAACAGAGACAACCGGCTAGATCATGCACATAGCAAAGCTAAGGCAATCCTCAGACAACTGAGTCAGTTGTCTGAGGATTGGCTTTGATACGTGCATGAAACGCAGCGTTACAACAATGATCTAGCCGGTTGCCTTTGTTCTCTTCTGCCTTTGTGTACAAAGTCATGTAGAATAATGATGTACATGTACCATTGTGTACGGTTGTGTACGGTGAGCCTCTTTGCAGTATTGCCAAGTACATGTACACTGTAAATCAGCCCCACGTGATGTGCTCTTGCTCTTACTGATCAACAGTATTATTAGAACAAGTGATACCGCGATTGTACCACAGTACAAAAATAAATGATAATAATATAAAATTAATGGTTATGACTTTACTGTTGGCGATACAGTACTGATAGCACCAGCTTTTGCAATGTCCTGCCTCAATAGACTCCATATGCCCTCATTCATCATTGATACATGGTTAATGGTTGTGACTTGTCGACCTTTTTCATTATCGTGTTTCATTCAGAGTTGTGTGGTTTTAAATGCGTGTTGAGCGTTTCCCGTGAAAGAGGCGCCTGTGACTTGTGATACCAAGAGTACATAAAAAATACTCTTGCCGTCTTGTTGATACATGCACTGTAGTACTGTGATAGGAGGAGGATTAGGTGCTCAGCAGCAGTGATGACGCCCACGATTACTGGTATCTGCCTTGCCACTCACGTCACATGCTGTCACGTGTCTGCAGACATCTGCCAGACTGTACTTTACTGTCCATGTCAATTCCAGACGTTGCGGTATGGAGTGCGTGCAGTATCCTTGTGCACTGCATGCAGGCAGGGGACTACTATAATAGGAGTAAGGTCAGTTAGGGGTGCTGTCGGTTCCTTGTGAAGAGAAGAGGGTGACCTGTTGCACTAATCGCAATGCTGCAATGACAAGTAGTACCAAGAGTGCCATGCATAAAGCAAGCACTGTGGACTCTTTGTATTGCCAGCAACAAGAGTATTCACGTACCTGTACATGATGTACAACCCGCTTGCATACAGTAACGGTCTACAGCAGTGCATGATTCAGGTCAGATGCCCTGGTGTCCGCCTGTGGCCACAAAGTTATTTGCAGTCACTACAATGCAGAGCATCCGTACACAGTGCAATTGCTCTTACCCAACCCATCACAGTTGAATAGACGTCACGCAGATCAGCAAAGGAGGAGTTACAGGTAACGGTTAAATCCTCAGGGCGCAATTTCTGTTCAACTAATACTTGGCGGGGATGTCCTCGTCGAAGGGTATCGCTGCCCCGTTGACATGTACAATTGTACTTTGTTGTTTACTCTGGAGATAGACTACATCACTGCTGCAAGCAGATGCACGCTCACAATCCAGTGCGTTCCCAACGGGATTGGCTAGGACGTCACCAGAAGAACAGAAGAACAGAAGAACAGTAGCCAGGTACTGTCGTTACTGTCGTGACGGTGGAGTGTAGACCAGCCTTGCTCGATGTAATGCGAACAGTGCTTACATGTACTTCAGTATATCCTTTATTGCTGAACCCACAAATTGTGATACAGATTGTAAAGAACCGTTCAAGGTACATGTAAAAGAAAAAGCCATTAATGAAAAAAGAAGAAAAGGTTATTGTACCATCATACCATGCCAGCCGGCACAGAACAAAAAAAGATTAATTGCAAGGAAAGACCATTCTCAAACGGAGAAGTTCGGAATTCCAGTCAGAGAATATCTATGCTGTGAGTAACGAGCGTTTAGAGCAATACGGAAATTGACAGAGGACTGAACGCAGCTAATGTTTCCTGGAAGTTTGTTCCATTCCACAGACAATTTCCAGAGAGGGGATTTCAGGAAATGGGCGCAAGAACACGGTAAAACTATAGAGGAGGGGTGACGACAACTAAGAGATACATTGAATTTGAAATGGATTAATAAAGACGGAAACTGGTAAATGACATGAAGAAAATATAGCAAGGACAGAATCTGACGATGCCACTTCAGGGATGACGAATCACAAGTCAGCCATACCCATATGAGCTGTTGCGTTCGCAAAAAGATAAGCGTCTCTTGTGCCGGCCGCCAGCATTGGCAACACAGTACAGTGCAGTACAAGTCTGCTGACCGATAGCTTCTCGAAGAGAGAATGCGTGACGACAGTGAACTGGAATGTTACCCTACACATTGGAATTTTACTGCAACCTTTACGGGACGGAGAGATGACCTTTGCCAGACCAGCAGTTCCTTTCTGTAGCTGCATGGTGTCAATGCCCACTGGTCTGTAAACAATCATGAACTATCATAATCTCATTCTATCCGGCCATATTTATATTGTTTCTGCTGGCTTTTTACCTCCAATGTTTCTTCACATTCTGCATCACAATTAAATCATGAACCATCTTTGCACACTGTAGATCGAAATACGAGTATTTGCGACGCGTGCGTGCAACCTCTGTGCATGGGTGTACGTGTATTCCCAAGTGACGGGTGAGGTGGCACATTTCTCCATGGGCATGCTAGAGCAATTCTGCAACCAGTGAGTTCTCTGCACCCACTAGCGTGTCAGGGTCAGGGTACGTGTTAGCGCTCTGCGAACAGTAGCATGTGGCTGTCACACGGAGGGGATTAGCAGCCATACTAACTGATAAACCTCAACTGTTTATCCCCGGTAAATGGGAAATTGCGAGCATCCATGATCATAAAGTGTGATTTGTACGATTGTTGTACGAGGTGATTCAATACGGCGTGTAGGACGCCGCAGAATCTTCGCTTTCACTCACGTTTCAGTTCAGGACTCAACGTGTTGACAATGGAGTGTGTCTGACATGGCTTCTTTAGCTTTCAGTTTCATGACGGTTCTCCTTACTACTGTAACTGCCAGTACAATGGTGTACTGGCACACGCGTTTGCCTCTTCAGTCACCATGTTCACTGCTCAGCCGTGTGCCACACGTACCCTAACCAGCCTGCCAGTCTTGTGCCACACGTGTGTTCAGTAACCAGTAAGCCAAAACAGACCGTTCGTGCAACAATTTTACTTTCCGTGTTCTATCAACCATCTGTACGCCAAGACACGTACCGATAGAGGCACCTCCGTCATGACGTCATGACCGATACGCGTGTCAACTCCTTTTCATTCGCCTTCAGCGCTCTTTACCACACCAGCCAGCTGTCATGTCAAAGACTACACTAGGAGAACGTAAAAAGGCCCTGAACGCTGAAAGCTGGAAGTGGTGAAAGCCGCGAAACGCAATCATGACGATGACTACCTGAAGGGCGACATGACTGTTTGGGTGTACGCATAGCATGCATACCGTGGAGACCTGACACCATGCAGCGTGTAACAGATGTACCGGCCCGTCAGCATGTCGCTGATATGGGGGCGTGGTTCATGCCTAACGGACAGACATACCAGGGAAACAAAAACAACCCCATCCTTCCCGGGCTCCTTTTTTCTAGCCCGACTTTTACCCTTTCCCTCTTTTTCAGCTAACTGCCAATGCGACGAGGGCTCCGACAATGGCTCGACACAAAAGGAGCAGGGCGCTTTACCGGCTTGCGGTAAGTCGTAGATCTACGTTGCCTTGAGACAGCATGTGCCTGAACACACGTCACGTGTACGTTCATTGCTAGCTGCTACTGTAGACAGTGTTGAACTGATCAACTCTTTTCTAGCTGAACGTCGTTCGCTAGGAATGAAGGTACGTGTACTGGGACTAAAAGAGTTGTGGTAGTTAGAAAGGCGTGCTCGATACACCTGAAACTCGGAGTCACAGCTGGAGAGTTGATAGTTCCTCCCAGTATGTGATGTGTACATTGACTGATATGCACTGTATCCACATTATGTAACGGGCACAATGTCGATACTCGGTAGGTTGAGGGAACACGAACAGGAGACAAATCGTGCGCAACTGAGAAGCCGAACTGGCAGGCGAACACCACAGCTCCAGCAGGCCTGAAGAATGCAGTATACATTGATCTCGGCCAGGGGAATCGCCCATCAGATAGCCTGCAACGCCGTTTCTAGCCGGCCAGAGCGTTGCTTTGAAGTCCATGCTCAGTGCTTGGCAAGACGTATGCACGCTACATAGCGCGCACTGGGCCTCGACCGGTGCTAGCAACCGGCTGTAACGGCCTCTCCACGGCCTTCTTCAGCAGAGCATGTGCTGTTGGCTGAGATGGCCGTGCAGAATGGCAGGCTGACGGTGCTGCTGCACGTGTCGCCTGATTAGCTGCCTGTACCAAGCGCCATGCCCGACATTGATGGTGTCTGTAGCCAGCCATTGCTACCCGCATGGGTCGTACAGTTGAGAGATCATTTGCTTGCAGGGGTTGGTTAAATCATGCAAATAGTCCATAGCGAATGTCAGGTAATAGTCTGCCTGCCCAGTCTCGACTCTGACATCTCTGTGTACCTCCACGTTATGTCGTTATTCGTACACATGCAACATCGATACTAATAATACCGATAGTGATAGTAATACGTGATCGAGTAAGGCCAGGAACGTAGCTTTACTGTAACACTCAGCGACTGTCAGTACTCACTCGTCGTCGGAAGCCCTGAATGAACTGCTTACAACTGTCCCACAGGTGAAGGTTCGATGCTGAATACTAGCGCCAGTCCCCAGTCTCACACAAAGATTGCCCGACCTTTTGGGCTGCGATATCTGATGCGATAACAGACCAAACTTGGCAAGGGAGGCCTGCAAGCGCTGGTGCCAGAGTTGGGAGGACCAGAGAACCTGAGAATCAACGAGTCGACGCATATGCAGAGTAGTGCCATTGCCAGCAACCGACGTAGATCTATTGAAGTGTGTCGTCACACTCGCTAGATCTCAGACCAGACAACGACGACCAACGCACGCAGATCTAGTGTGAGTGCATTCCCTTGCACTGCTTAGGTTGCGTTGCCTTGCTGGTCGTAGTAGACCTATGAGCCAGCCACAGATACAGTCCTGAACGGTGAGCGGGAATAACTGGAGAGTGTGGTTCATTGCGTCGGCTGCACGCGGGCCGTCGATGTTGGTTTCACTTTTACAACCTGTGAACCTTGTAGTATTACCATCAGTAGAATCGAGAAGTGTGCAGGCTTGCGTTCCTTCACCTTAGACTTCGTGTTCCGAGTGCACTGAAAGCGGACCCGTGAAAGACAAGTAGTGCTGCTGTCGGCAGTAAGGTTGCTGACCTGGATCTTGCCATCTTCATGGCCGCTCGACAACGGTCCATGTTTGTGACAGAGGTTGACCGCTGTGGTTTCTGACCTGACCAACATACTTACCAGGACGGGGGCACGGAAGAAGTGCGGCCAGTGCTCAACGCCGTCCATTGGCAGCTGCTTCGGTTCAACTGCAGAGACGGATCCAGTAGCAGTGGAGGCCTGGTGTGTGTGGTGGTGGACCTCGATACGAGGCTCCGGCAAGGTCGAAGTGATCGCGCCCGCCAAATGGCAAGGTGTTGCAACACACTGATACTCTGTGTCGTCGTACTGTTGTCACCAGCATGCCTGTTCACTGAAGGTAAGCTGAACATCATTGCCAATATCTTCCGTTTGTCAATAGCGATCGATTATTGAGATGAATCGTGTCTCCTGGCATTCCTAAACAACAAAAAAATGGCTCAACAATAGCTGCGTCCACACAGTTTCAAGCGAGCACACTTCCCCTAAACGTTTTAAAATTACCTCTACTCGGTACGGATGCGAAAGCAATCACTTTCTTCACCAGCGTATCGCTACATGTAAGTTCAACGACCTTGTTCAACGGTTTGTGCTTAGGTGAGTAGAATGCCCTCTGCACATGCCTGCGTGCTGAGTGCCAACCATGTACATGACCAATCAGGGTACATTTTGCTCGCCTGCCTTCTTATAGCAGTTGTTATTATTCACCCTAGTAGTAGCTGGAGTGGAGGGTAGGTTTGATGTCGTGCAGTTTTCCACATGGGAACAGGATGTCAGCGTGATGAGGGGGTGTTCAAAAGAATGCTTGACCCTCCCTACATGGCTATATTTGGTTCTCACTAACAGTTTTGTGCACAATACATATCACACACGGAGCAAAGGTGTTTTTACCCAATCAAAATCATAACTAAAAATAGGCTTTCTTTTCGCACCATACCGAACATGGGGTGTTCTCACTCTGCCCCAGTAAGACCTTTGATGCGTTGGCAATCTTAAACCACTTAAAACAGGATGTTTGAGCTCACAATTGCCATGCCTCGTAGATACCTTTCACTGTAAGAAATGTTTTGGGGTCAGCATCCAACATTCAATGTAAGCATGGAGCTTAGGTGTATTTCTCCGAATATTATTAGGAGATTTTCCACGTAAGCATCAAAGCAATGTAAAGTCATCATTACTTCTCCTGTTCCCGTGTGCATGCTTATGTAGCATTAGTGCCGTCGATACGCATGGTCTCGCCACCTCACCTCTACAGCGAGCCGACATCGACCGTGGTGCTGCACTGCGCGTACAACGCCTCTGACTCGGCGGTCATCGTCACCTGGAGTCACAACAACAGTGTGGTGGCATCCAATCACTTCACGGTGCGCACCACCGAGGTTCACACTGAGCTCACCCTTCAGCAGCTGTCGTGGAAGGACAGCGGCCTGTACGCGTGCTCAGTGACCGGACGCACGGGTAGAAGCACGGCCATAACAAGGCTCGAGGTCGTATGTAAGTCCTTCATTGTCACAGGAACTTTGAACACATGGGCATGGCTAAACTGCTTTTGTAAGTCTGCTGGCGGACTGATGCTGTAATGTTCGAAGAATACTGAGGCACAAGTTCATATCCAATGGCATCTGATTGCCCAATTCATAGGACACACTGTCCGAAAGTTCACCCTCTACCCGAAACCTGATCCAGAAAGAGTCTTTTTAGATTTTGACGGAAACGTAAGTATTATACCGTATATATCTGGCACATGTGTGGTAAATCATGTCCGAGTACGTCTATGAAAAAAGATTCCGCATTCCACAGCTGTTTGGCGCCTGGAGCAAAAGTGTCCGGTTTGGAGAGAAAATTGATCGTCCGCACTGCATGCCTAGCCAATGGAGCATGCCTGTCCAACATTCCAATGCTGTGGCCTGAGGAATATTTTCGGGGGCTGAAAACAGGGAGTCTGCCCCAGAAGCACAACTGGCAGAAAAGCAGCTCATCGGGAGGATCTGGCAATGACGCAGGCGGAAATTCCTCAATTCACAGCACTTGCGTATCTGCAAATAGTGGCATCAAGTAGCAATGGTGATAGATGATGCACTGCGAGTGCAGTCCATCCGGAGTGTTTTGAGCGCTGGTGTTCAGGGAATGCTCCCACACCTGTGTGCATTTCCTGAGGGAATTATGCTGAGTTGCGTAGGAGCTGTATATGGAATGACACCACTGGCAATCCTACAACCCACCAGCAGAACACCAGGCATTGTGGGGAGCATCCAGTTTCAAGAAAAGACAACACGAGCCGGCAACGCAACTCAAACTACACCTCACACCCACACCAACTCAAAATAACTCATGCATACTTAGTGGCTACTGTAGAACGGGTAATTTTAGCGACTATCAATTTTTAGCGTTTTCCCATTGTCAACCGGTTAGCGACGTTTTATTTTAGCGATTTGCAGCGATTTTACTCACGGATCACCAGTGCACTACTAATGTCTCAACGGATTAGCGACTTGAAACTTTAGCGAAAAGGAGTCGATCGGTAAATTCGCTAGGGTTTTTACGTTGCTAAAATTACCCGTTCTACAGAATGTCAAAAAAGGCCAGTTACATGCCACACTGCGCCAGAGCTAGAGCAGAGTGCAAACACCATGCAGGAGGATTGCCAGACTGAATGATGGCTTGTCACACAGAAACCTGCACTGCATGCAACTTACACCATTCTGGTTTCCAGATGTGTGAATGAAATTGATCTTGTTTCTCAGTACGGATTAAAGACACATCCATGTAGCCAGTCAAAGGGCACAGAGAGCAATGTAGGGTGATGTGTTAGATTATGATGGGAAGCAGCATAGCAAGGAGTAGGTGCATGATCAGATTCATCGAGCATTGTGCATCCTTCTCCTCTGTGATTACGTCATGTGTGTGTGTGTGTGTGTGTGTGTGTGCGTGCACGCGTGTGTATATGTGTGTGTTTGTGTGTGTTTGTGTGTGTATGTGTGTGTGTGTGTGTGTGTTTATATGTGTGTGTATGTATATGTGTGTGTGTGTGTGCCGGTGTGTGTGTGTGTGTCTGTGCATGTGTGTGTGTGTGTGTGTGTGTGTGTGTTTGTGTGTGTATGCACGTTTACCACAGCCCGGGAAGTTGATCTATCAGCGGGAGCAGCTGGAGAGACAGCTGGAGACCAGCCTGCACTGATCATACCGGACCCAGACCTGGACGTGCTCACACACAATAACCGAGAGCGACACCAGAAGGATCATCCTTTCTGGACAGGATATCGGGGTACAGACGTGGCGGCGAGACCCCCTGCGGGTCCCGCTAATCAGAAGGGCAAGGGTGAAGGTGTGCACAAGGCAGCCTGGTTCATCGTGACACTGTGTATTGCTCTCGTCGTGTGTTCAGCTATCGCCATCATGCTTTGTGCTGCTCGGCGTAGGGCTAGAGGTGAGGTATCCACTTGGCACATCATTATATTATTATAGCTGCATGTGCTCTTGACCTTAGTTATTAACACCAAGGTTGCCTGTCGTGGTATCACTTCATGTTCGGACGAATCTCTGCCATTTCTACCGTGATGAATGGTAGTATTGCTCTCCGCAATGGCTATGCATGAGCGAATGCTGTCCGTATCATTTTCTGCAGCGCGGAGAATCGCTAAAGCAAACAAAGCTCTCAAAGCACAAGAGTAAGTCAATCTGGAGGGTTTGGTATTGTGGTATATCAATCGTGTCATGTGCATGCCGACATTCTCATGAATTCAACTCCACTGTACATGTACTGGCCATGGCTGGACCCTGTATCTTGTAGATAGCTTCGTCCCAGGGCTGAGGCTGCAATGCAAAGCGGTACAGCTACCCTTTTTGCACTGTAAAAGTAGAAATCGTAGCCACAAACTGATTGAAGAAGCATGACTTAATTGTGATTGATGTACATGCATATGCCGTTCGGGCTTGGTTTAAATCTGGCTTTGGAAAATTAATTTTCATTGCTATCAGGTCCGGCCTCATTTTCTCTGTGCTGCGCTGATCAGTCCACACAGGACAAAGCAGTTCCGTCCGCAGATTGACATACTACGAGAGAAATAATCTGAACACCACATGTGTCCAAGCTGATCCTTCTGGGGTTTTGTTCGTTCTTTCCCTGCACAGGGAGGGCGAGGAGGGGCTGAAAGAAGAATCACAAGTGGCACCAGCGACGAATGGCGACAGCACTTTACAGGCTGCAAGTGACGTAGAGGCCAAGGCAAAGAAGTATGGATTTGACTACAGCAAACCGCAAGCCGTGCAAACCCTGTCCCACAGTCCCCAGAACTCACCGCGGCAATCGTTCCGCGCCGCCAAGTCAGAGTCCACCATACCACAGCTGCTGACACAGAAGAAGGAGAGATCGTCCTCAGTCACGCCGTCGCCAACGGAGAAACCAGCAGAGTCGTTCATGCTCACCACCTCGCTGAGCGACGTAGCAGCTCTGTCCAAGGATGCCGCAAGGAAGTCCAAGCACCGAAACAAGCCGGCTCAAAATGGAGAGGCTGCCGACCTGCAGCATTCGCCGTTGGCATCTGCTGCCCAGCGATCTGCTAGTGTGTCTGATATCAAGGACACGAGCGAGACAAATCTCACGGAACCGCATTCGAAGCAGTCTTCCCGCTTGCGTCTGACAATCAGTGAAATGACCAAAGGAGCATTCAAGAGTCTCAGAAAACCGCACAAAGACAGCAAGGGAGCAAAGAAATTGAACGATGAAACTTCAACACGTACTCGTTCCAAAACAACATCCAGCATTGCACAACCACCCAAAAAGCTGATTCCAGCAGAACCGTCCAAGGTTGAGGGTGCCACAATGAGTGAGAAGCAGGATATGCCAGCTAGTGAAGATCCGGAGGAGAACGAACTGAAGGAGATAGCTGAAGCTCAAACAATGCACGGAATGGGAGCTCTAAAATTGTCGAAGTCACTGGAGTGCTTGGAGATGCGAGATGATTCTGAGCTTGCAAGGATTGGCCGTCGCAGCGGGTCGCTGACCCCACCTCCTACTGGCTGCGCTCCGTTGGGGCTGCTTCGACCAAAGCCTCGTCCCAGAGCCAGCACCACCGTGGCTAAAGCAAAGAAGCCACGCGTGGTTGTGGAATATCGAACGGTCAGCCCCACGTCGTGGGACTACAGCAACGGAACACCTCCGGCTCTGCCTGTCATACAGAACGCAGCGGCCGGCATATCGACGCCGCCGTCAACACTATCAAAGACTAAAAAGGAGCTACCGGAAGTGACCTTGTCCTGCTCTGGTAGTAGTGCTGGTGCACCCCCGCTACCGTCTGGACGACCACCACCACCACCGCTAGACAGGAAGCCAATACCCATGCCGGTGCCAAGGAAAAGCCGAAAAGCTAACAGCAGCAGCAATGGTGCTACAAGCAGCGAAGGAGACAAGTCGGTGAGCACAGAGCAGCTAGTTAGAGAGAAGCAGCAGTGTGAGGCATATGAAAAGGTGAGTAGGCTAGAATAGAATAGCTGTGAATAATACAATGTGCGCAGTTAGCATGTACCATGATGTACAATCATGTACTAGTATTATACACATGTCAGTATTGGAGTGGTTGGCATGCTCTAAGAACGTTATCTTGTGATGATCTGCAGTTAGAGTACCATCTGGTAGACGCTGATGATCAGTGTATCTAGAAGGAGTGGTGTTACGGTTCATAAGATAATAATCTTTTGTTCAATGATTTGTTTCGAGCTCATGCATAATCCTTCTGCACTGCACCTCTCTGAATAGTGGATGCCAGTAAGATGGGGTTCTAATATGGAAAGTGCTTGTCTGGTGTACACAACTGCACATGAATGGACTCGGATGGAGAGCCAAGGATAAATTCATAGAAAAGAAAAAGGACAACGGAACTACACGTTATGCTATAATGTCCACTAACACCACCAGTTACTAAACAATCAGTTCATGCGATAACATTGCACAACACTGACTGACGGCGTACTTTGATCGGGTTGTAGGGTAGCAATTTGCTCCTGAGAACCCGATCGGGTAGTTGGAGTACGGCGTTGTTCCAACGGTGCATGTAAATAGTACGGATGCGTGCTTAATGTGCACTTTCTATGTAGCGCAAGTGCACACTCAAATTACAAGCTGTGTCAAAAAATACCCGATAGGGTACCTGTTATGTACCAACCATTGATCAAACATCATCAAGTCATTATTGTTATTCGAAAAAGCCTTGGAAGAAGACCAGACTAAAAAGGAACCAGAAGCTCTTGTGCGCATGCGCAATACATAGATAGTGAAGTAGTGCAGAGTAGTAACATTAGTACAGTTGTGGCAAGTGAAATCCGACACTTGCCATAGGGGACAGCGCCACAAATGGACATCAATGATGTAATGCACTGCACCAAATTTGTACTATAGAGCCGTATGCATCCCAAACAGATCAAAAGGTCACAGCGTAGATACACACAGTCCACAAACATAGTACACATAAGGAGTATTGGTATCCAATCCCCATTCATTTTGCCAGCACCTTTTGAACCTTGACTGTGATGAGTACGAGTTTTGTCATCAGACAGATAAAGTTGTATGTAACACATGTACTGTATGTACGCAGGGCTGCAGGGGCTGCAGACTGCGTGGTGCAGTCCCTTATGCCAAGTGTCGGATTTCACTTGCCACAACTGTACTACAGAGAGAGACACCACAATTCCTCCCCCTTAAAAAAAAACAAGCAAAAAAACAAAAAAAATATAATTTATCGTTCATGCACAAAGTAGTACTAGTGTAATATGAAATGTCAGTAATCTACTTGTGATACAGGTACTGACTGTATTAATAGATATCTATGTTCGCAGATGGGGTATATACGGTAATAATTATGTCAACTACAATACACAGTGTTCCAAGGTTAGAAATCATGTCAGTCGACATAATTAACAAACGATCTATCATAATGTCCCAATATTGAAAAAGTCCATCAGCGTGTCATAATCAGTCCACCAGTCTATCAGGCAATCCTAGACTCACTGGGAAGCAATCAGTCTGCCAGGTGGATGTGACTGACGCGAAGAACGACGCACAGCGATCGCAACAGACTTACCACTGCTGGACGACTTACTACTCTGATCTGTCTCAGGTAGTGTATCTTGCGTCAGAATCTGTTCAGATCCAGTCAGTTGAGCAGCGCACTGTGGAGTTGGCACTTGTAGACTTGACTCCTTGCTGCTGTTAGCTGGTTGACTTGACTCCTTGCTGCTGTTAGCTGGTGTAGACTCGCGACACTGTCCACTGAAACTTCCATTCACGTTGAGAGAAGCATGGCGAGTATCCGGTAGTTGCGGTGGTTGTTCACCCTTGTCGGTAGCAAACATGCTAGCTGGTAGAGCGCGTGGTCGGATCTGGTTACGGTGTCTCTTCCAAACACTGTCTCCAACTTGCACCTGGTAATTGTACGAACTCAGAGTTGACAACACAATACCAGGAATCCATTTGCTACCATGACGCCCAAAGTTCAAAACAAATACTGTCTGACCATTTGTGAACTCGGGTTGTTCATTTAGCGATTCTTCAAAACGCTCCACACTACGCTTGGTTTCGGAGGGGCGTAACACATCGTAACGGGTACGGGGTTGGCGGTTAAACATAAGCTCCGCTGGAGTTTTTCCATTTGCCAACGGTGTCGTGCGATGCGACAGTAAGAAACGGCACAACTTTGTGTTGAGCGTTTCATCACACCGATCCACGGTCATTAACTTCATCTTCTCTTTGAAGTACCCAACATAGCGTTCAGCTAGCCCATTAGTAGCTGGGTGTCCAGGCGCTGTTTTCGTGTGATGAATGCCATTTTCACGCACAAAGCGTTGGAACGATTCGCTGGTGAACTGACTGCCATTATCAGACACCAAATGCTCGGGTAAACCGAAAATCGCAAACAAGTGCCGTAGTGCCTCAATGACGCCATTGGTCGTAGCATGAGTCATTGGGACGATATCTAAGAACTTGGTGTGAGCATCGATAATTACCAGAAACATTTTACCCAAGTAAGGTCCAGCAAAATCCAGGTGGATTCGACGCCATGGTCCTGAAGGCCAAGTCCAGGTTCCGCAAGATTTCGGTGGTGAGCGAGCATTTGCCTGGCAAATATCACACATTTTCCCAGTTTCTTCCAATTGGTTGTCAAGATTTGGCCACCACAGGTATTTCCGCGCCACTCTTTTCATACGGACTATGCCCATGTGCTCTGAGTGTAGATCACCCAACAGAACATTCTGAAGTGAACTCGGAATCACTACTCTATCATTCCAAAGTAGTACATCACCCTCCACTGTCAGTTCAAACCTTCGAGTGAAGTACGGTAACAATTCAGTGGGGACACTTACAGGCCATGCCTTCCGAGTGTAGGTTAGTACCTTGCCAAGTAATGGATCACCCTTTGTTTCTTGTGCCACGAGATCTGCATTTGCAATGCCCTCCTCTGAGATTAAAAGAACGTGCCCAGTCACCATTTCAGCTTCAGTTGGCACTCCTTCGACTGGACTACGAGACAGGAAATCTGCAATGTGGTTGCTTTTCCCAGGAATGTGAGTGATTTTGAAACGATATGCGATCAGTGACAATCTCCATTTCTTTAACCGATTTGACAGCATTGTAGGGACTGGTTTGGATGGATCCAGAATTGAGAGAAGCGGTTTGTGATCCGTTCGAATTTCGAACTCACGACCCAACAAATACTGTTGAAATTTGTTTGTCCCAAAGACAATTGCTAATGCTTCCCGTTCGATTTGAGAGTAATTTTGTTCCGCTTTCGTGAGTATTCGAGACTTGAATGCGATAGGTCGCAGCACCCCTCTCTTATCCGGTTGTAATAAAACGGCTCCAAGACCCTTTCCGGAAGCATCCGTTTGCAAGATTAATTCTCTTTCCTGGTAGTAATTTGCCAATACGTGATCCGACGTTAATATTTCTTTCACCTTGCGGAAAGCTTCATTTTCTCGTTGGTCCCAGTGCCATTTCACATCCTTTTTCAGCAAGGTGTACAATGGGGCCATTATGTCGGCAAAATTCGGTATGTACGCACTGAGATAGGTAGCGGACCCAATAAATGATTGGAGTTCTGCGACACCTGCAGGTGGTTTCGCATTTCGTAGAGCTGACACTTTTTCTGAAGTGGGGGACATTCCGCTTCCAGAAAATCGGTGTCCAAGATAGGTAACTGAATCTTCCATTATTCGCACCTTGTCTGGTCTAAGTTTCAGCCCAACTTCCTGCAGACGTTTGAGTACCCTTTCCAGATTTGCCATATGTTCGTTTTCATTAGCACCCGTAATCAAGATATCGTCAATGTACACCATGCAGCCTGGTAGATCCGCAAGAACATGTTCGATAGTTCGTTGAAAGATTGACACAGCCGAGTTTATGCCGAACGGTAATCTCGTATACTCAAACAGACCTCTGTGAGTAGAGATGGTAGTGAAAGCTCGGCTTCCCCCATCTAGCTCTAGCTGATGATAGGCTTGTGATAAGTCCAATTTCGTGAACTTACAGCCCCCTGCCAATTTTTCACGTAGCTCTTCAAGTGTTGGCAATGGATAGTGTTCACAATCCGAGTGCTTGTTTACTGTTAACGAGTAATCGCCACACAGTCGTATTTTGCCATTCGGTTTTTCTACTGGTACCGTTGGTGATGCCCATTTAGCATGATCTACTTTCTTGAGCACTCCGTCTTTCACCAGTGCATCCAGTGACTCTTCGTATCTTTGCTTTACCGAAAAGGGTACTGGCCGTGCCTTGCAAAACACTGGATTGGATTCATCCACATGCAGAGTGATCTGCGTTGTATTCAATTTGCCAATTTCCTCAGTGTCGAACAGTTCTGGGAATCGCTCAATCAGATCCTGTACGCGCACATGGTTTCCTCGCTGACGCCTGTTTTCTTCTTGCTCAATGAACAGGTGCCATGGCATTTTAAACCTTGACAACATGTCTCGGCCCAGCAGGGATGGACCATTCGATACAACACGTACAAGTACAGGTTGACAGTCACCCTCGATAGTGATAGGTAGTGACATCTCACCCAGACATTCAATAGATTGACCAGTATAACCTTGCATTCGTATAGTAGATTTTTCCAGCCTTTCGCAATTTCCGTTTGCGTGCACAAAATCATTTTCACTCAAGATCGTTACGGGACTCCCTGTATCTACTTCCATATTCACAGATGCCCCATTTACATCTACGTCAATTTTGAAAGGACCCACTTTCGAGTATGCATTTCCATTCACGTAGTAAAGAGACAGAGGCACAGACACAGGTTCGATCTCACCGGTTTCTTGGTCGTCATATTCGGTCTGGACGAACTTCACGGCTCGGGCTTTTTTCTTCTTGCAAGCTCTCTCGATATGGCCAACGATCTTGCAGTACCTGCACTCAGTTTGTTTGAAGTAACAGTCGGCGGCTTTGTGACCAGGTTTGTCACAACGGAAACATTTCTCGGCGTTGGTGCTGGCTGCTGACCTCATTCTCTCACTTCTCTGAGCGCTGTCTCCGGGGCGTCTCGACTTCACTGCATGCACTGTCGTTGCAGGTTCAAATCTTGCAGCATCCTTGTACGCTGTCTCGTACAACGTAGCTCTCTCCACTGTGGTGGCGTACGTGTCCGAATCCTCAGCCTTGCTGAGAATCTCCTTGGTCATGGCGTGTGAAACCAAACCCTTTACAAAATTGTCGCGCAAGGCGCGGTCCAGATGATCTCCGAACTTACAGTCAACAGCGAGCCCGTTCAGTCTAGCTGAAAATTCAACAATTCTCTCTCCCTCCTTCTGCTCTGCTTGATTGAATTGATGCGTCCGCAGCAACAGCACTCACAGGAGGTCGATAGAAAGTGGTCAGGATTTTGACAATGTCGTTGTACTTCTTGCTTCCAGGTTTGTTCGGAAGACACAAATTCTTTAAATTCGTATACTGTAAATCAACAAATTTTCGCCGGTGAAAAACTTTCGCCGATCTCCAAAAAACACTTTTCGCCGCCACTAAACTTTCGCCGTGGGCGTGCAAGAGTCCGAAAAAGTGATCGATGTTTCGTGTGCGCATGTACTACTAGTACTATAGTAGTACAAAGGTCTGCGTAGACCCTGTCTACTGTACGCTTTTTTTTTTACAGAGAGTCCGGCGGCATACCCGTGGCCAAGTCTCTGCTGCTCTTGTTCTGCCCCCCCCCCCCCCGCTAACACCCGATATGGCTTTAGTGCAATTTCTTATTTGGGCGCTGCCAGGTGGAATACACTTCCACCGGCTTGCCGCATGTCTAGTTCACCAGCTGAATTTCGCTCATCCATCAAATTATACCTAGGGTTCCCTGTAAAAAGGCGCTGACGCCTGTTGGGAATTCCCTAGTAAAAGAAGAATAAATAATAAAAATAAGGCCGAGTAAAAAAAATTACTAGATGATCGTCCTTTTTTTTGGAAAAATCGGGGAGGGCGGGAGGATTTTATTTTTATTTTTTTACTTTTTACCCTCTCATGCACACAGTGTACACAACAACATCAAGGTTTTTTTTCTCTTTTTTTCTTTTTTTTTCTTTTTTTCTTTTTCTTTCTTCAGCAGATCGATACTGACGTTGTGATATACTAGTAGTATGTGGTCCATATAGTAAAGAAAGTATTAAACAAAGCGTGCACATGTTTCCTGCATCCGCGATCGGTAAAAAACCAACGATTTCGGCAAAAACTCACGATTTAAAAAATAAAATATTTCTTGGGGCGCTGACAAAAACTGGGGCGGACGGGGACGATCATCTAGCTTTTTTTTTTACTTGGCCTAATAATAATAATAAGAGTGACCCAAACTGACATTTGGTTCTGGTGACAAATTTTGGCCTGCGATTAATTTTGGCCGATTGACATCGACCGGCGAAATCCGCGAAATTAAATCGCCAGCGAAAATTTGTTGATTTACAGTACGCGCTGGCTGACAGCTGGGAGATGAGTACTGCAGCCTTTCTCTTATCCGCAGCATCCTTCTGTGCAGCATTTGCAGAGCTGGCCAACTGCCCAATGTCATTTGCGATAAAAAAGAACTCTAGACGTTCCGCATACTCCTCGAAATCTCCAGTATCAAATACTTCTAACTTTGCCTGTTTGGCCATCCTTTTACTTCGTCGCCAAATTGTTATGTACCAACCATTGATCAAACATCATCAAGTCATTATTGTTATTCGAAAAAGCCTTGGAAGAAGACCAGACTAAAAAGGAACCAGAAGCTCTTGTGCGCATGCGCAATACATAGATAGTGAAGTAGTGCAGAGTAGTAACATTAGTACTACAGAGAGAGACACCACAGTACCCGTGCTACCCGGATAGAAATACCCGAACCCGTTACCCGACCAACCCCCTACCCGTTGCAGCCCTATCGACAACTGTACATGTACTGCAAAAGCCCAAAGTTACAAAATGCCGTCTAAGAGACTGTTGCTGGGTTCCATTCTCTCCTTGTTCTATCTCACAATTCAGGTGGACGTGGCGGCATTGCTAAGGCCCGGCGGTGGTGCAAACAGCGTTCCACAGACCAAAGTCCACAAGACACACAGCGCTCCCAAAGCCAATCACATTTATGACAAGCCCGAGGGTAGAGACGCTCCCGCTAATCAGCGTTCACGGCCCGACGTAGCTCTATCGTATGCCATATCCGGGCCACTCGACGATCGGATGCAGCCGCCAGCAAAACCACCCCATACGCGTCGCTCGGCTGGAGATATACAAATAGCCGATCTTGACGATATTCTAAGATCTATTGAAGACAACACAGAGGATCTGAACAAGATTTCTGGCCAGACACTTACTACTCCCGGTGGTGCAGACGAGTCACCTTCAGACCAGCTATTGCCTGAACTGCCCCACTTCTATGATCGACCCGGTCATATGGAAAAACCAAAGGGACGAGATCGCAGCCAATCTCTCAACCAACGACCGACCAAAGCTGGACATGAAGTAAGTAGCATGCAGCCTCCAATTATTATTCTCGATGGGTTCAGTCTTTCTAGATCGACTAGTAGAATCTTTTTAAATGATTAAACACCAACCCTCACTTGCAGTTGTGTTGACTTGCAGTTTGCCCTGCCAGACTGAGGACTGAGTCCAGGCGCGTACGCAGGGGGGTTTCCCGTTGCCCGGAACCCCCCCAAATGTCCCAAACGAGCAACGTTTGTGGGCATTTTTTGGTAGGGCGCACGATCGATCTGGCAAGAATGCAAAACTTCAACAGATCGTAACTCAGTCAAATCTCGCTCTAATCCAACGATCCAAATATCCAGGTCGAATAGAAAACTCTCAGCTGTCGGTTGAAACAATTTGCGACTTCCTGCGAGCAATGTGTCTTGAGATAAATCATTCGTAAGTTGAGCCGCGATCTCGCAATTTCAAAAGCGCGCAGTGCGACTTGAGTACCGAGAATTTGAGACTTTTCGTCATGCTGACATGCTGAGAATTTGCAGGGGCTTCATTTGTGATATTTTCAAGAGTACACAACAAAAAATCGAAACTCTGCGATCAAGAAAAACGAAATCGCTGGAGCAGGACGCGTTTGGGCCTTTGGGGCATTTTTTCGCACCGTCACTGCACTCTACCGATATAGCCTACTGGTATAGCGCTGGATATGTACATGACTGTACATGTATAGACTGTACATGTATACAGTACTGTGTCCTGGCTATCATGGTCGACCTCATTCTCTCCTGGGTACCTTTCCACTTCCAGGAAGCCCAAGATATTGAAGATTGAGTGAGCAGAACTGAAGTTATGATCCAAAGAACGCGAAAAATGCATGATTTTGAAAAATTCCTAGGGCTCTTTAGAAAGGATTAAAACGAGTCATTGTTTGGGATTCGGTTGGAAACCCCCCTAGGGGTGACCCTGCGTACGCGCCTGGGGTCTCATGCACTTTGATAATAGTGTACTTCGAACATGATCAGGCTCAAAGAGTTTGCTATTTTGAGCTTCAACTGTTACAATTTTCTGCTCCAGCTATACTTACTGTCTATGCTCTGTCTCTCTTTCTTCCTCCCCCCCCCCCCCCCGTCTGTGTATGTGTGTGTGTCTGTCTCTCTCTCTCTCTCTCTCTCTCTCTCTCTCTCTCTCTCTCTCTCTCTCTCTCTCTCTCTCTCTCTCTCGCTCTCTCTCGCTCTCTCTCGCTCTCTCTCGCTCTCTCTCTCTCTCGCTCTCTCTCTCTGTCTCTCTGTCTCTGTCTCTGTCTCTGTCTCTGTCTCTCTCTCTCTCTCTCTCTCTCTCTCTCTCTCTCTCTCTCTCTCTCTCTCTCTCTCTCTCTCTCTCTCTCTCTGTCTCTCTCTTTCTCTCTGTCTCTCTCTCTTCCTCTCTGTCTGTCTGTCTGTCTCTCGCTCTCCTAGCCTCTTGTGGAATATACATCATTGGAGTTCACACGCAAGAACAAGGGCGACCAGAAGGACGTCAAGCCGGTTGGACCAACAGTCTACGCGCTTGTGGACCCAAAGGCCACCAGTGCAGATCCATCGACCAAGGCGCCACCCAGACCCAAATCACCAAGTGATGACTACGAGCCCGTGGAAGCGCCTCGCCTGGTACCACACTCATTCAAGGCACAAAAGCCAAAGGAGCAATTTCAAGCACAGCAACAGCAGCAAAAGCGTTTTAAAAAGCCGGTCTTTCAGAAAAGTCTCAAGTGGTGATAGATGATGAAAGAAACAAATAAGGACGACTGTGATTATTTTTCAATTTTCGGCTTTAGCCCAGTTATGATAATTTTAGATTGAAAACAGCCAGGACTGTGACTTAGATTTGTTATTACCCTTGCTGTACAAACCCGAGACCTCGCTGTGCAAACCTGACACAGCTCGCTGATTTCAAAACAATTCTGGAAATATTCAACTGATATCTGACAAATTTATAGAGCTCCTTTTTTTATTAACGATTTCGTATGTATGGAAAGCAGCTGCAGAAATTCTAGTAGCATTTGAACAATAGCAAAATTATCCACATCATTTGCATGGTATACCCTTTGTCACTGTTGTACATAATCAACACATGTCAAGAATATTAGATTATACAAGTAGTGATCTCTTTTGAACTCACCAATATCATGTTCCCTCTTGCCAAAGTAGCTGCGCAGAAAGGCTGCTAGAGCCCCATGGCCATGGTGTTGCTGGGAATCGAAAGCATCTTACAGCGACCCTGTATTGGTCATGAGTCGAGACCACACAGTTGGGATAACTTGTTTGTCCAGAAGAAGAACAACAAAGGTCAAATATTCACTTTTAAAATATTAATCAAAGGGTTATCAAATTCGCCGCAGTTGCTATGGAATCAAAGGCTGCGTGCTACGTGGTGTGGACGTACTATTAAATCTTGCCAGCTGTGCATTCCATTACAATATTTGAGGTTGCGGCTGCAAATTGTATAATGTATACTGACATTCGCATAAGCAAGCATGTACACATCTCTTTAGTGCAAATAATAGTTGAAACAGAGTAGTGATATTCAAAAGTTCTTTGTATTTGTGGTGTGGGGAAAAAGCATGTTGGTTTGGCAAATGCGGGGAAATTGTAGAAAATAATTATACTGCAGGCTGCAATCATCTGTAAAATCATATGACATGGATATCATGGAAAAGCACTTGCATGGCGATGTACACACCGTGTAGGATTACAGGAAGCTGTGTTTGGAAGATGTGCACAGCCGTACTGTTAATACAAAGTCAAGATAGTAGTGTGTACTATACAAATATGGTCAGCAGGCAGAAGGCAACACCTCAGCCTCAGGATGAGTTGAGGCTCCACGGGCTAGCAGGCTCCTGATCTGCAGAAGCCTGTCGGTACAAGCTTGGTGGCTCCTTGCTCTTCAGGTCGCTCGGGAACGGGGACTTCCGCGGTGTGCTTGATTGCGAGCTGCTAACTTTGACCAGCGACCTTGCCCGGTCATGCAGTCCCCACAGTGCTGAGTGCATTTCGGCCACTGAGGGACGACGGTACATGTCAAACTCAATGAAGCGCTGCTGTAGGGTCTGCAGATCAGCGGCTAGCGCCTGAAGAGACTCCAGTGCGTACTCGGGCGGATAGTAGAGTCTGGAGATGTCCAGTCGCGGTATGCCCGCCATACTGTAGCCACGCTGGTCTAGCTCTACAAGCACAGCACAGAGCACACAAACCCGCGAACGCACGCACGCATGCACAACAAACTCGGTCATATATACTACTCAAAATGGAGTGGGAATTAAAAGTTCCACAGCGAGAAGAGGAGGAACTCCCATTGCAACTCAACACGTCACACTCTGCACGATCATCAGGGATGGGCCGGGGGAGGAGGGAGAAATCAGAGTTGCAGCGGAATTTCCCACTCTCCTTGCTGTGTGCCTGAGCTGTCTTGGGATGTAGGGCAAGACTATCAGAGCAGTGACATACTAAACTGCTTATGAACTACAAATTAAAGCAGTATTGTCAACAAAGAGCGTACATTAGGTACCCACACACATGCAATCCCACCTCTTCCATCTCTATTTCTCTGTGCTAAAAATGGGATATCTAATCCCTGAGATCAACTAATATCTACATGTATCCTCCAAATACAATATCTAGGTACATATAGATACTTTGTGTAGGAAGCGACTGCAGTCAGCTGGAAGCCGGATTTGGTCGATTTCATTGGCGTCGATCCACCGCACAGAATATTATAAAAAGGATGCATCATGGAGCCTACAACATATGGCGCCAATAACAGTTCTCTACAAGTGACAACACTGCGGAGCAAAGACCCCAAGGGAGAGAGACAGAGACAAACGGACAGACACGTGGACACAAAAGCATATTGAAAGAGGGAGGGAGAGGAAGGATGCATTGACACCCTACCACGTGCAATACTGCGCCCAGCGACTTACTCTTGAACGGTGATACATCGTGCAGCATCTCAAAGATCATGACTCCCAATTCAAACACAGGCTGCTTGCTGTAGTCACAGTAGGCATCAGTACCGTCGTACTCTGCATAACAACACAGCACCACATGACTCAGCATGTATAGCTGTCCTTGTATTCACGCCTGCACGTACATAGCTACATGGATAGAGTTTAGCTATGCACATTGAGAATGTAACATGTTAAAAGAGCGGGGAGGGAGGGGAGGGGGGGGGGGAGTGGGGATGACAGACGAGCAAGCAGCCAGACATTGAGTAGACCATGTACAGACATCACAGTAGAAGATGAGCATTAGAACATACTACCAGTGGTGGACGTAGAGCGTGGACGCAACACAACCCAAGGCTGATAACAGAATGACTGCGAAATGCTTCTCAGTCCATGGCTAACCTCTCTCCTCCTCCCCCCCCCCCCCCCCCCCGTAAAAAGGAAAATCATAGAAAAGTGGCATATCACGGCGAGACTTACCAGCATTCAACACTTCTGGTGCCAGGTGAGCAGGATTTCCTCCTTTCGGCATGTTTGGGAACATCTTCATCTTCATGCTTGCATCGTCCAGCCGCACAGCACAGCCAAAGTCGCACACCTAAAAAAAACAGTACCAGTATCGTCGGGAACAGTTTGCTCTCCGCCAACAAATTCGCTTGAAATCTCCTCCACGACCATGCCGAAATTGTGAATCAAGCCTCAAAGTGGTGATGAAAATGCTTCACTGAAGACCAGAAGATATGGGAGATATTGTATGTGAGCAAGAAACTTCAGGCAAAGCGTGCTCACTTCATCAGAAAACCATCAGCCCATTCATGGAGATGGCAATACTCAAGCTCCTCTGCTGCATTCACAACCTGTTGTCCACTGTTCTATCCAGCACAAAGATAGAGTACTGTGTGTTGCATGAGGCACAGGTTATTTCCATCTATCAGGCTATATGCCATCAAGATGAAAGATGATTCAGCCTACCAGGTACCACTACAGTCAGACCTCGCTTATCCGGTCCTCTTTTATCCGGATCCCTCGCCATCCGGAAGAACATCGTTGGTTACCGATTTACAGCATATACCATGCATACATACAGTATGTGTGTTCGATTATCCGGTTCCCTCGCCTATCCGGACATTTTTGTGGAAAACGGATGCGTGCGGTTAGGCGAGGTCTGACTGTACTAATAGTTTGACCACATCACGTAACAGAGTGTATTCACATAACAAAGTGTATTCACATAACAGAGTGTATTCACATAACAGAGTGTATTCATTATCATGGCATAGTAAGTTACAGGTCACTTCCATTCACCGGCATAAGGGCACATACCTTGATTTGACCCCTATCTGTGACAAGTATGTTGTTGAGCTTCATGTCGCGGTGTACCACATTGTTGATGGCAAGGAAGTGCAGCGCATCGGCAACCTGATATGCCCAGTCAATCATGTCCATCACCTGTGTACAATGCAAGCAATCCACACATGATTCTAAGCAGGCTAGACATGGCTTTGTGTGCTATTGTGAAATGCAGTGACATGGGGAAATCCCGGCAATCTCCACACAGAGCAAGCCGTGTGCGCAAAGGCTGACCTCGAGCAGATAGGTATGAGATTTCGTGATTTGTTTGTGTTCTAGAGTAGGAGAAGCTATCTATGCAGACGTCACCAGTGGACATCTTGGAGCAATCAACAGAGTGCGACAGCATACAAGTGACAAGACGAATACCGAGGCTCATATCCACTACAACGTACGATATGGAAGCACATTTGATATTCACTGGTTTGAGGGAAAGACATTAAACGGGAAAAGTCTGAAGAAAAAATTGACTGTTACCACCACATTCGATCAAACACACAACGACTTTGACAATGGAAACACATGGCACATTCCCGTTACCTATATGCACATCACCGCTGTCTTTCGCGGATTATTCACAGAACCTTCTGACGACCCGGCTCAATCTTACCAACATAATTACAATGGTACAGTCCATTTCAAAACTATAGACGCGTACCTAGGCAAAAACCGTTATGCCAGCATCTATACCACATAAAATCTGTGATCACTTTGTGCATAATTTTTTCCAAATTGGGCGTCTGTTATCCAATCGTTTAGAAACTATATGAGAGTAATTGTGGAGCGGTCCTGAGCAATATTCCGAAAACTATTCTCAAAAAGTTCCAGCCAAATTTGAAATATTTCGAAAACCCTACGCGTCTATAGTTTTGAAATGCACTGTAGAGATCCTCAATCCTGAATTGATGATAGTGACTTGGGCAATATTTGAGGAAATGTTGGTTGCTCCGCTTTACGTGGGAGTTCCTAATTTCCCAGTCAAATGTCAAGTCAAGTAAACAGGGAAAGAGTGACTGTCCACGTAGGGAATAACCAGAAATTCCTTCAGTCAGTATACCACTTGGGTTCATCACAGCACTTACTGTGATGCGATTGCTGACTCTCTTTTCCAGACACACAGCCTCCAGGTTCAGTGGAACATACTCCAGGACAATGAACAGCGACATGCTGCGCGCCCGCTCCCGAACCTGTAGCAGGAAAGTCAACATGGTCATCGCAGAAGCATTATGTCTCAGCGAGGCATTGATGTGCATGCTGCAATATTCCAGGATGTATGGGCATAACCAAAACTGCTCAATAACAAACTGGTCCGCCATCCGTACCGCGGTACCAAAACAGGAAGAAATAATGGGATTTCCCAGAGCAACAACCCCCTATTACTCACCTCCGGAGGGAGATCAGGTAGGTTCTTGCCAATTCGGTCGAAGAAGAACGCACACAGACGAATGACGTTCGGGTGTGGAGGAAGCATTGCGAGAAGTTCATACTCATTCTGAAACTCTCGCCGTATCTAAGTATATATAAGGCCAAGTCGGATATGGAAGAAGTAGAACACATCATGCCATATATCTCAAGATAGTTTTAAAAGAACTGGTGTAATAGAAAAATGTCTCATTTTCTTCATGCAAGTATTTTCACAATCAATATTCATTAGTTCGAGGTATCACAAAAATCAATATTGAGACTTTTTGCTTTCGTTTTCACAGTGTCCGTCTAGAAAAGTGATCATTGCGGATGTTCTCTACCTGGAGACCAAACTGATTATTGACTAATCAGTTTGGGAAGAAATTATTGGCTACGATCATAAAGTACGCACGCCATTGATACATGACCCACTCATTTACACCCTGTTTTCGTTATCAGAATGTCAGTCTGTCCAACCTTGCCATCATTCCAAATCAGTCTGTCCAACCTTGCCATCATTCCAAATCAGGACACCCACAGTATAACTGTATACAAGGGAAGCCAAACCAGGCGTACATTCAGCTAAGACCCTGACACAAATGCATGTGCACACACACACACACACACGTGCACGCGCACACACACACACAAACAAACACACACACATGCACATACTCACGCACGCGTGCACACACACACACACAAACACACTGACCTGGGTCATGGTCTCCATCTGGAAGATGTTGAACATCACCTTCACTGCAAACAGCTTGGCCGGGTTGGGCAGGCGAGCCTTCTTGCAGCGTACAAGGTACACAGCACCTTCACAGCCGTGCGCCACCATCTTGACAATGTCATAGTCAGCAATCTGCATAGAAATGGGATGTAATTCGTGCATTGGAACGTTCACTCAATGTCACTAGTACTTATAGCTGGCAACTAAAATCACAGCAGTGATTGCGTTTCAAACATCACAATTAAGAGAATGTCTTGTGTTGCATCGTGGTATAACTAGCCCGGCATGCTTGCTGCTTCATATTCAGACATTCACAGAAGAGCAGTGACATTCACAGAGTAACAGTGACACACACAGAGTAGCAGTGACACACACAGAGTATCAGTGGCACACACAGAGTAGCAGTGGCACACACAGAGTAGCAGTGACACACACAGAGCAGCAGTGGCACACACAGAGTAGCAGTGGCACACACAGAGTAGCAGTGGCACACACAGAGTAGCAGTGACATTCACAGAGTAGCAGTGGCACACACAGAGTAGCAGTGACACACACAGAGTAGCAGTGACATTCACAGAGTAGCAGTGGCACACACAGAGTAGCAGTGACATTCACAGAGTAGCAGTGACACACACAGAGTAGCAGCAAGAGTCCATAACCCAAGAGTATGCAACTGTGATTATGAGTGCATGCGTGGCACGCTGCCTTCATTACGTAACTTGCCTTCATCACGCTCTGAAAGCATGCATTCAAACTCTCAATTTCTCGCACGAGCCCATCCGTTTTTGCTCGATTCGTTCCAGTACCTACACAATCTCTGAATTCTGGCGCGTGAACTCCAGTTCCGTACGAAAGTTCATTTCAAACTAGAACCTCAGTAGAGGGAAAGTGCGGTGTTTGATTTTCCGCAGTGCGCGGACTGCAGCTGAATGATGTAATGAAGGCAGCGCGCCGCGCGGTTGGCCCATAGAAAAGAGATCACAGTTGCATACTCTTGGGTTATGGACTCTTGGTAGCAGTGACACACACCGTCACTACCGTGACAAGGCATCACTTGGGAGGTCGAGGCTCGCACGCTTCTTGCACGATCTATTAGCATTCTCAGTGCAACGAGCCACAGACAGCATCGCAGAACGCAAACATAACCAACTGGTGTTATGCTCAGTTGGCCACGAATGGCACACCCTAGGAGCCATGTGCGCCTCCTCGCGGACTGCAGTAGAGGCAAGAGTGATCACGTGAACTTTTTACCAATTGTTGTTGCACACATTGTTAATGGTATTCCAAGCTAGCAGCACAAGCAGCACAAGCTGCATAAGCAGCACAATCCTGGATGAGCCTCGTGCTTGTGCTTACCTTCGAAGTGAAGAGCACATAGACCTCTTGGCGATCTTTCTGTGCATCCAGTGCCATGCTGCGATAATATTCAGCACGCTGCCTGTCTGAGAGTGCCTCACAGGACACAGGGTCTAGTGGAAGATGCATCATACTGTCACCGGGAGTAGCCCGCAGCTGCAATGCACAACACCAGCCGGCCAAAGGAAGACCCACAGCCGCAATTAGGCAACCCAGTCAAATGATAGTGAAAGCAGACATACTGAATTGGTGCACACATGCCCACACTATAGTAAAATGGAAATTCAGGTAAGCACGTACGTCGATTGAAGTCGGGGGTAGCGAGTCACGTGGCAGTCATACGCAATCAGCATAGTTGATCATGCAAAGTGCATATGATTTGTCACATGGCCAGGGAAGAAGTCGTGTGGCCACGGTGTATGCTTCTAGGAAAACTAGCAACCTCCACATCTACCCTGCACTACTGGATCAAGCAGTGCAAGGCTACATTCAGAGTCTTACCGAGCTTTGTCTTAGAGATGGTGACCTATCAGGCGCAGCACCAGATGAACCATTGCCATTGGGGACCTTGCCAAACTCCTGCTCTAGATCCTTTACCTAGGAGCATGATGAAGACAGGGCAAACTCAACATCATAGCCAAGACACACACACACACCAGATGCCATTACACATGCCTAGCACCAAAAGTACAAACACAACGGCGGGAGTGTACAACTGAAGTCTAAGGCGTCTACATCGGCAGAACTTCACATCGCATGACAAATGGGTAGGCACTATTCGCACCATGTGCATGAGAACTACATGGTTGTATGCAACCCTGATTTGGGTATACCGTATTTTTCGGAGTATAGTGCGCACCTTTGTATAACGTGCACCCCCCCCCCCCCCCAATCTTCATTGGGGGTGCGCACTTCAATCTTCATTGAAGTACATGCATTTCATATTCGGAGCATAGTGCGCACCTGCGATTTAGAGCCTAAAATAGCACATCTAAAGTGCACACTACACTCCGGAAAATACAGTAACTTTCTGCTGGGCACTTTGCACTGTTTACCGGGCCAGCTTACTAGTCTGTGCCTCCAGGAAATCGTGATTCCACGGATGCAACAAATTTCGCGATTTTGGCCACAAGCCATTTCCCGCAGTTTGTTGTTTTCTGCACTTTTTTATGAGCGTTAGCATGCTAACGCGAGTTAGCAGCCAGCCCAGCGAGCTGGTCCAACCTGCACGCATGCGCGAGTCACGTGGGCACGCGCCCTTCAAAATCCTGTACAATGTCTCTTGCATGTCATTGCTGTTTGGACTTTCGAGCGTGCAACTTGCGGAACATGTGTTCCCAAACAATTTCCTTCCCACCCTCCCACCCACTAGCTCAACTCATGTTTCTGGCGCACACATGACGGTATCTGTATAGTCCATGAGAATATATGCTCTCAACTGGTTATGCATCTCTATATATTTAGCATTTGGCGGCTCTACTCAGAGTCATTGGCGGCTCCATGCGGAGGCATTGGCGGCTCCATGCGGAGTCATTCGGTGGCTCCATGCGGAGTAATTGGCGGCTCCATGCGGAGTCATTCGCCGGCTCCATGCGCTGTCATTTGCCGGCTCCATGCGGAGTCATTTGCCGGCTCCATGCGGAGTCATTTGCCGGCTCCATGCGGAGTCATTTGCCGGCTCCATGCAGAGTCATTCGCCGGCTCCATGCGGAGTCATTTGCCGGCTCCATGCGGAGTCATTCGCCTGCTCCAAGCGGAGTCATTTGCTGGCTCAGCTGCGAGTCATTCGCCTGCTCCAAGCGGAGTCATTTGCTGGCTCAGCTGCGAGCCATCTAGCGGCTCCAAGCAGAGCCATCATACCAGTTGCTCGAATCGGCACTCCCAGCTTAATGCAAAACTCGGTTGCTCTGTTGTGAGGTGGGGGGATGCTAACTACATTTTTCTGCACTTTTCATGCAGTGTACAGTGCTTTCCATGATCCTGTACGTACAGTGCATTTCAAAACTATAGACGCGTAGGGTTTTTGAAATATTTCAAATTGGGCTGGAACGTTTTGAGAATAGTTTTCGGAATATTGCTCAGGATCGCTCCACAATTACTCTCATTATAGTTTCTAAAGGGTTGGATAACAGACGCCCAATTTGGAAAAAAATATGCACAAAGTGATCACAGATTTTATGTGGTATAGATGCTAGCATAACGGTTTTTGCCTAGGTACGCATCTATAGTTTTGAAATGGACTGTAGGTTATTTGCACAGGACGCAAATAGCGATTCTAAGGATTGAACAAATTTCGTGATTTGGCCCAAATCCGCAATTTTCTGCCAATAATTCCGCGAGTTCCTGGTACCGCATCTTTCCGCACTTTTCACTGCATTTTTTGTTGTTTCTACCGCAACTTCTTGCGCAAGTTTTCGAGTATTTTTCCGCAAATTCCCGCAGAGACAGACTAGTCACCTATTGAAGCACGTCATGTGATGTGAAACTCTGCCGCCGCCGTATCATAGGTTAGACAGAGTACAGGCAGTGGGACATTGTTGGGGTTAGGGACTCCTGGTGACACGATTAGTCAATGACTTTCTTTCCATGTCCTATGCTGACATACATGAGATCAAGAAAATCCGGAACCACCCCCCGGCAGGTCTACATAGGTCAGTCTCATGGCTAGTTTGATTTACGTGACTGCTCAGCATTCATGCAAGGCCCTCAGTGATACAGCAGGCAATCAGTTCACTATGTGCGCATCACAAGACGCAACATGGACTAGTACCTGAGCAACAAGACTCTCCACCAGTCCTTTCTGAACATCCAGGTCCTGCCGCATCCGCTCCTTCTCCATGGCAGCTTCTTTGGTGTGTCGCTGGTGTTCTGATGTCTGCAGCTTAGCCTGCTCGAGTTGGAGAATGAGGCTGTTGATCTTAAGATCATTCGTTTCTTCACCAGCGGCCACCTTGCCATCAGGCTGGCTAGCACGGACGTGTCGAAGATCACCTTCCAGTGTGTTGCAGCGGCTACTGAGTGATTGGTTTTCCATCCGGGCCTGAGCCTCGCGAGCCTGACTGAGTCTCAGCTCCTGCTTTAAGCTTTCGATGTCAACCTTGGAGCGATCGCTCTCATGCATGAGCTGCTGGACCTGGGAGTGGAGGCTGCGTATCTCATTGTTCTTCTGATCCACGTCGACCCAGCTTGATGTTAGCTTGCTGGACAAATCAGAGACCTCCAAATCGAGCTGCTTGATGCGGTGATTTGCCGTTGCTAATCGGTCATCTCGCTCGTTCAGCTGGCCACGTACATCTTGATGCCTTAGCTGAAGGTCGTCATACACCTTCTTGAGCTGTGCGGCGGAGGTGAAGGACTGCACGTCATAGTCAGATAACTGTCCTCCACGAGACTGATCCCCACCGCCACTGCCACCACCATGGCCATAGTCGCTACCGATTGCAGTACTCTGGTAACCAGATGAGTTCATGGGCCCGGACACGTTTCTCATGTGTCCGGAACTGTTGTGCGGTCCCGAGTGTGATGACGAGTGGTTACCTGAACTATTCCTCGAGTCAGGACGCTGCTGCTGACTGTGCGGCGGCATTGACGTTGACTGCTGAGCATCTATTACACCAGACCGCTGGCGATACACCGGTGCAGAGCCACTGGGAACCACAGGATGGTGGCCTGAGCCGCCAACGTCAGGGTCCATTGGCGATGAAGTAGACCCCGGTGGGAGCTGATGATGACCATAGGTGCCCGGAGAAAATTTCGAAGAGCTAACGGCAGCTGCAGGCTCCCGCGGATAGCTCGGCCGACCGATATCATGTTCAAAGCGGCCAGCATTTCCCCCCGCTCCTGTCCTAGACCATAATCCTAGATCCAGGTCTGTTGTAGAGTGAGCATGTTGCCGTCGACTGGTGTCAGAATAGATAACAGGAGTGCCACGCTGGTCATGAATTGCCGTGCTGGACCGATTTAAGACTGGAGCATCATGGGTTCGCTGCAGGCTAACCGGATGAGGAGCAGTGTGGGTTGAGCCGTGCACTGTCGGTGGGTTTCGCCAGCGACTTGAGGAACCTCCGTACAAGGAGTTACCACCTCCAGCTCCACTTGTGGAGTCAAAACTTGCCCCTGGTGATCATGAACACACACACACACACACACACACACACACACACACACACACACACACACACACACACACACACACACACACACACACATTTATATGTAGTACGGAAACATCACTACTAGACTGAGCTCGCTTAATGTTCGGTTAACGTAGGAGTTAACCGTTGTTAACAGTCACGTACCATTGCTTCGCTGTTGGCCTTTATAACGGGTTGCATGACCCTTCTTACGTGTGTGCACGATCTTGCTCTCTCTACATACTGCTGTGTATCATAGTTATCACATGCTCACGCTCTGCGTATGCGCAGATTTCCTGTGCGCACAACAGAGCTTGCTGTCTTTCCAGTTTCCTTGCCTGCAGTCAGCTTTCAAATTCTGACCCACCCTCTTCATCCCATTTCTTACTCTTACACTACACTCCTAATATTTTGCAACACACGGATGCGGGCACTCCTCCGTAACTGGCCTCTCGTACACTACTATTAAACTCGCATCGGTCATAAACCGCTCCTGCTCAATGCAGGCCGACCCACCAACTCGCATGGGTCACAAACCGCTCCTGCTCAGCGCAGGCCGACCCACTTGGTCATATACAGCTCCTGTCCTCGGTAGGCCGACCACACGATTCGTTAACGCGCACTCAATTGAGGCCAGCTACTCTGCCCGACATTCCCATACTTCCAAACTCACTCTCTTGTCTTTTGGTGTGTCGCGTCCTGCACGCGCGTGTGTCTACTCTATACTCTAGCATGGGGAGTAGAATGTTAACTGGGAGTTCAAGTTTCTCATGTGAATAGCCACAGCATCTCTAGTCAATGCCATGGCTCTGCAGAGGAATGTTTTATTCTCACTGCTACTAGTTGTTCCCAGTAGATGCGGCATGTATCTTACATTCCCACCAGGTGCCAAGCTATACACATACATACATATACTCACTATGGAGTATCATGTCACATAACGTAAGTCCTCATTACAAAATGATGGGAAGTGCAGAGAATTACCAAGACGTTCTACAGCATACACGCAAGTAAAGCAATCATGATTTACACAGATCAGTTCCACAGTTGCTCCCATCCAGGCAAGAAGCGTGCACCAAAAGGTAAGGCAAAGTAGCACTGAGATTGTCACGCTCCTACCTCTTGTCATGTTGAAGCGAGGGTTTGTCTCTCGGGTGAACAGATCTTTGCTACACAGAGCATCGGTGATGGATGCGGCTAGGCCCGAGATGGTCGACTGCACAGAACACACAAGAATGATAGATGAGATGCCTTTTTTACATCATCAACAAGCACTGTGCCCTACCAGGCTAGAGAGTGGTTTCACATCACTGATCAGTGTCATGCGCCTAAACTTGGCCAGAAAGTGTATATATAGCATGATTGCGGACAGTGAAACCAACATGGCCGACATCATGTGACCCATAGATGCAGTTGCCGCGTGGCGTTGGAACCAACATGGCTGTCCTGTACGGTCAGGTGATAGATGTGCAACAGCTCTATAGCCCACAAGGAGGAAAACTTCCTTCTGCCAGCGGAGAGGGCTCTACACAATAATGTGGAGCACTATTACACATAAAAGGCACAATGAAAGCTTACAGATGTGTCGCAACTCGGTTTCTTGAACAATGCAATCATCAGGCGACTTATAGCTAGTGGGTATTTGATTCAGTACAGAAAATATTGCCATGATGGCCGTGTGGATGGTCACTTGGGTGAGGGAGCTATTAGCGCAGAAAGTATAGATTGCAAGTGAATATAGAAGTGGAAGGTGTAAATTTGTAAACAGCAGCTAGGGTGTGAAGGTAATCCTTCAAAAGTGTTATTGGTGATGCGGAGGGCTCTAGGCTCGCACGGGTGTGCATATGTGTGTATTGGGGTGCACACCTGTGATTAAGTCACGGCTGCTTTGGGGCACACACCGCCACATGTTGAAGAACTGAAGCCTTTTGCACCCCAGTACACACATATGCACACAACACACACACACACACACACACACACACACACACACACACACACACACACACACACACACACACACACACATACACACACACACACACACACACACACACACACACACACACACACACACACACACACATACATACACACACACACACACACATACATACAATCATGTACATGCACATACTGTACACACTTACGTGCACTTGCAGAACAAACATACCGTGACATGATCTGAAGCGAGCACACCCACGTGAGCCTAGAGCCCTCCGTATCACCAATAACACTTAAACAGTTCTGAAGGATTACCTTCACACCCTAGCTGCTGTTTACAAATTCACACCTTCCACTTCTATATTCACTTGCAATCTATACTTTCTGCGCTAATAGCTCCCTCAACCAAGTGACCATCCACACGGCCATCATGGCAATATATTCTGTGCTGAATCAAATACCCACTAGCTATCACGAAACTATGCTTTATATTGGCCGAGTCCCACTGAGCATGTCCTAAGTCGCCTGATGATTGCATTGTGCAAGCAACTCTTGAGTTGCGATAAATCTGTAAACCTCCGTTGTGCCTTTTGTGTGTACATAGACACTACACTATACATTCCACATTCCACAGCTGCTGCTGCTGGTTGGTTTTCGGTGCTGTTTGGTTTTCACATGACAGCACACGGTGGTAACGGTCTAAGACGGCCACTACAGGACCCACCAACGCTGTCCCTATGTACCGGCTCAACATCTTGCTTCCAGTACACTTCCTCTTCTTCTTGTTTTCACACCATTTCTCACTGTTATAAATACTCGCAACAAGCCAACACACTCTTTCTATCGATCTCCAATATTCGATCTCCACATTGTAAAGCGTACTTGTTTTTTGTTCATCACCTTCTCCTCCCCCCCCCCCCCCCCCGATTTATAAACTTGATAGAGCATCACTATGGACTCCCCTTGGTCTACCCACTTTTCAAGATCAAGAAACTCAGTTTTACCTCAGCTGTCCAAGATTTTCGGTAGGTCAGCTCATAGAGCTCTGCATTGGCGGCTGAGTCTGCACTCGAAGCACCCGGGCACCAGAACCGAGGCGGGGTGTTCGGATTAGCATCAGGTTGAATGATTGCACGCACGACTTCCTCACGGCCTGCGGAGAAGACACGCACAAGCATGGAAAGTTGATAAACATGCCGAGGAGCATCAGGAAGAACCCATCGGCGTCCTATTATAAAACAATCATATCACAGAAATACATGCAGAACCGGTGTGTCCCGGTCCTGGTCCATCGCTGGTCACTTGCTCACTGACTTGGTGTGGACCAGGTCTCCCTCTCCCCCCCCCCCCCCCCCCCATCTCTCTCTCTCTCTCTCTCTCTCTCTCTCTCTCTCTTTCTTTCTCCCTTTCCCTGCGTGCATTGCACACGTTTCATACATTGCTAACCCATTTCTATCATACAAGTCCAGCATTTTTGCAAAGCCGTATGACCCCACTCCCCGACACTCGATCACCGCGCACTGTGCACGTCCAGCTGGATGTCGTGTGACAAACTGGGGAGATCTGGTCATCTCAAGCTCGGCATTCTAATTATGACGTATTTCACCATTTAGAAGGGTAAACCTGTAATGTATGCTTGGTGTATTCTGGCTTTGGTAAGGTATTGTTTGACTAGGCACAGAATGTTTGACCTTCATACTGTGCCAAATGTACTTGGTTTGAGACATGATCAGGAGTCGATTTGTTGTGCACTAAGGCCACACCAAGTAATTTCTATGTTTCGCGTCACCGCGCGCGTACCTTTTCGAATCGTTGACAAGAAAAAAAAGCACCCAGACGAGTCAATCGATGGCTGTTCTGGCGAAAATTCTCTAGCCAGTATTGCAGTTCAGAGGTTATCAGCTTCTCGATAATCCTGCACTCCAGGCGATGGTACGTAGAAGGTCCGAGCGATGAAAATTTCTATTTTTCCAAGCCGTAGATCTACACTCACCAAGCGAGCAGAGATTCCAGGTGTCAAGGACTCCGAGATTTTCCACGATTGTGATAGAGCGGAATTCCTCTCGCCTCATGCCAAAGTGCAGAAGGAGCCATCCATGAAATCGGTTACTGTATCGCTCAAGCCCAGTCTGCCAGCTGTCCTGCAGCGACTTGTTGTCGCTTTTGGATATAAGTGACAGTTTAGATTCTAAATTAATAGGAAGTGCTATTCTGTGTGCAACATGGCTCAGTTCACATCATGAGAATCGAGTTTTGTTTTTCCTCTGTTTTTGTTTTTTTTCCGCCCACCCGCGTGCCTTTTTCAGAAAATATCTGACGCGAAACATAGAATACTGCATAGCATGGAAATCAGTTGCTCACCTCCAAACAGAATACGAAATGTCCGCTCGATCGCAGGCCTGCCATCTTGCTGGACTGTATTGGCGGAAGAAAGTACACACGCATGCTTAGTAGGATGCTACTATACTGTCACAGGACAGTAGCAGGGTCAAGTAACTGTTAACACAATGTCACAGTTGTCTAGCTACTAGCTAGGGATCTGGTGACACTTGCAAAACAGAAAGCAGCTGCATCTATCCAGGAAGATCAGCCGTTTCCAGAACTCCAGCCACAACACATCACAGAGTGAGAGTGAGAGAGACCACTCATTCTTACTCCTAAAGAAGAAACTTACTTCTCCGAAACTGGTGAAGGTTTACTGCTTCCGCGAGCTACAAGGAATAAGACAAATTAGGATGTATAGGCCACACAATAAGCACAATGATCACAGAGAGAGAGAGAGAGAGAGAGAGAGAGAGAGAGAGAGAGAGAGAGAGAGAGAGAGAGAGAGAGAGAGAGAGAGAGAGAGAGAGAGGTTCTAGCCGGGGGGGGGGGGGGGTGTAGCAGCCCCCCCCCCCCCCCCACTCTGATCGTACACCACCCTACTTGTTTTTAGATGTTTGTGTTTTTTCAGTTCACACAGCGAAAATGCGGCCACAAATCGATCGTTCCGGGTGCTCGCTATTGCATTCTGTGTGACAAGACGATAGTGGAACATTGAAAAAACGGGCTGTTTGTTTCTCCGTGCCTACATTTTTTTCCCCGGCTAGAACCTTGCACTGGAATGCTAAGATACAATGCGGTGCTCTCGGGGCAGGGAAAGCAGGACCGGTGAAGGCAGTTCTTGATTGGTCTGGCCATACCACAAGCCAGTCATACTTTGTAAATGATACGGCGGGTGCACATGATATCCTCCTCCTCCTCGGTATTAAACACACGTTGGTGGCCAAAACGCTGGTCCAGTCATGCCCTGACCAGCCGGACCGGTTCTGCAGGGTCTGCGTAAGCCGTTGTCATAAACTCTCCACAATAACACTTTTCCTGCTCTCAACTCCCTCAAACTTATGAGCAACATTTATAGTGAAATCTAGGCAATAGTAGACACCCTTAGCAAACAACGTTATGTTGTAACGGTATTACCGTATTGGGGGAAAATACCGTGATTTGGGCTCGACCTTTAGCAGGATGCACGCTATTTTAGTACGCTGTTGCCACGAGAATAGCTTTTACTTCGCGCGGTACAACCATTTATGTCACCATATACACGATGCAAGGTGAAATGCGTAAGGACTATGCAATATTTGGCCAAAAAACGTACCATTGGTCACAACGATAAATCAGCCCCCATAACGTTTTTACGCTGCAGCTTCAACGCTATTTGGGTGATCAAGGTACGAGTACCGTAAAAAAATAGTGTTACCGTTGTTTGCTAAGGGTGTCTAATAAGGACGTTTAGCAACGCGAAAATTCGAACTTTTGGTGGTGGAGATATTTCGTGAAAATCTATTTCGAAAAAGGAAACCTTGCGAGGTTTAGCAATCCGAAATAACTTTTTCTCGCGAAGTTATTTGAATCCTATCGTACCGTACCATAAAGCAGCTCAGTCTCAAGCAGGGGTCTGTAAAATTACTACTCCCTGTAGTCAAATGCGTACCGAGAAAAGAGAAAGTTACTTTCGCAAATCATTGCAGTTTCGTGTCCAAGTTTTTGAAGTTTCGAGCTTTGTTTCTGTACTCATTCCCAGACTCGAATTTTCTTTCGAACTTTTCGCTTGCTAAACGTCCTTATTATTGGAAAGTGGTGGACATCGTGCAACTGCATTGTAAATAAAAGGGGGTTTGTCAACTGACAACCGCTCTATTTAGTTGCTATTCACTCTTTAGATGAGAATTCTTTTATTAATGATGTCGAAAAAGTATTGACGTTTCGGGCCAGTCACCCATTATTATTATTAAAAGCATGTTCGCGTAGGTGGCGGGGGTGCCACTTTCGCTTATGCCATTCAGGATTGATGTCTGAAGAGTAACACGATACAATGAAATGACAGAAGTGACGTCAACAAAAGCCGTTAGCAACAACACCAATATGACTAATGGAAAACTTCATCCAAAGTATAAAATAAAATAGAATATGCATACAACATTTCTGGTCAGTCCTGTTAGGTGGGGCGGGCTCCACGCCATGCCTGTCGGTCCGCTGCCATTGTGCGGACTGCGTCAACATCTAGCGGCTGGTGGAGGGTAAGTCCATGCCATGATAACAGTTCCGTCTGCAAGACCGTTGTCAGAACAATTTACAAGGAGCGAACCTGGCCTTTTATAACGAAAGCAAGCGAGAGCGTATGCATGTCCATATTATTGGAACACTGAGTAATATTCCAGGGTGCGACAGAGCTCTCGGCCATTGAAGAAAATGTAAAGAGCGCAGTGTAATGGTGTAGGTGACTCAACACTGAGTAAAGCAATTAATGTGAGAAGCCAACTCTCTCTCTATCTCTCTCATTTTCGCTCCAGGACAGGCATCACACCTAAACTGCAGGAGTTGGAACTTGAAATGTCCTCCTATGCAACGAATGAACGCTGCAAAAAAATGTATCACGTTTCTAACGAAATATTTATCCAATCAAACACTGACGCACTATCTAGAAACGTCGCAGCGCAACGCACTGAAATGGTATAACTATAAGTTCTAAGACAGTATTGATTCACAATTCGTCTCTTCTCGTCAGACCTGCGCCAATACTTGACCATGCTCAGTTTGGAATGACATTCCCAAACACCACGCACATGTCTCAATACACAATTCCACAATTCCCGGTATCCCCTCAAATCCACGCAAAGATCAAAACTCCATTCAGAAAACGTACCTGGCGCTCAATTTCTTGGTAATTTGAGGAAACATTTCCCCCACTGGTGGCCATCAGACGCTACTGTCGCGTCTCGCCTTAGCGATTTCCCGGCCAATTGATTTGTTTCTGCTCGAAACAAGAACCTTGCCCTGGGGTTGGCTGGAACTGTCTTCTTCGCACCTGGTACAGTGGTGACGGAGTCGTCAGGAAACCTACGAACGCACCAAGTAAGTAACTAGTTACCACTTCGCAGCAGCGCGAATTTATCTCTTCACGTATTCCTCTTTCGACTCGAGCGCTATCGCCCTACCTCGTACACTGCTTTTGAAATGAAAAGAAGTAGTTCTGTGCAACATGTTTCCCCCTGGCAGTGGCTGCGGGACTGCTGAGTGTTCAGTTGTCTTGATCTGAGATACAGTCATAGTCATTGTATGTGCGTGATACAGACCGTACTTTTACTTGTCCCACCACTAGAATAAAAAGGGAATATTTTCCCTCATTTCGCCAGTGCCATCATGCGCGGTCCATGATGCATCACAGTACAGACACATGCACAGGCGCCAGGCGCCGACATGTCGACTCGATCTACTACTACTACTACCGTACTGGCAATATAATGTTGCCGCAGTGAGGCCATGAAGCGTTACATTGGCACATGTTTGCCGCACGCAGGGCGTTACATGCAAAGTCGCACAGGAGCCGTTACACAGGTTTCTATATTGCCGCAGTCCTTTTTTTGCTATTGCCGCATCACTTTTTTGCTATTGCCGCATCATTTTTTTCCTTTTGCCGCATCATTTTTTCTTTTCATCCACATTGAAGGCACAGAAATTCAGTTGCTATCCGACTGTTACAAACCCGACGGCAAAGGGCGACAACGATATCAATGTCCGCAGATTGAGTCAATAGAAGACTGTATATTTTAATTAACTATCAGAGTGATCTGTTCACAAAAAGATCATCAAAAGGAAAGTGACATAGGGGAAGAGCGCTTCCTCCACAAACTACTTTTCACCACGCGGTACACGTGCTTTCACAGTTTTCAGCCTTTTTTTTGCAGTGCAAACTGCAATGAAAAGATCGCCGCACCCCGCCGGACGCGCGTTACGAACTCAACGAAAATTTGTCGCACTAGCCTGGTCGCGCGTTACGCCGCACCCCCCTGCGTTACGCGTTACGCGGCAACATATATTGCCAGTACGGTAGTACTACACACATAATGTACTGTCACTGTGTGTCAGAACTAACTACGACACGTGCTCGTAGTCATCCAGAACTAACGTCACTCGTTACTAGTCTTTGGCAGAAGTCTGCAAACCTGGAAAATAGTTCAAGCAAGCGCGTCACGGACATGACTCACGTGGACTTTTCGTCTGACTACCGGTATGTACATTGTAGATCTACATGTAATACTACAAAAACTGAAAAAAGTACATGAATGGGGGGGGGGGGGGGGGGGGGGGAGTGATCATTCATGCTGAAGTCTTCAGTGAAGACAGTTCACCGCAGTATTTCTTCCATGTTCACGACGCTAGCTACTACTACTAGTACTACTGACACAGTCAGTGACTGTCAGTAGACAGACTAGTTAGTTAGTACTGCCAAAATTAATAGTAGTCATGGTAGTTCACTGTTCAGGTATGGTGATGACCACGATGACGTGTGGCTTACAAACTATCTTACTCTTTGTCCGATTTACTTTGATCTTCCAAAGCCTGGCAAAGGTTTCCAAATGGCAATCATTGCATTTCAGATCTTTAGTCGTGGAGTCATCAGGTCATGAACAGTTTCAAGTCCAGTAGACCTACTACTAATCCGTGTGCTAGATCTACTACAAAGTAATCAGTGACAGTGTGCAAAACCAGTCCAGGGCAAGAGATCGTGTACGTGTGGAGAGTGAAAGGTGTTGAACTGTTACTTGAAGTCAGCAGCTCCATTTGTCCTGTATGTCATTGTGGCCACGAGATTGTCCTTTTGGGCAATGCGAAGTAAGTCGAGAGCCGAACAGACAAGTGCTTGTAAAGTGAGTTCATACTTCAAACTTCAAACTACAATGGCATGTTTGTAGTAACTAGTTCATGGTCACTCGATATGTTGAGTCTACCCGAGATTCGGTACCCGAAATGACTCTTGATAGCGGAGTTACGGTAGCAGCGATACTCCAACCAAACGCTGCAAATGGTCTGATTCCTCAAGTCCAGAGAAGTCTGAAATCCCGCGTAGCGATCGCGCTCTCACCCGTAGCCTACGCGTAGGTCCGTACTACATGTACTGGTCGCGGTGTGGATCTAGGGGATTTTGCCTGAACGCACCCAGGCTGCAGCTACACTACAGCAGCTGATCTACGACTACGACTAGCCATGATGCCACCGCTACCGGACGCGCAGCATGGTTGCCTTGCCTGCTGCCGCAGCACGTGCACAGCTCTCATGCTGGTAATCGCTGCTACGGCCATCTTGTCCATGTGCGCAGCAGGCAAATGCACTGCTTCTCAACTCAGCCCAGCACCAAAGAAGTGAGTCTCTTTGACTTTGTTGGCTGAATGAATGAATGGTGTGCTCTATGGAGCGAAGCCGGGCAGAATACATGAACATGTCGTACCGTATTTTTTTCACGAAATACGGACATCTACTCAGTATTTCCACAAACGGTTCATTTGTCCATCGTAGCATAAGGCGGACCGACAATTAATTATTTTGGGTGAATTATTAGTGATTAAAGAACGGCTTATGCTCCGGAAAATACGGTACATCAGTTATCATAATAATTATTGTATCTCTACTGTACTCCCCTGGCATGTACATCATTGTATCTGGCCACCTATGGCTAGCCGCAGGAAGATGATCATAATGCTAGTGTCCGTAAATGGGTTTTTCCCTATAGGTGGTTTGTTCCCTATAGCAGTATAGACCGTCTGGATATGTATAGCTTGGACAATGGTGAATGCTTCCTCATGGAGATGAATCCCGTGTTGGAGGATTTCTGTATGTACCATTCTTGCCAATGACTCGAGGCATTACATTGGCATTGCACGTTGAATGAGGGATGACAAGTCACTAATGACAACAGTACAGAAAAGGCTGAACAATATAGCAGTCAGAAAGGCTGTGAAAGCAAATCCAGACAATGGATGGCCAAAGAAACATATTGGGGCTGGACTGCATGTGCTTCATCACTGATTGTATTGTGCTGCATCACACGTCTGCCGAATACTGCATGCAGGCCTTTATCGGCTGAGGAGAAGTCTGCGTACCGTTGCGAGTGGATAGTTCACGTTGATGACGCACTGGCCAGTGGCGATCAGACTCTTGGGTCACACATAATAGACACGGTGCTGCCGGTGGACAGGATACATCATAACGATATGACTGGTGATCTACTGCTGCAGTATGTGACAAGTTCCAGGTAAGAACCCACTCTGAAGACTGATTGGGGTCTCATGTGATATGTCGCCTTGGCGAGGAAATGGTTGTTTGATTCGGATATGAGCGTGTGATCTTGCTTTGGCTGTCACGGCGGTACTGTGGCAGACATGTAAATTACTACGCACTGTGGCTTATGCATTACTGCATTTATCGCTACCAGCTGGAGCAGATTCATACCATGTTGTTGACAGGGGAGCCCGGGGGGGGGGGGGGGGGGGGTCAAACAACCCTGAGGTGTTCAATCTGTTTGAACATACAGCATACGACAGTAGGAGCTCAGGACACCGGATCAGTTGAAGTATATGTGAATTACCGGTGTATATCCACAGTCACCTGACTGAGGAAGAATGTGCAGGGTCCTGAAAAACATGCGTGCTACTCAATGCAATGAGAAAAGTGTGTTCTTTCCAGGTGTACTGTATAGTGACGTAACGCTATGCCTGTTGCTATTTGTGTACTTAGACCACTTATTGTCACTGGATTAGTGGAGTCATGGCCAGCATATCGTACATGGAATCTTTCCTGGTTCATTGAAACTTACACTGAGTACGGATCTGTAAGTCACTCAGGTTTCCTAGATGTTTTTTAACGTTTTGTCTGGAATGGTTATAACAAACCACAATCTCTCCAGGGAAGGCACTAGTTTTACCAAAGGACTAGAAAATCTGTAGATAAAGCAGTACAAAACAGAATAATTCAATAATATTGGCATGAAACTTTTGACTTGTTCAATCACTTTCATGACACTATTTTACCCAGTGTGTTGTGCTCTACCTAAAAGTATCTTCTTTTGCCTCTCCCTGTCTGGCATTGACGGTAGCTGTATGATTGGGGGCAGCAGCATTCGGAACTCACAGTGGACGATTACCAGAGAAAGGTAGCAGAGAACCCCAGGTAGGTAAGGTGAGACAGCCGATTGATGTGTAGCCTCGCTGTCACCCTTCATGTGTCCTGTGTGAGTTTGCCAGACATGGCTTGTTAGATGCCATAGCTAACTGTTCTCGTTATGGCCCTTGAACGTGACACTGTGTTGAATGATAGGGTGTCAGACTGAACCCACCAGTATATGCTGTACGTGGCACTAAGCAAATAATTATGGTCTACACCAGTACCCTAACATGATTTCCAATGGCTGATTCCCCATCATTGATCTCGTCTTTGTTGGTATCACCTACATTCATGAGGGCAATGGGGGGGGGGGGGGGGGGGGCACGTATCCCTAAACAGTCTCATTGGTTTGTTCTTCTGTGTATGGTGTTTGAGGCTAAGTAGATCTGGAAGTTAAGGTTAAGGTCTGTAACTGTGGTTCTATGCCTCAAGCAGAAATACGTCGCAGTGCTTGCCGATAAATGTGTTCTAAAAATTAAAAGGCGTGTGCCTGTGCCTGTTTGTGTGTGTACTCCATGTGTTTGTCCTATAAGAACGTATGTCGCATGGGTGGCAAGCGGAGTGGAACCTGAAGAAACCAACGCCAAGATGATGAAGGACATGGACGACCATCCACCATTCATGCCAGCTCGAGAGCCGCACAGTACATTGGTGCACTGGGTATACGGTGGCTTGCCTGCAGCTGGAGCCACGACGTACGTGACATGATGCAGTGTACAGTTTCAGCTGTTGTTGGTTGAATGTCACTTGCAATTGTGATGTTGCTCCACACCTGGGTGGTGATGATGGGCTGGGGAAACTGATCCACATCTGCAAAATGCCCCGAGTAACAACACCAGCTAATGATAGGGCTATTTGCTGCCGCCAAGTCTTGTTTCAGTACTACTACAATACTCAGTAGAGTCTAAAACGCCTCCATCCTACGCTACACGACAGGCTCTCAGCTGCACTGAACTAACATTTTTTTAAGGGCTGACAATATAAATAGTTTGCCCGTTGCATTGAGCACAATCATGACATTGATGTGGGGGGGGGGGGGGGGGGGCAAATACGCAATATATACCGTACTTCCCCACATATAAGCGCATGGGCTTATATGTAGCAAATTTTTTTTTGCTGTGTGAACATGTTCGGGTAGAAGCCCATGCGCTTATATGTGCAATAACGGTTTGTCTGTGTCCTAAACAACGGTGTTATCACAATGCTTAGCAGTATATTCAGCTCCCGGGTGTTTCACCAGTAGTGTTCACATATAAGCCCATGCGCTTATAATTGGGGGGTGTGCTTCTGTCCGGACATAAGCACATGCGCTTATATGTGCGGAAGTACGGTAATTATTGCTTTCAAATACAGCCAGATGAATGTTCCAGAATCCACCCATCCTGGGCACAGAATTAACAAAAAAATATTCTTTACTTGTTAAGTGACCAAAACAAAACAACAAGGCTCAGTATCCGAGTTAAAACAACAACGTTTTCCCTCTGCATGGAAAACAGCTAATGTTATACCGATCTACAAGAAAGGGTCCCGCCACGAAGCATCAAACTACCGTCCGATATCTCTACTGTCCTGTGTTTCCAAACTCTGTGAGCGCGTTTTCTACGACCGATTGTACTGTCATGTCCCGTCACGTTTGAGTTCAGCTCAGTCCGGATTTCGCAGAGGCGATTCTACCACCCTCCAGCTGACGCGCCTGGTGCAATTAGTGTGTCGACATCGGGATGCTGGAGATCTAGTCGGGATCTGTTTTTTCGATCTTGCCAAGGCCTTCGATACCGTCTGGCACCGGTGGCTTTTGGCCAAGCTTCGTGGATCATTTACTGTAGACGGCAATCCCTTGCTATGGCTGACATCTTACCTAACTGGGCGAACCCAGTACGTCACGGTACATGGGACGTCCTCAGCCGACACAACAGTACTATCCGAAGTTCCCCAGGGTTCCATCCTCGGCCCCCTTCTTTTTATCTTATACATCAATGATCTGCCCGCAGCTGCCCCGGGCACATCACTGTTCGCAGACGACACAACGCTCCTACGGACATCTCCTAACATTACTGGCCTGATGAGTAACCTAGCTAACGGGATTCAAAGAGTAATTTCCTGGATGTCGTCTTGGCGGTTATCGCCCAATCTGTCTAAAACTAAAATCATGCTCTTTCCTTCTCAGCCCGATGTTCCGCCCCTCCTCCATCCCACTTTCCCCAGCCTATAGACATAGTCTCCAGCCATAAGCATCTTGGCATTTTCATTGACTCTAATCTTTCATGAGAACCCCACATCGATTACATATGTAAACAATCAAGTTCATCTTTAGGAATCCTCTCTTCTCACTGTTACCATCTCCCAATCTCTTGTAAACTCCTCTTTTACTCAGCTTACCTATGCCCCATTTTTGATTATGCAGATACTGCTTGGGCTGGAATTTCCACAACCCGTGCTGCCAAGCTCGAAATTCACCACAAAAAAGTTCTCAAAATCCTCCTCCGAAAACCCCGCATGCTCCCATCTTCCACCCTTTATGCCCTTGCTGACACTACCCCTTTGTCTTAGAGACGTAATTCACATCTTGTCACCCTCATCCATTCTCTCAAACTCAATTTGTGTCCACCTCACCTCCACTGTTTCAACTGGTTCTCTTCCCGTAGCACGAGAAACTCCCTTTCACTTCCGAAACCTAAGTCCTCCTTTCTACTTCACTCTCCCTTTTTCACTGCGTACTCTGCGTGGCTGGCACTTCCCCAAGAAGCTAAGGACCTTTCTTCCCTCCGCCTTTTTAAGAGCCTTGTCGCGCCTTGACTTTGATTTTGTGTTTCTCATTTTGTTGCAATCACTGCTTATCCATGCCGGTTCCTTTTTCTTCTCCTCCCCTTCTCCCTTCCTTGCCGTGGTTGGCTAACACCCTCTCTCTTTGCATTGGCCGGTGTTCTCACTGTGCCATGAGATGCTGTAATAAATAAAATAAAATAACAACAAATACAATGTCCTGATGATGGCGAAATGCCGAAACGGTTGCTGAAATTAAAAAATTGACGTGAAAATGATGTGCAGTGTTTTGCAGAGTTATGGGACCGAGCTTGTCAGCTCGAATGACTTTCTTCAAAACAAAAAGGAAAAGGAAACCGCCACAGCACATTCAAGAACAGTATCAGGCGTCCCACTGTGGGAGTGCTGAACGTGATAAATGCAGGTGATAAGTGAAAAGCGTATGGACTGTGGATGTATGTATGTGCTGTGTCAGGTGGTAAATACTGAAGTAAGCCCTGCGATAAGTGAAAGAGAAAGGTTGTTGTTGTTTATTTTACTTCACCAGATGAACAGGCAGAGATGCCTTCTCACCTGCCCATAGGACAGGTTCCCACAGAATGATGAAGGGATGATATGCAAGGGAAAACAAGAAATGATAATAATATAAGACAGAAAGGACTAAAAGAAGAAAAGGAAAAATTATATGAAGACAATTTCATGGAGTCAGAAATAGAAAGACAATAATTTCATGGAGTCAAAGAATAGAAAGACAATTTCATGGAGTACGGAACACGTGGTTGATTTTATAGACATAAGAAAAAAAGGTGTTGACAGTCCAGTGAAATCTATTTGACTAGGTGCAGCCCATCATCGCAATTGATAGCACATTTCCCCGGTTAAAATGCCCGGTTGTAAGTCGACCACCCCTTGTTTAGTTCAGTTTTTAGGTCATAAAAGGTCGACTTATGACCTGTAAATTCGGTTTATGTTTTGTACTGTATGATTGCCGGTATCGAGGTGCCAATATGGGCCGGGCATTGTGTGGAAAGGAGGAACGGGATTTGAGGTTTTAGTCGCGGCTGGGGAGGTGCCACGTCACAGTGTGTATGCCCCACGGTATTATACTTTGCCCGTGTGCATCTAGACCATGGTATTGCCTGGCCCAAGGCTGCACACTCATGCACTGCACTGCATGATCACAATGTTCTCTTGCCGTTGTAAATTTATTGTTTGTATCACATGGCGTAGTGCGGGTGCGGGCGATCTCTAGCAGCGGAACCATGTTTTGCACAGTAATTGTTATACTTATTGTGTCAATGCATATTGTACCGGTACGCGATCTGTCACAATATTATTTTAATTTTATTATGTACAATGTATGTACGTACAGGCATCGTGACAATGTCTGTGATGGCACCTGGACAGCACAGTTCAAGGGAGAGAAGCAGTGGTGTTTCAGTACTCATCGACGGCTCTCGGACAACACACAGAACTTCTATGCTGTGACTCAAGTAAGCCCTTTTAAACACCTCTGACGGTCAAATAGTGACATTTCTGTTTGCTGTAACAGTAGATACATCTGCTAAAGCGAGTCGTCAAAGAGAGCCTTGTGGGTGGTGGTTTTACTGACACTTCCTGCACTACTAGCTTACACAGTATCACCCGCATGCATCTGCCTGATCAAAAACTGCTGATATTCATACCTCTATCCTGTTCAACGGACCCTGCGGCACCAACTTTTTTTCCCTGGGTACTTCTAGGTTAGCGATCCCATTAACTAAGACAAGTGTACAAACTTGTTCAATGCATGTGTGACTTGTGTTTGTTTGCGGTGCAGCAACCGGGTGAGATGATTATATTCACCATTCCAATGTGGCACGGAACCTACCTTCTCTCCGAATCATTCAGTGTACACGGGTATTTCCCGCTTGATTCAGCCACGAATTTCACAGAAAAGTTTGACAACTTGACCAGGTAGGAACGAGTCAGATTGAAACGTACAGGTGATGAATGGTGTGTGTGTGTGCCAATTGGTATCATTTTGGTAGTATTACATGCCCAGTACGGTGAACACCCGCAGTACCGCCAGGGTTTCAGCCAATGTGTGAAATCAGTTACTGCCTGCACGGACATTAATTAAAACTGTGACAACTTGTCTCTACCCCTTTCTCACAGTTTCCAGAGGTAAGCACTACGTTGAGGACCCTGCACGTATTTTCACACACCTTGCCTTTGGACATAACTCAGAGTGCCGCCTTCACAAAAGAATTCAGCCTTTTCTTGCTCTTGAAGATATGCAAACTGTTCTACTAACGTTATACCTGTATCTTTGTGAACTGTGGTCCACAGTTCCCAAAGATACAGGTATAACTGGTCAGCCTGTCTCCGTATAGCACTGATGTGCACATACATCGTGTGTTGGCTTCAACTTGTGTGTACATGCAGGGAGGATGCAACACTTGATGAAGACTACTCTCACTGCATGCCTGGTTTCCGTTCTGCAAGGGACTCCCTGCTGTACTGGGACATTGAGGGTGTGGTCATAATGGCGGTAATCGGGTTCCTTGCCCTGTCAGCTATGATCTTTCTTCGGAGATTGCTGCTGCTGCGTTCCAGACCCTCACTTGAAGACTTGAAAAGGGAATGATGTCCCTGCTACCTGCATCAGCCTTAGTCCTGATGACACTGCCCTATCGCTCACCTGTTCTATAGCTGGATGTAATTCCGATCATCCCTACTCCGCTGCGTGCTCCACGAGCCCGGGACTGTTCAGAACACTTTATATACTGTGGAGATAGCGATATTTCCCGGTGCGTGACACTTGATTTCCCCTTATTTCCCCTCAATACATTGCTTGGCCGATTCCACAGTAACAGTCAGGATGCTGGTTAACTTGTCTCCTTGAATACCCTAATTCACGAAAAATGCATTTCATTTCGGATTGTCCTACGGATATGCTGCACTTACATCAAAAATTTAATCTATCTTTATGCGTCATTACATTTCTTTTCTAGTTTTTCTTATGCTTCATTATCCACAGCAACACACTACCACAATAGCCACACCAACAGTGACGATGGCGACAAAGATGACAACGACGTCAGCGACAACAATGACAACGACAATAACAACAACGACGGCGGATAACGACAACAGCAGCAGCAGCAGCAGCAACAACGCGAGAATAAAGAATTATTATTATTATCTGTGCTGCGCTGATGAGTCCCACAAAGGACGAAACAGTTCTGTCCGCAGATTGAGAAAAAGTATTATTATCATTATGTAATTAATGAAATGGAAACAAGGAAAACGGTGGGGCACAAGTTATGTGCTAGAGTCTACCAACTAAACCATATTTTGAACAGTCGGACGTGCACAAGGTAGCACCAGACTGACAAGGAGTACTGAGTCATTCCACGGCAAGGAAGTGAGCTTGAGCACCGCTCGATAGCGCTAACCAACGGCCTTCCAGTTTGGAAGGTTCATGGATATTGGTGATAATTCCAAAGAGGTGGAAGGTAAGCGCCATCAAGCCGAACACAAGCTACATTCCAAGGCAGTGGAACGCTGGCTTGATACGATAACGGAATGTCTCAGTAATCCTTGTCAGTCTGGTGCTACCTTGTGCACGTCCGACTGTTCAAAACCTGGTTTAGTTGGCGGTCTCAAGCGCATAACTTGAGCCCCACCATTTTCCTTGTTTCTATTAAATATTTTCCTTGGCTCACCATCTGAGTAATTATTATTATTGAATATTATTTTACTAGGGAATTCCAACAGGTGGGGACGCCTTCTTACAGGGAACCCCAAACAACAGCAGCAACAACAACAACAGCAACAACAACAGCAACAACAACAACAACAGCAACAACAACAACAGCAACAACAACAGCAACAACAACAACCAGTAAAGATGTCTAACCAGAACAATGTACAAGCTGCAACAGTATAGTACATGTTATGTCACATGTGCGTAACATCACAATACAAGAGAGAAGTCTAGCACAGTGACTAAACCAAACCTGAGTTTGGTATAAATGAATAATATGATTGTGCTACCTTTTAGCACATACATGTAATCATAGTCTTTTACACTAAACTAGTACTCGAGAAGTTGAGCTTTCGTAACCAGAGCGCCACTTTTATCCAAGATCATCTTCACGTCCCATGTGTTAGAATACTGTGGCGGTGGTGGATGCTAGTGGTGATAGATACCACACATCACATGACACATGCACATCTTGGCTAAAGGGGGGGGGGGGGGGACCGGATGGGTTAGGCAAGGGGACGGCATAGCTGACCGACACACGTTGATAGTGCGGTACTGCTTACCTTCGGAAACATGATCAGCTAAGAAGTTAGCTAGTGAGGCAGCCATGTGATCTTCTTACCGTGCACAACATCAGCTGTTCTGCAAACGGAAGGCAGACTGGCATAAGACAGTTGGTTCGTCGCGCCAGGATGCGATCCACCGTGTGGAAGCTTCTGCTGAAAGTCCCAGCTGAGCTGTTGTAAGCCTGAGATGGTCCAAATGGCTACCCGGAGGCCGTCCAGTGGATGTGGGTATTTCCATGTATCAAGGAGCATAGGGTCGCGCTGCGGCAGCTGCTAAGGGCACTCGATCAACATCTGCAACAAGAAGGGATAGAACACTTGTACAAGCCAGACTGGAGCTATTAGAATTGCTCGCTGGATCCGATGTTCTTGGATGCAGCGGAGACACGGGTCCACCAAAGCAAATGGTGGGAACAGATAGCCGTTCTGCCACATGGCCGGTGGTGCCATCAGAGTATCGAACCGCTCTGCCCCTAGGTCTTGGCCGTGACTAGCTAATGTATGCCGGCAGTTGGCAATTGTGCCGCGACGCAAACAGATCTCAGACAATTAGATGGCAACTCCGATCCGCTAATCGCCGCTCTTTTCCATGTTCCGTTATAGAAAGTCGGCATCGGTGTTCAGGCCGCCCGACACGTGAACGGCTTTGAGGTGTAGCTGGAGCTGCTCGACTCAGGTGCAAATGTCCTTCGCTGGTTGGCATAGCTGACGACTGAGAGTGCGTCCCGCTTGGTGATTAACATATGCAACTGCTACTGTGTTATCCGTCTCTGGCAGTACTGTTATGTCATGACTGGCACGAGCAAACGTCTGCAGGCCCGGGAAACAGCTTGAAGCTCCTTCCAGTTGATGTGGAAGTTGTCCAGATGTGTCCATGGCCGTCCTGCGACCCGGTCCTGGCACACTGTGCCCCGACCGTAGTCGGATGTATCCGATGATATGATTAGAACCGGCAGGGCTGGCACTACTGACATGGCATTGTGTGCTATCGATTGGTGTGACCACCACTGCGTGGAGGTCGTCCTGAGACCCGACCGACAGACATACTTTTGTCCATGACCACTCCAGAGTCCGGTGTAACTCTAATTGCAGATTCCAAAACCGAAGCACCACTAGGCAAATTGCTATCCGGGATGCCACCATCCTGCCAATCAGGCTTCTCGGCTCTCAACAGCAAAAGATGTGCTTCACCACACCTATATTGTAAGACACATGGGTCACAGCAGATCTCTTTTCCCAGTTGGCTGGGGATGGGTATTGTACATAAGCGATTGACCGCGAACATGTCGATAATAATAAAATAATATATATGGGAATGGTGGATGATCTGAGTCTGATCAACAAAACAGCCGTACACTCTCCACAGCTTGGCGTGGTGGCAATGGAGTCTGCGGGGTCCCGGTGCCTATGTCGCGCCAGAGCTGGACTGACCCGGAGTGCCTTCTCGCCGGGCTGTCCGATACGCCGGGGAGTGTTTCCACTTCTGTGCTGACGACCGCTGGTGATGCAACCACCGATTGGTCTGGGATGGGGCCCCGGTCGATAGCCTCCGAATGTCGAGGAGCCCCGCGCCAAAAGGGCGGCCAGTTGGCCGCTAAATGTGCCGGTGTCACAGCAGAACGGAGAGTGTGGAATGCCACATAGATTGAAAGCTGGCGGAGAACATTTCGCCACTGAGATTCCCAGTCTCCAGCAGCTCATCGTCCAGACAGCTCTTAGCCAAGAGCTTGTGCTTGGCTTCTATCAACCAGTTCCGCCTCATTTTGGATAAGGACGCATTGGCATGTCCCAGCAATACCGGGATTCTCTCAGTCTGTATGACATTCTTGACCCTTGCCTTGGAAAAAATATCAGTGGCTGTCACACAACCACTACCTGCCTGCACTGAAGAAGTGAAGGGCCCATCTCCAGCAAAGCCCACAAACACGACACTGTCCCAGCGGCCTGGTGGATGGTGTTCCGTAGCGTACTCAACTGCCCATCCATCTGGTGTGGATGCGCCGCACCCAGCCATGTAATTGTTGCAACGGCATCATCAACCTTCGGCATCAGTAACCATGGCGACGTGTCTGTAGTATCATGTACAAGTAGTCTACGGAGTCTTGAATGTGCCTCCACCTTATTATTACCGGTATTATTGCATAGCAGCCAAGCATTATGCAGTTATGGCTGGTTCGGGCAAAGTACGTAACGTTGACAGTTTTGCCAACCTGCACCATGGCAGGAGCCTCTATCGAACACGATCATAATCTACTGGTACTGACAGCCGTCAGCGCCTCCAGATCGAATACAGCTTCAGCAGCTGTCGATCAGGCTTTCTCACTTGCTATCAGCACAACGTCATGTAGATTAATTTCCATTGCTATCATTCAAGTAAGTTCGGCCCCATTTTCTCTGTGCTATGCTAATTTTCATTTCAGACTGATCTGAATCATAGTACAATGTACCTTCCTATTGCCGAAGTATTCAACCAAATTGGCCATGCATGGGCCACCGTGGAAATAAAGACCAGTAAACAACAGTTACTACACTGACTCTGTACTTAGTCTTTGAACGGTAATAATTCTGCTGACGGATTTCCGCCCGTCAAATCGGACCGCGCTGAGTTTCCGCTAAGCCACGGCCGTTCCAGCTCCTCCTGAGCAAAATATCAATTGTCCAACTCAGCAGCTGTATATCCGTCCAGCTTCGAGTGATTGGAATACATAATAATCTACTGGCAGCCGCCAGTGCCTGCGGATCGAATACAGCTTCAGCAGCTGACGATCGGGCTAATTCTACGGGCGGATTTCCGTCCGGCAAATCGGATCGTGCTGAGTTTCCGCTCACTCACGGCCGTGCCATGGCGCCAGCTCCTCTTGACCAAATCCGGTACAACTCAGTAGCTGGATTTCCATCCACTGATCCAGCTCAGCCTCCGAGGAATCCGGGTCGCGACCCGATGCCACTGAGTTTCCGCTCAGCGAGCATGCACAGTTGCACACTGCTCTGAGCATGTGGCGTTGCTGACGATCGAAGTAAATGTTTGAAGCGTTCACAAAACGGAGCGACACATTGTCACATTCGAAGGCCGAGACACCTAGCTTGGTGGGTTGCCGCTTCTTTCGTCCATGCCATTGTCTACTGACACAGTGACACCAGGGAGTAGTAAAATACTACTCCCTGGTGACAGTTACAGTAGTCTGTGTGAGAGACGTGAGGCGCGCTCTGTCTCTGGTCTCTGGCCGTAAATGTCCGCAATACATGGTGGGTTATGTCATCCAGCGCACACTCCTCCCTTGTGAATGAAGTAACAATAAATTTAGTTCGTTGTGGAAGAAGTATTAGTTGTGTGTGAAGTAATAGTTGTGGCCTGCTTGCATGCAGTTTTTCGCGCGACTGTGCTACTGCCTGGTATTACAGGTGGTGGCCTGGCACGAGCGAAACTAGTAAGTATGTTACTTGTAAGCTGGTTGTACAGTATTGTGTTTCTACACCATGTACACGACTAGTAACGTTACGATCATGTACATGTCATGTAACCAATACTGTCTTGTTGTGTGTGACCGGTACGGGTCTACAAAGGCTAGCGAGTGTGGTGACGACTTCACCCTGAACATCCTGAGTAGGTGTGATCATGAGTGACTGGCGTACAACACTAATCTAGTCTTGTTGGCTAGAGTTTGTATGAACTCACTGCACAAGTGCACATACTCAGGACAGGACCAACACTTTGTTTTGATAGATTTCGTTACATACTATTAAAAGGCACAAAGGAGAGTAAGAGTTTGTCGCAACTCCGAGGCTCTTGCTGAAATGCGATCATCAGGTGACTTGTCAAGACAAGTCACGAAAGAGATACCATAATCGATAATGTAGTACCCTGTTTGCGTAAGAATGTTGTGTCCAACAAGTACCGAAAATGCCACTTCTTGGTGAGATTATTTGAAGCCGTTTCCACTGTGCGCATGCAGTGATAAGAGTTGTGTTCTGAGGTTCCGTTGAATCGACTTGCTATGTTTCTGAGCTTTCACCAATGCATAACCTGTGTTATCATGGACACATATCTTGGTGACTTGGGCAACGGAGTGCACATAGTCATTGAGCAGTAGTAGCTGAGAATGCACGCTCATTTCAGCTTCAATCTAAAATACATGTGGTGAATTTCTTATTTTCAAACTTGGGATTTCACTGGAATGCAGCATTACATGACTAAGTAAGGGCATGACTTATTACTATTAGTATTAGAGAGGTTAAGATGCACATTATTTTTGACGTGACGCGAAAGTTCAGCTCGCGTTAAAGGGGAAGTATACCCTAAAATCAAATTTTCACCAGTTGTAGTCTTCTGGGTGCTGAGTCGAATGGTCTTGGTCCGAGGAAGCTGCGACGCTCCCTTCCTACTTGAATCCCAATCGAACTCGCGCACTTCCACCGAAACTGGGTGACTGCGCCCTACTAGATGGGGATTTGTATGCAAAATGTCACTAAAAGCGCCATTTCGTTCTTATAAAAGCACGGATGACCGCGATTGGCCCATATGTTGTAGTCTTTTGGACGCTGAGTCGACTGGTTTTGGTCCGAAAAGGCTGCGATGCAGCGTTCCTCCTTTATTCCCAATCGAACATGGTTGAACAAGCGGTCACGTGCTCCTGCGTACACCAGTCACCTGGTCACCATGGTCACCGTGCCTGCAGGGTACAACTTACTAGCCTGTTTGACCTTTTTTGGGTGCAGTCCTGTCACTCGAGTTGAACTCGAGTTGAACCTTGGTGTGAAAGTTGTCGCCTGCTGGCACGGTGACCAGGTGATTTGGGCACCCAGGAGCACGTGACCACTTGTTCAACCATGTTCGATTGGGAATAAAGGAGGAACGCTGCATCGCAGCCTTTTCGGACCAAAACCAGTCGACTCAGCGTCCAAAAGACTACACCATATGGGCCAATCGCGGTCATCCGTGCTTTTATAAGAACGAAATGGCGCTTTTAGTGACATTTTGCATACAAATCCCCATCTAGTAGGGCGCAGTCACCCAGTTTCGGTGGAAGTGCGCGAGTTCGATTGGGATTCAAGTAGGAAGGGAGCGTCGCAGCTTCCTCGGACCAAGACCATTCGACTCAGCACCCAGAAGACTACAACTGGTGAAAATTTGATTTTAGGGTATACTTCCCCTTTAATTGGCTCGCGCGTTGGAAAACAACGCGAGTGATCTGCAGCTCGCGTCGAAATTTGGAGTATTACGCCAAACTTGACGTGAAATTGCGCGTCACGTCAGAAATAATGTGCACCTTAATCTCTCTATTATGTAGATCCCCCCCCCCCCCCCCCCCCCTGAACGGCTCTATTATGTAGATACCCCCTGAACGGCTATAGATACCCCCTGAACGGCTCAGGAACCAGGTACATGTACCAGCAATCGCTGGGTACAACTGGGCATTGGCGGCCTCTACCGCATTCTGTAGGCGGAAATGTTGTACAGTTGAATGTGCCTGCTCTGGCCAACACAAGATCAGAAGTGCTCTGCATGCTAACACACGCACATTCACACACACGCGTGCACATCCATGTGCACACCTCAGACCTCAGACCTGCCCATCGCGGAAGCGATGATAGCGAACATCTATGTTAAACATAGCAACTTGTGCTGGGATTACACCATTCAACAGCTTGCAAGGCTGATGTGCACACACACACACACACACACACACACACACACACACACACACACACACACACACACACAGCGCTCAGAGCACAAACTGGCCTACATGTACATGTAGGTAGACAACCGTACAAAACTCTGCACCACGACTGGAAAAAATATCAATAATAATAACTAGTCTTTTCGCTGCATCAATAGGATTTTTCAGAAATAGCCAAGCGTACTACATGTACATATACATGTAGCAGAAAACGACTCTTTAAAAGGAAAGTCAAACATAAAGAAACAGTCAAACGGTAGCCTGGAATGAATGGCCCAAAATATTCAATGGTAAATTACGCTGGAATTGGGGAGGTTATAGATGCGCTGGAGTAGTAAGTGATGCGGCAAACCATAGCACCGTATCTGGAATAACAATGTCTAGTCGTTTGGAATGTTTGGATAACGGTAGGAGCGATGTATACCTATGTGGTCAAGAATAAATATTATCAAGTTCAAATATGCCTTGCCGCTCCCTGCTAACCGAGCAGTTCTGCAGTGCTGGTATAAAAACAAAACAGATCAGAAAGGCCAAGAGCGTACTGATTGTCGTGCAGCACACTTCTCAAATTGGCGCCAGACAGCACAGCCCACGTGGCATTTGCGTGTTGGAGTTAGGCATATCAGAGCACAGTCTGCGTAGCCGCGTTCTGCATGCCAGAGGACCTACTGACAGATACTGGAAGCTGTGGTTCCACTTATCAATGCAACGTTCTCTTCCACGCACCACACAAACGTATGGTGCTAAAGGAGCGATCGGGAGAGAGCTGGCTCGTTGATACTTGCTGCTTCTTTGCAGCATGCCAGCGGCAATGAGGCAACTCATGCACGGTGACAAGCGTTCCCCTGGCACTATCCGGCAGAGGACTTTGGCGGTTTACTATTCTTGCCGGCACATACACCGCATCCATGGTCCAGCAAGTCAATGGTGTATTTGTCATAGTCCGCTGCCTCTATATCGCCAATGACCAATGGATGTCGATCCATGAACTTCTGGCAGTAATAGGGTGCCGAGTGGAAGCGAGGCATGTGAGAGGCCTTCACACCCCCAACAAACATCAACATCCCCATCACGGTGTCGTCAATTCCAAACAACGGTATCCCGGACACGTACTTCATACCGTCTTCCACACTATCACACGACGTCACATAGCCAAAGCCCTGGTGATACGGTGGGTAGGTCTCAGGACCGTAGAAACTTCTTCTGACATACCACTTTGACTCGGGATCCCTCACCACCAGCACATCTTTTTCCATCATTCCCGAGTAGAACCGCTCATTGGGACTTACCACCAGCCACTGAATCAAGGCGTTCAAATTGATGAAAGCATCGTCATCAGCCATCAGTAGGTAGCGAAATCTCATAGTCTGCTGCACGTGTGTCAGCGTCCACAGCAGCTTCGATGTCAGGTTCTGGTACGTGTCTTTGAAGTTCCCAACAGCAGTGTCATTGTAAAGTCGACTTTCACCATCGACAGCATCATCCGTTTCTCTCTTGCCAGACTTGCCTATCACAAACGAGAAATGGACCATCTTGTCCATGACATTGGCGTTGTAGAACGAGTCGACTCTCATCGCCTTAGCCCATGCTGCGCGCATCTTTTGTCGCCGTTCGAAATTTCCTGGTGCGGATTTGCACATAATGGCAAGATACACGACTTTTCTGGGATCGGTGGCCCTGCAACATGGGTCCATGTCAGCACAGGCACTGCATTGGCAGTTTTGTTGCTGCTGCTCGACTCCAGTAGACTGAGTAGACGCGGGCAACGAGGTCACTGGCTCTTTCTCAAAGACGTGCTGTCCAGTGTTGGGCTGACCGCCGTCAGCGCCAGCACCTCCGATCCTTGTTGGCCTCCGCTCGGTTAGCATGTGCGCTGCGGCACCCGTCTCCATTGCTATCTTGCCCTGCTCTCTAGAATTGGTTCCTGGCAGCAGCCTGTCTTGCTGCTCAAACCCGGTCTCCGATGACATGGAGAGCTGTTGGCTCGGTGTGAGGCCTGACATACCTCTCTGACCTCCTCCATTGTACCCGTGCTCTGACCAGCCATAGTTGGCGCACAAAAGTAGGACGAATCCAACAACGTTGAAGCAGATACTGACAACGAAGCCACGGCCGTCCATCGAAGCTACCAACGCCACTATTGCAGCAGCGCTGGCTCACCTGAAGAACCAATTGCTTCACTGCACAAACAAAATCCAGCAACAGAATGCCTCCGGCAGGCCAGGATGAGCCGCCCAAACAAGAACTGTTTGGTTCGCACGTCGTTATTTTTTCTTTACAGTCATGTACAAAGAGAATGCAAGGCTTGTTTTGTCTTCCAAAAAATGTCACCAGTAAAGTACTATGCTCAGAGTCGCTGAAAAAGATGTTGAATGAGTGCGCGGCTATTGCTCGTGATCACGCCATTCCATTGCCATTGGTACTCCTGGAGTCGAGTGCCTACTAGTACTATACTCCTGGTTCGAAAGCGGAAAGGGGCTTTCACGACTCGACTAGGTAAAGTAGTACAATAGTGCTAGTCCTAGATCCTAGGCGCTAGGCCGCGCCGGCGCCCTCATGCTAGCCGCCGTCGTTGCACATACAGATGTAACCATGGTAACAGTTGATCCAGGCCAGCGCTAGTGCATGCAGTGCGACCAGCGCGCTGCATGCAGTGCGACCAGCGCGCTGCATGCAGTGCGACCAGCGCGCTGCATGCAGCGCATACATTGTGTATACGTAGTACAGACTCAATAGGTATCGCCTATCGCATATCGCAGGATCGGTTAGCGTGGGTGTTTGAAAAACGACTTTCTATTCTTACCGTACTTCCGCGCATAGCCATGGCGTTATATCCGAATATAAGGCCACCCTCACTTATAAAGCCATGGCGTTATAAGTGAACGAAATTCAATGAAGCCACTGGCAACAAAGTGTCATGACAGTACTAGATGATCTTGCACCATTCGTTACCCAGAAGCGCGCAGCTTACTCCAAACCCCGCCCCCAGCCCTGGGTCACCCCAGAGCTGAAACAGATGTTTCATCGACGAAGCTCAGCCCACCGCGCCTTAATAAAGCACCCCATGGATGACCGCCTCCGACAGCAGTATCGTGCAATACGTCGTCAAGGAACTTTACTAAACCGCAAACTGAAAAGTGTGTACTACAAAGATAAGTTCAGTGCCGCTACAGGAAATCCTAGACTCCAATGGGCAGTGCTGAATCAACTAACTGGAAGGAGAAAATCCCACCCCACACCGAAAGCCTCCCTCTCATCTTTGTCAGATACCAAAGGCAATATCGTCCATGATGAACACCGCGCTGCTCTTACGACCCCAGACACTCCGGCGGACGACTGTTTAGACAACTGCCTTCTCGAGTTCCAACCCGTTACAACAGCAGCAGTAACGAAGATTCTCAAACAATTGAATACCACGAAAGCATCTGGATCAGACGGCATACCAGCTTACATCTTGAAACACCATGCCGCCGAGCTGGCCAATTCCTTAACTTCCATCTTCAACCAGTCATTGTCTAGCGGAAAGGTACCGTCAGCCTACAAACTAGCGTCTGTGTGTCCAGTGTTTAAGAAAGGCGACCCCTACGACAGTTCCAACTATCGCCCAGTCTCGCTACTGCCCATTATCTCCAAAGTCTTGGAATCACCAGTGCTCCAGCAGCTTCACGACCATCTGGACATCACACCCGGAGCAATTCCAAATGAACAGTTTGCATACAGGCGGAACCACAGTACTGAGGACCTTTTAACACTTGCCATCAATAACTCGCAGAGAAGCATGGATACCGGAGACTATACGGCCGTACTGCTGCTCGATATGAGCAAAGCATTTGACCGCGTCCACCACCAAACGCTAATAGATGACCTTCACAATCTGAAGATCCGTGGAAATGCTCTTGAGTGGTTCAAGTCGTGTCTGTCTCACCGACAGCAACGCGTAGAAGTGAACGGAACCACAAGTGACTGAAGAACCTGCACTAGGGGCGTTCCCCAGGGTTCCGTCCTAGGCCCTACCCTCTTCAGCATCTACACTCGACTTGTCCCCACTCTGCCATTGCGTTCCCAATGCCTTCTTTATGCAGACGACACCACCCTGTATGCCTCTGGAAAGTGTCCACGAATTATCATGTCTTACTTAGAAGACGATTTTTCAGTGGTTAAGCAGCACCTCACAGATCGCGGCCTGCTCCTGAACTCCAGCAAGAGCCAAGTACTACTGATCCACAGCAGACGCTCACATCCCCCACCTAACCTGAGCATTGTCTGTGGTTCGACTGTTATTGCCCCGTCTGACGAAGTTAATGCGCTTCCCGAATCCCTTCGCACAAATCATATCCCCAATTCATTTCGCCAGGAACTTAACAATTTCATTCATCTTGGGCATCCTGTAAGAAGACCTTAGGGTCTGTTGGGAATGCCCAAGTAAAATAATAAAATACAATACAATACAAAAATGTGGAGGAAGTTGAAGGCGTTAAAAGTGAGTTCAATTCTGTCAGTGAACCTACAGTAGCGGTGATTCTCTCTGCATGTACCCATCCCCACTGTCACATGCCATACCGCCACCGCACCTTCACACAAGTTTGTATGCCATCTTGTACACAATAGGTTCACAATTTGAAATTTTCAGGGAAAATTGAAGTACATGTACATGGATGCTCGACATGAACGTGCAACGGCACCGGACGAGTACTCGAAGTTCATACTCTGCCGATTCTTTGCACGTAGATCTACGCGTCTCTCACTTTTAGCGCCATGGCGTTAAAACCGAGGCTATTTTTCTCCAAACATTTGGTCCAAAACAGCGATGTTTCACCTATAACGCCATGGCTTATATGCGCGGAAATACGGTATTAATTTATTTTCCGATATTTCTTTACCAGGTAACACATGTAGTGTACCCACAATAAGTCGAGCGTGACATATCAGATGCATATGTGCGCAGATACAGGATGGTCATCATACAACGAGTCCTGGGGCCGCTAGACGTGCGACCGGATTTCCATGGCGCCCATGCCCATTTCCATGCCCACGACAGTAGTACAATGTCATGTACATGTACATGTAGATCTACTACTGTATAAGTACACATTTTCGTTTGGAACTTTCGCTATTCGTTAGGGGGCACGAGATATTAAACTAAAGTTTGTACCAAACTAAAGTTTTTTTCTGAACGTTCGGGGTGACAACCTCGACCCATACGAAAATTAGTACGTATTACAAGCCTGCTGATGGAGTGATCTAAGGCCGCAACCACACTACGTAAAAATCACAGTACAAATTTTCATGCATATCTCAGTACAAGTCGGTATTCAACCACACTACACTTTTCGGTCTGCATAGATGACGTTTTCACGCGACCAGCACGTGACGTTGTCGTACCAAGGCGTGTGCCATGCGCTGGAAAAGACCGGGAAATTCAAAAACAATGCTGATGCTGATGCTATGTACGATGACCCGGTACAAAAGCAAAGTTGTACACAGCAGAAGGAGCGCGAAAACGACGAAAACGACAAACGTGGCTTTCTACAGGGGTGCGCCAGTTGCTGAAAACCTACAAAGCGCATTTTGCATTTCGCACGCGTCGGCATGACGATTTCTACTGTAATGCCGTTTGTACGTGATTTTGTACCTAGTGTGGTTGCAGCCTAACGAAAGATTTCGTGAACGAAAATTTGTACCTATACTATTCTCTCTCTCTCTCTCTCTCTCTCTCTCTCTCTCTCTCTCTCTCTCTCTCTCTCTCTCTCTCTCTCTCTCTCTCTCTCTCTCTCTCTCTCTCTCTCTCTCTCTCTCTCTCTCTCTCTCTCTCTCTCTCTCTCTCTATCTCTCTCTCTCTATCTATCTCTCTCTACGGGTTCTTAATCCACCATACCCAGTTCGCAAGGCTGGGCGGGGTTGTGAGCAGGCTTTCATTTCATCTTTTCTTATTATTTCTTATTATTTCTGCTTTTCATCTCATTACAAAAATTCTGCGCATTTTTTCTCCATCTGCGCATTAAATCTAGACTGACAACCTGCTTGTTAAATCATGCACCTGCTTTCAGGCGTAAAAACCCTGTTGTAGAGGTCTCAGTCCTCATTTGTTAGACTTACCTGTCTTTATAAATGTAACCTGTCTTTATAAATGTAACTCTCTCTCTCTCTCTCCGACCGCTTCTAGCCAGCTGGCGACTCTGGAATAGCTTGCCCGACTGTATGGAGTCCATAGTATCTGTCCGTGAATTCAAACGCATGCTACGCGTATTTTACTTCGGTTAAATGTAATGGCTTCCGTAACCTGCTGATGAGGCTCGATAGAATCATGCTGCGATGACCCGACTTGTAAATTTGAGATCCCTTTTTCTGCTCGTCTTAACCCTGCCTCCCCTCATTGCTACTTCCATTTTCGTAGTTTTATTTTTATTTTGGGAGACGGGAAAGTCTCAGCCCGATTGACGCTCGACGCCACTGGATTAGAAACAGTCACTGCTGCGAACTTCTGGCCACGACCGCTTTACGCTCGAGCCTGGCGACACCGCAAACGGCCGCAGGGTGACAGCTCATCTGGTGCAGCTGGCGCCGGCAACGTGGGCAGCAGAGGCGATAGGGACAGTGAGGAAGAGGCTGCCTCAGCTGGAGCGATTCAGTCACACAAACACCAATGAACACCAGCTGCGCAAGGACATACCCAGTAATGAAGCTCCTGCTGACAAATGCTTTTGGGCTGCTGTCAAAGTTTGGAGCCTGCCAGCATGCTGTTGCACGGAGCAGATCTGACATCGCCATCGTAACAGAGACTAAACTCACCCCGGAGAAAGCCTCACTATCTGACTCCTCCATGCCGGGCTTCCACCCACCCCTCCGACTTGACCGATCTGCTCAAGGTGGCGGAGTTGCAGTCTGGGTCCGGGACTCCCTCTCCTTTGACCACCTGAGTGACATCAACTGCCATGGCCATGAGGTCATCTGGCTTTGCCTGCACCTGGACAATGGCCAGAAAGTAGTTGTATGTGCAGTGTACCGACCCGGGTCGTGCCCTGGACAAGATGTCTCTCTGCTTGAGTATCTTGACTCAGTCATGGATCAAGCTCGATCTCTCGGGAACAGCGTCGTGATAGCCGGGGACTTAAATGTTCATAATGAAAGCTGGCTATGCAGCACGAAGACTACACCGGCTGGTGAATACATGGAAGAACTCTCTGCGTTCCACGGGCTCCACCAGCACGTTACTCAACCGACACGTGGTGAGAACACCCTGGACCTCATACTCAGCGACTTCTCGGAGACCTCAGTGGTGGTAAATGTACTGGACCCCATTGGAGCATCAGACCATGCCACCGTTGTGGCCACTTTTGATGCCACCCCACTCCGCGAACCACCGACTAAACGGCGCGTTTGGAGGTATGCTCAGGCAGACTGGGGCCGGCTTCGGCACTTCTACTCAACAGCAAACTGGGATATATCAGAAGACCCCGAGGCGTCGTGCAGATCAGTAACCGCTGTTGTCATGGAAGGCATGAATCGCTTCATTCCACACAAAGAACTTTCGACGAAACCAACAGATCCATCCTGGTGGACGCCGGAATGCTCAGCCGCTACCCAGGCAAAGAAGAATGCATGGAACCGTCTCAGGAGACACCCCACCTGCCACCAGCAACTCATTGACTACAATGCCAAAGTCCGAGCCTCTGCCAATTGCCTTCGTCTCGCAAAGCAGGCAGAATCTGCCCGCATCCGAGATCGGCTCAAACATGGATCACTGCGAAACAAGCAATGGTGGTCACTCCTGAAGCAAGCTGCAGGCTCTGGCCGCAGCTCGTCTATCCCTGTCCTACGCAATGCCCAGGGTAGAGAATATGTCACCAACCAGGAAAAGGCTACTTGCTTTGGAGAATTCTTTGCGAGCAAATGCAGTCTGGGTGATCAAGATCTACAGCACTCCGACCTTCTTGACCTTCCTCCTAGGTGTACATCTGCCCTGACAACTGTCCGATTTCGGGAAGTGACAGTCCAGCGCCAGCTCCGCCAGCTGGATCCAACCAAGGCTACCGGACCCGATGGCATCCCTGCCAGAGTTCTGAAGCAGTGCTCAAAAGTTTTGGCTGCACCACTTGCCAAGCTGTTCTCACTCTGTTTTTCGGTGCCATGTCCAGCCCTCTCTCTCGAAAGTAGCCCGTGTGGTCCCGATACACAAAAAGCAATCTCATTCTGCTGTTAAGAACTACCGACCTGTGTCCTTGTTATCTGTTGTCTCCAAAGTCATGGAGAAGATTGTCAACACTGCCATAATCAATCATCTTGAGCATGAAAAGGCTCTGTCCATCCACCAGTACGGATTCCGGCAGGGGCTCAGCACATCTGACCTTCTCACGTCTCTCAACCACTCCTGGGTCTCCGAAGTCAACCGTGGTGGCGCAGTCCGCGTGCTGGCTGTCGACATAGCAGGAGCATTCGACAAAGTTTCACACCGAGGCGTGCTCCACAAGGCTGCGTCATATGGCATCACTGGTCCCCTCCTCAACTGGCTGTCTGACTACCTGTATGACAGGAAGTTGCAGGCAGTAGTCGGCGGAGCATCTTCAGAACCATACAAGATTGATGCTGGGGTCCCACAAGGGAGCATCCTTGGGCCCACACTGTTTTTGCTGTACGTGAATGACGCCTGCGACGTCCTACCGGAAGGGATCACTCCGGCTGTTTACGCAGATGACACCACGCTTTATGCCCACATCCCAACGCCACATGCTGTGACAGAAGTGTGCCGCAACCTCCAAGCTGGTGTGGATGCACTTGCTGAATGGGGTGCTCAGTGGCGCGTCACTTTTGAGCCAACGAAATCACAGGCCATGACTGTGTCCCGCCACCGCAGACCCTGGGAGACACCACCCATCAAGTTCAACGGCACAGCGGTCCCAGAATGCTCGCGGCTGAAGCTCCTTGGAGTGACGTTTGATGCCCATCTAACATACTCGGAGCATCTTCGAGGAACTGCAGTGCGTGCCACACAGCGAATTGGTTTCTTCCGGAAGGCGTGCCATGTCCTGGACCCACCGGGCCGGGCCACAGCATACCGGGGGTTCATTCGGCCTCTAATGGAGTACTGTCCACTTGTATGGATGGGAGCTGCGGCTACCCATCTCTCACAGCTGGACCGAGTCCAGCATCGCGCCCTCACCCTGATTGGGACAGGGGCTGCAATGGACACTCTGTCCCTACGGCGCCGTGTGGCCGGCCTCACAACTCTGTACAAGCTCCATTACATCGCAAGCCCGCCAGCTCTTACAGCGACACGCCCAGCCAGAGCCATCGCACCCGCCATCGCGCCTGCCACACGTCGCCGCTCGCAGCCAACCTTGCGCACGAGCTTCAACTCCAGACAGCCCTACCTGCCAGATCGTGCAGTGTTGCGCTGCGCTCTTTCCCGGAGTGCCTCATCGAAGCCTGGAATGAACTGCCAGCCACTCTCCTCCGCGATGCACCGTCTGCCAAAGGGATGCAGCAGTTCAAGGTTCAGACCTACCGCTACCTGAAACGGTCGGGTTGGTCATTGGCCACGGACATCGCCCCCTAGGCTACTTCCAGTACGACCCTGTTCATGTTCTCGGAGCACTCCCTTCTCATCAAACTCCCAATCCATCTGTCTTTATCTCTCTCTAACTCTCCTCCATTCTAACTCTAATCTTTCGTCAAATCTGCACGGCAATCAGCCCCTACTTTCGCCTCAGCATCATGATCTTGATACTGCTATATTTGTACTTGTTTGCGTACTTGTTTGCACTCATATCTTGGAATAACAAGTTTCCTGGTTTCCTACCCCCCCCCCCCCCTCCTCTCTTTCCTACCCTTAGAGTTCTTGCTCTCCTGCTCCCCTCCCCGCCCTTCCACTCCCCTTTTTTTGTTTCCTTTGGTGCACATGTGCAGCTGTGATGCCGAGACCCTTGGTCGGCTGAGCTTCACAGGTCCCACCCACTCCGTCCTGCTGGATATGTACCATCGTGTCGAGTTCTTCTCCTCATTTTAGTTCATCATGCAGTGAGTGTTCAATAGTAAAAAAAAAAAATCCTTTTCTCTTCATTTCTGACTCTTCTTCCTGGTTGTCATCGCTTTCATAATATTGGGCAGAACTGCCCGTTTGACATGCGATGTAAATAAATAAACAACAACAACAACAACAACCATGGTAAAAGAAGGAGAAGATTATACACTGTATACAACCCTGTAGCCGAAAAGCTATATTGATTAGTTTTTTGACTTGTAAGTATTATTATAATGGTGCACTCAGTCATCAGCAGGCCCTCAGATTCACTTTAAATTCTTTCAATGATGCAGAAGTCTTCACTGAGTCGGGAAGTTGTAGCCACGCACAGTAGCCCTGAAAGAATGGCGATCTTGTGAATTGCGTTGACTTGGCCTTGGGAAGAGACACTTTGTTTCTGGTTGAGCGGCCCGAAACAAACCAGTTATAAGGCTTTATATGTTCAGGGACACAACCCAAGAGCATTCGATGAACCAATATACAGAGGCAAGTTCGTCGGCGTTGCTCTAACGGAGTAGTCTGAGCTAATAAGTACAACTCATTGGAGAGAAAGGAAGGTTTCTTCGAGAACAAAATTTTTAGAACTTTCTTATGATGAACTTTTTAAATGGAATCGGATAAGACCTTAGCTAGGCCACACCAGGCTGTGGCAGCATATTCAAACAATGGAAGGAGATAAATTTTATATATAGCTGAACGGCACGGAATAGAGAGATGTTTACAATGACTTTTATTATAGCCAAGAGCACGGCTAACTTTATTACAAATGTAATCTACATGAGCCGACCAGGACATGGATGAATCGAACATTACCCCTAGGTGTTTGTGCTCCTTTACCGTCTGAATTTCTGTGGGTGAATTGGGAAAGGTGAACTTAAACATTGAGGCAGAATCTGTTAGAAACAGTACTCCGGTTTTTGAAACGTTTGCCTGACGCCTCCAATCCCAAGGTGTTTGTGCTGATCGACTATTGAGAGACAGGTACGGTCATCAGGGAACGTGAAAGGCGAGGGACTTAATACAGACAAGTCACTATTGGGACGAGGAGGAAAGCAGAGAATAGCGGTTTTAGATGCGTTTGGCTTCAGCTTCCAGAGCGTCAACCAATTGACAACTTTGTTGATGTGGGTCTGCAATGTGACAGATGCAGCTGAAAGTGAAGAGGAGGAAACATGCAGTGCTGTATCATCTGCGTAGAGGTAGGTATGTGGAAGGGAGGCCAGATCGTTTACATAGTCATAAATGATGAAAAGCAGAGGACCTAATACAGAACCTTGGGGGACACCAGATATTGTCAAGGTGAACGCCGAGGTAGCGCGCAGAAGACGCTGAAGGGAGGATACAGTCGCCGCTCTTGATTGATTTTATTTGGATTCGCGAGACCAAACGAGCAGGAGTGCTCAATAACAGGGTAGCGAATGGTTGAGTTGTGCTATGTGACAATGTAGTGTGTGCGTGGAGGGGGGGGGGGGGGGGATCTGCAGAGGCCCAATACAATGTAAGGGGATGGGAGGAGAGAAGGCCAGCGGAGAGTCAAATTCAGAAGAGGGAGGAGAGAATAGCTGAAGTACACGGTTACTGAGCGAATTCAAATAAACCAAACAAACAGCAAAACAAGTACACAGCTCACGAGAATAAAGAGGACTGGAGCACAGAATTGAACTGCTGATGTACACAGCTGACGAGAATAAAGACAGGAGCACAGAAATGAACGGGAGGCAGTCTACGAAGTGGTGGTACCATCGGTGCATGCACCACCGTACATTATCATATTATCGGCGCGGCTTTGCAAAGTTTGTGGCTACTGAATACCATGGTATGACCAATTGTGTAGCAGTCTACAACGTGTAGGGAATGGCAGCTCGGCGGAATGCTGGGATGTTGCCCATGGCTCGCACCGTGTCAGGTATATGGTTCCATAACAGGCAACCGCGAGATGCCGGTCGGCATTGGCCTGCTCGGCTTCTGGCTATTGGTTCTTGCAGGCCCAGACTGCGCTGAAGGCGAGTTGCTCCGCAGTTGCTGACAAACAGTGCCTGCAGAGCAGGACTGGCACGGTTATGAACGCACCGCCATACCAGCACGAGCACTTGACTTTTACTTCCTGTACATGCTGCTGGGGAGAGATAGTCAGAACCTTGCTCTTGGCGACGTTCAAGATGAGGCCTCGAGACTTCAGCCAATCGGCCAGAGCAGTTGCCGCTGTGGTGAGGGTTCTGGACGCTTCCGCCGCTGAGGCCTGGGAGTAGGCCTTGGCGGATAATGCTCGAAAAGGTGGCAGATTCTGCTCGAAAAGCAGTGAAATTGGCAGAACCAAACAAACCTTATGGCGGGCAATTCCTCGAATTCTGCTCCATTTCTTTATCCGCATACCAACCATGCATGAAACTTACCAGAAAAAGTACCGAATTCTGCCAATTTTTCTGCCGGCATTATTCGCCAAGGCCTACCTGGGAGTCGTACAGGGCCGGCTATGTCATCTACAAATTGTACACTTGGCACAGGCGAGGAAACCAAAGGGACATCTCGTGTGTACATAATGAAAGGACAGGGCCGAGAACAGAGCCTTGGGGCACTCCGCAGGTGAAAGCCAGAGCAGCGTTGGTTGAAGGCGAGATGAGGATCTGCTGCTTGCGGCCGGACAAGTAGTCGACGAACCAACTGAGGGCATTTCCAGAAATCCCAACCCCAAGCCAAGGAGGTCTCGGATCAACTTGTCCAGTGCCGTGGTGCACTTTGTCAAAGGCCTTCGACATGTCTAATACTAGTAATAGGCACAGCCCTGTGATCTTGCCACTGTCTCTCGCCTTCTGCAGATTATCCGTCAGCACACAGAGGGCGTCTTCCGTAGAACATTTCTTGCGGAAGGCAAATTGTGTTTCGGGCAGTGCCTTGGTCAAGTCCAAATGACGAACTAACTGGCGTTGCACTACCCTCTCCAGCAACTCTGGACACTACTGGGAGAAGGGATACAGGTTCGTGGGGACTGATGGGTCACCGGCCAAGTAATAGTTGTACAGTGGCACGACAGACGCCTTCTTGACTTTCTTGTGACAATCATCAGTAGAGGTTATCGTCACTAGTGACAGTACTCTACGTGCTTGCGTCGATCGGATGTGTGTCAAGATGAGACATTAATTTTGCTTCGGGGTAGAGTTCGTAGATTAGAGATTACCGTTCACTGTCACATGACCATGATGTATGCATGACTCGTGTAGATGTCTACTACTACTACTAGTACTAGTAGTAGTAGTGATAGGCATAGCGATACTGTTTAGTAAGGCCAAACTAAAGAAGGTGTGTGGTTCGACTCACCCGACCGACCGTAACTTTTTTTCGGCGGGCTGTCGTGTGACTGACGTACGTGGACTGAACACGTCCACGTCTACGTGCTGTGCTGCGTGAGTCTGCGGACGCAGGCGGCTCCTTTTGGACTTGACTTGTACATGTAGTTGTACTGCAGTGCAGTGCAGTGAGTGGTACGACTGCTGCCTTGTGCTGGTAGTAGAGTCTACTCGATACGCGTATACATATATACAGTGTATTTACATGTACTAAAAAATATATTAAAAAAAAAAATCCGCCCGCCCGCCCGTAAAAAAAATGTCCATGTTAGTCGAACCACACACCTTCTTTAGTTTGGCCTAATACTAATAAGTAATAGTCAGACTGAATGTCTGTTGATAGTCATAGTCATACTATGGCCATGATCATGACGTGTTGGAGGTCAAAATGCATTGTGCGATATGCATGTGCATGCAGTCTGCATGCAGCCGCCCATTTTACAAACCTTTTGTCAAAGAACTGATGTGGTCACAACTCGAGGAGCTTGGCTGTGTGCATGCTGGACTAGTGGTAGACCAGGTAGACACCGACTCGGCAGGATTGGCGAATCTTGCGCTCCGGAGGTTGTTTGCGGCTCTCGCCTCCATCCACCTCCCCCATCCGGGCCTTGCTTGAGGGACACTCTACCGTAGCCGCTATTTACATAGGTCAGACAAAGGCGGGGGCGGGCGGCAGAAGGCGTCGGACGCACAGCGAAGCCAAACAAATCTTTGGTTCGCCATGGCTGCCGAGGATGAAAATATCGAAATGGATTTCTTGGATGGTCCAACAGTGGCCCAGGTGGCATTGAGATCTGCCAGCTTTCGCATGGCCACCAGCAAGCGACGTGGAGATGATGACGACTCGAAAGAGGAGAAGAAAAAGAAGAAGGCTGCAGACGCTACGACCGAGGGCAAGCAAGGTGTATACCGTAGAAGCTCAATGAGCAGAGCGGAGAGCTATCAAGTAGCAACGGATGGACCGAATCTGTTTCTGCACCCTGAGCTGGACAGCCCCAGCAAGAAACGACCGTTCCTCTATGGGGACGAAGACGAAGAGGAAAGCGTGTTCCTTGATCCTGAAGAGCAGCGGGAGAGATTACGACGTCCGAAACGACAGCGAAAGCCTCGCCATGGGACCAAGAAGGACAAAGGCAAGAAGAAACTAGAGGGCCTGAAGAAAGAAATCGATGTGGACTTTCACACGGTCGAGCTGAGTGTGCTGGTGGACAGGTTCAGTACCGATGTAGTGAGAGGCATGACTTCGGAGCGCGCTGAGCAACGCCTGCTGGAGGACGGTCCGAACGCGTTGACGCCTCCGCCAGCCACACCAGAGTGGAAGAAATTCCTGGCGGCGATGTTCGGCGATGGATTCTCGCTGTTGCTGTGGTTTGGCAGCGTCTTGTGTTTCTTTGCTTACATCATTACAGTAGCAATATCGGATGAAGAAGCACCACGAGACAATCTGTACTTGGGCAGTGTGCTGGGTGGCGTTGTCATTATCACTGGATTCTTCTCCTATTTTCAAGAGTCGAAAAGTTCCAAAATCATGGATAGCTTCAAGAAAATGGTGCCGCCGACTGCAATGGTGATCCGTGACGGCAAAACCAAGCCAATACAGGCCGCAAACTTAGTGGTGGGTGATGTTGTGGAGGTGAAGTTTGGCGATCGGATACCTGGCGACATTCGCATCCTGGAGTCGTCCGGCCTGAAGGTGGACAACTCGTCACTGACTGGTGAGTCCGAGCCGCAGTCACGCATCCCGGAATGCACGCACAAGAACCCACTGGAAACCAAGAACCTGGCGTTCTACTCGACCAACGCGCTCGAAGGCACCGCCAGGGGTATGATTGTGCAGGTCGGTGACATGACTGTCGTCGGCCGTATTGCTAATCTGGCCAGCGGCGTGGACAGCGGGCCAACGCCGATATCCATTGAGATTGCGCATTTCATACACATCATCTCGGCAGTGGCCATCTTCCTCGGCGTCACGTTCTTCATCATTGCCATGGCACTGGACTACTACTGGCTGGATGCAGTCATATTCTTGATCGGCATCATTGTGGCCAATGTACCCGAGGGTCTACTGGCAACAGTGACCGTCTGTCTGACTCTGACAGCTAAGAGAATGGCCGCGAAGAACTGCTTGGTGCGTAACCTGGAGGCCGTGGAGACGCTGGGCTCGACGTCTTGCATCTGCTCCGATAAGACGGGCACGCTGACGCAGAACCGCATGACCGTGGCACACATGTTCTACGACATGAAGATGTACGAGGCGGACACGAGCGACGACCAGTCGCATGGAACGCCGGACAAGGCCTCTCCAACCTGGTGGGCGCTGGCACACGTCGCCGGACTGTGCAACCGAGCCACGTTTGGCGAGGGCCAGGAAGCCGACCCCATCATGTCCAGAGTGTGCAACGGTGATGCGTCCGAGTCGGCGCTACTGAAATGCATTGAGCTGAGCTGGGGAAAAGTCGAGCAGCTGAGAGAGAACAATCCGAAAATTGCTGAGATCCCGTTCAACTCGGCCAACAAGTACCAGATCAGCATCCATGATCAGAAAAGCAAGCCGTCCTACCTGCTGGTGATGAAGGGCGCACCGGAGCGCATCATGGACCGCTGCAGCAAGGTCATGGTGCGCGGCAAGGAACAGCCGCTCACGCCAGAGTACCGTGCGCAGTGCGACAAAGCCTGCGAAGACCTTGGCGGACTAGGAGAGCGCGTGCTGGGCTTCTGTCACCTGTTCTTGGACCCGGAGCAGTACCCACCGGGATTCGAATTCAACACGGACGTGGTCAACTTCCCAATGGAGGATCTGTGCTTTGTTGGCCTAATGGCCATGGTCGATCCACCCAGGGATGCCGTGCCAGATGCCGTGAAGAAGTGCCGTACGGCCGGCATCAAGGTTATCATGGTGACGGGAGATTACCCGGTTACAGCAGCTGCCATCGCCCGGCAAGTGGGCATCATATCGGACAACTCCGAGACCGCGGAAGACATTGCCCGGCGTGAGAATGTGCCAGTATCCAGTATCAACCCCAAGCGTGCTAAGGCAGCCGTCGTCCATGGCTCTACTCTCAGAGACATGCCACCGGAGAAGCTGGACAGGATCTTGAAGACGCATCAGGAGATCGTCTTTGCGCGCACATCGCCGCAGCAGAAGCTGCTGATCGTGGAGGGTTGCCAACGACTTGGCCATGTCGTCGCGGTCACCGGTGATGGTGTCAACGACTCTCCGGCGCTAAAACGAGCTGACATTGGCGTTGCCATGGGAATTGCAGGATCAGATGTGTCCAAACAGGCAGCCGACATGATCCTGATGGACGACAACTTTGCATCTATTGTGACTGGCGTTGAAGAGGGTCGTATCATCTTCGACAACCTGAAGAAGTCCATTGCGTACACGCTGACATCCAACATTCCCGAGATCTCCCCGTTCCTTCTGTTCATCATCGCCAGTATACCATTGCCGCTGGGAACCATTACAATTCTCTTCATCGATCTGGGAACAGACATGGTCCCTGCCATTTCACTGGCCTACGAGCAAGCCGAGTCGGACATCATGAGTCGTAAGCCGCGTGACGCTAAGCAGGATCGACTTGTCAACCAGCGCTTGATCAGCCTGGCTTACGGTCAAATTGGCATGATTCAAGCGGCAGCGGGCTTCTTCACCTACTTTGTTGTGATGGCCGAGAATGGCTTTTTGCCCGGCAAGCTGGTGGGCTTGCGCGCTGATTGGGATAATCGTGACAATCTGATGGTCGAGGACAGCTATGGGCAGCAATGGACATACGATACGCGCAAGAAGCTGGAATACACCTGCCACACGGCGTTCTTCGTCAGCATTGTGATCGTGCAGTGGGCTGACCTGCTCATCTCCAAGACCCGCCGCAACTCACTCTTCCAGCAGGGCATGCGTAATCACATGCTGACGTTCGGCCTCTTCTTCGAGACGGCAGTGGCATGCCTGTTCGCCTACACGCCGGGCTTGGGGACGGCCCTTCGCACGTACCCGCTTCGTGGCACCTGGTGGCTGGCTGCTATGCCCTTCAGCTTGGCGATCTTCATCTATGATGAGTGCAGAAAGTACATGTTACGCAAGCAGCCGCCTGGTGGCTTCTTCGAGCGTGAGACATACTACTAGAGTCAGCTAGCTCCATCCCATCACACATCTCTCTCTCCAGAAAATGTCTGCATTTCAGCCCAAAAAATGAAGTGCTATTATGCCAGGACGGTATTTATCCTCATGATTCTTTATGTACGTGTCCCGTGACGTTGGTCTTTCTTGCTAGGTGTAATTTTCCAAAGTAGCCTGGATCTGAATCGAGCTCAGCGTTGACTGCGTACTAGTTCAAGTTACTAATAGCGTATAACCTGCTGAAAAAAATCATTATAAACATGCCGCCTATTGCCGTTATTTCCATTGCCAGAGACAATGTAGGGTATCTATTTTCTTTTGTCTCTCTGATTATCTACTGGCCAAGGATATGGTCATCTAAATTATTGAACGAGACTGGTGGTGCAATGTCTTCACACGGAACTTTGCCAATATAGCACATACAGTACAAAGTCAAATGGAGTCGCTTTTCCAAGAATGTAATTAATTGCACTTGCAGGTCAGTCTCATGCATTCCTAAACTCTACACATGTAACTGTTGGAGTTATGGTGTGTACTGTATAGGTCAGGTAACAGTTCTTTCAAGTGTCCAGCTTTTACATGCAAGCATGAATGATTGTGTGCATGCTATCTCTTCAAGGGGGACTTCACTTGCAACTGGCCCTCTTTTTCCAAAGCCTGGAGCAGGTTAAAAAAATGTAATTTTCAGCTAAGCTTGGTCGCTCCGGTCTCTTGGCAGAAACATCAACCAGTGGATGACACAGTAACTGTTTTCAGTTCTGGCCAGTGCCCCCTCCCCCCTTCATCTCAGAATGGCACTTAGCAGCACGGCACTAGAATGCACGGCACCGTGTTTGTAAATTATACAGTAATACATTGAAGAGAGTAGTGCTTGGCTCTCTTCTAACCGTTATTCGCCAGTACGAATTTCACCACGCACACAGTTCAGGAGGGCTAGAGCACGGACTACTACTACTAGTGGTAGATGATACGTGTTTTGCACTGTATGTGCAGGTTCACATGCCCAGTCACAGCCGTGGTAGGGTCTTATTGCATATCTTACGTCAGGAGCACACAATACACACAATTTTGGCATGTGACATTGGATCACAACACCACGTCTCTCTGGTTTAGACTAACTTTGAGCAGCAACAACCAACTGCAGTCATGTGAAATGCTTAGCATCAAACCCAGTGCTGCTTTATTTTCACGCTGAAACAGTCTTTACATAAAACTATACGAAATTCAGCGGTCACATTATCAGAGGTTTTCAACTCACTAAACTAACTATCAAAAAAGACGAAAAGCTATAGAATAGTATAGGCAAGGAAAAAGCAGGATTAGAAGGATAAAATTAGAGAGAAAGAGCGAGGGGGGGGGGGGGGGGAGGGCTCACACTAAAATCACACCCTAAAAAGTAGAAAAGGAAATGCGATGAAAACTAAAAAAGACAAGCGTATTGCATCTAAGCAATGTACATGAAGAAACACAACAGGTGCATAAAGGTGGAAACGTCTTTAAGAACAAGATTAAAAAATCTCCCCAAGTGAAGAAATGACACGTGATGAGGTCGCTCAGTTTAAAAGGCTTGACAGTGAACAATAAGTACGCAGGATTATTTCATTTCGTGGAGCGGTATCGCAAGGGCAGTATCACCAACATGCAGGCAGTAACACATCAATAGTTGCCATGAGCTACACAGACAGCCGGTTAAGACTGTGGGTATCGTGGCAGAATACGTTGTCTTTCGCTCCGCACGCACAAGAGACAGCTGTATGCTTTCACGGGCATAAGACGGGTCTGGGGTCTGGCGCAGCTATTAGCCGGTGCAGATAATAGCACTGTCATTGCTGCGTGTCGAGGCTAGGTCAACAGCAACAATGACGTGTGCAGCAGACTGCTGCCTACATCTGCTGGAAGTACTTCCAGGCAACGGTGAAGACCATGGAGTTAATACCGTGAGACACTATGCGAGTCTGGAGACCACGGAAGAAGAATCCTTGCCAGCCAAACAGGCCATACTCGGCGCGAATCTTCGAGAACGCCACCCAATAACCTAAACAGCCAACGCCAGTAGGTAGCAGCAGCAGCACAACACACAAGTCAGCATGGTGAGCCGCAATACATGTACAGGACGCAATAAACACACCGTTCCACTTTTTCCCAGACAGGATCCGGGATAATCTTTCAGCACTAATCGTCCATGCTTTTCACAGCACGCAGAACTAAATTCATCACTGTTTTCTAGTGCTCCACCTAGGCAACAGGGACCATTCGCTCTTCTTCATTCTCCTTACCCTCGAGAACAGAGCAAGAGATCTTTCACATGTGTCGAAACCCATCCACACCCACACATCACTCACCAACAATACTCAGTGACTTTATTACTCACACATCACTCCCAAATATCCATCATCCATCAACCATCAACGATACCCATGCATGCACCCACCCAGCAATACAACGCCACTGCATGGCTCACAAGTACAATACCCACACATGGCTCACCAATCGGTTCCGGGTAGGTCTGACGGTAGGTCTTGAGCACACGGATGCCGTTACTGGAAACATCCGAAACGAACGAGGCGGCAATACCAATGAAGGCATTACGCAACACCTTCTGCATGGCAGTGCCATGGTTCCATGGCAGGTACAGGTCCAGGTAGTTGTATGTCACAAACCTAACCACACACACACACACACACACACACATACACAAATACATACACACACACACACACACACACACAAAGAGCAGAATAAAGCAAAGTTAGGCAATACGCACACAGCACACCTTGCTGACACCTTGCTGAAATACTCAGGCTGCTTATTACTTACCAGCAGCGAAGCAGCCGCATGGGTAGACTGCCAGTGAACACTCAAAGCCCTATTGAAACAGGTGCAGCTAAGCCTATGAGAACTAAACGGATCCATCACACATACACACACACACTATGGCACTGTGCGCCTTACCAAGGCCAATGTCCCACAGCAGTGGCTGAGGCAGCGGCCAGTCCGCCGTGCCACAGTGACGTCCAGCCATAGAGGTTGGCAGGTCCACGGTTGGGGTAGGTCTGAACCTTCTTCATCAGTGACTGCAGGCCACCTTCACCGTGCACCTGCACATCATCATCACAACACAGCAGCAGCACGGCAGTTAGCATACAGAGTAGCGACCAAAGGAAAGACAAGAGATATCTAGTCTATAATCATTGTACGGGGGGTATGATGTGCAAGCACTAGTAACAGTTACATACCTGCTTGTTCGTCTTCCATGCATCGATGGGCATAAGGCAGATACGCATGCCTCCAGCCGATACTGATGCAACAGCGGTCTTCAGAGCCAGTGGCATATTGCAGAATCTTGGCGACGCATCCAGGGCGGTCAGAACACCAGCATTGGCAAAGGTATCACCAAAGCGGGCAATGGGTGACTGGACCAGCGCCGGGACAAGACCACGGTAGAAACGTGGAACTCCTCCCTCCTTATAGAGCAGCTTCATTGTACCAACCATGGTACCACCCTGCATTGTACACAACATCATCACACGCCAGAAATATACTTAGGTACTCATTGCTTAGCCTTTCTAGGGGCACCCGTAAGAAGACCGTAGGTCTGTGGGAAACACCCTAGTAAAATAAACGAGAGAGCTTGGAAGCTCAGGGCCCTACGCTATGCTTTTTTGCCTTGATGACCTAGACAAAAAAAAGCATAGGGATGTTATAAATTCTTTAAAAAATCCTTTTTTTTTTAGACATAACCTGGGATTCGAACCCGCACTATGGCGCGCCCTGCATGCATCCCCCGATACACTTCGCATACATACTAATTCTTCCAAGTTGTTTCACATTGTGGTCTTGCATTTGAAAGCCCTATTTGAATATGCATTGTGGCCAGCCGTCTTTGATGGCACGGTACGGTAGGGGATAGGTACGGGACAGGTACGATCGAGGGTAATACGACACCGTCTCCCGTACCGTACCGTACCATCAAACACAGCTGGCCACATACAGCTGCCCCCAATATTCAAATAGGGCTTTCAAACGCAAGATAATAACGTGAAGCAACTTGGAAGAATGGGTATGAATGCGAAGTGTATGGGGAATGCATGTAGGGCAATAGTGCGGGTTCGAATCCCAGGATATGCCTGAAAAAAAAATAGGAGAATTGAAAAATTTATAACATCCTATGCTTTTTTGCCGTCAGATACGGATAGCGCCAGGCGTGACACAAACAAACAAACACACAAACAAACACCAAATTAAAGCTGTGTGGACCCTGGCTAGCGCCAGACGTTACTGAAGTAACGTCTTCTGCATAGCTACGGGAATAAAATAATAATAATTGTACACAACATCATCACATGCCAGAAATATACTTAGGTACTTGTCCAGTGGACAGGCTGACATCCCTACCCAAGGTGACTGTAACTGGCAGCCGGGGAGCGAAGTCCACATCGGTTTAGAGTTACAGTCACCTGTGCTGTCTCCCTGTGCACTGCTACGTCTCCCTGGATCTGAGCAACCCTGGCCTGCCCTGAGCATAGGGTCAACTGGATGCAGCGGATTCTTTTTGGGCAACACAGACGTTTGCACCGCATTTGGCGAGTGACAATCATTGTTGTATGCATGTACAGTGCGTATCGGTTATAGCGTGGTCGTGTAAAAGAATATACTGCCTACAAGAATGAACTCTCATGTTTTCATAATCATAACATGGATTTCATGCGCACATTTATTCTTACAAGAAATTTTATCGTACAGTAGAATATATCGGTCCTAAGAATGGACTTTGTGTAGCGAAACATGCCAGATCAGTACAAAGTATATCGCCTGTAGTAATAACATCCGTCCAAAGCAGTTCTGATCTGACTCGCGTTGGGTCGTAGTGCTGCAGGTTCAACTATTGTGGTCATGTAACTCATGTTGCATAGCCACATGGTAAGCCTACATGTACATGTATGTGACTGTGACCAGCCGCATGCACAGTAGCAGTACCTTGTATGTACGATGATCTTCCTGCCTCTGCGCACATGCACATGATATGTCACACTTGATTTATCGTGTGTAAGAAATATCGGAAATAAGAATAGAAAGTCGTTTTTCAAACACCCACGCTATGACCGATACCTACTGTAGTACATATGCACGTAGAACTACGTGTACCATGCCATGTATGTCAGCTGAGGGGAGGAGTATGAACCCTGGAGGGACTTTTGTATCGTCATTTTCAACGGCAACGAGGCGGCGGTGTGAATGGCAGTGTACTCCCTGGTCTCCTTGGTGAGCACAAACGTCATCATTTGATACTGTACTGGGGGATTTAGCGGCTCTGGGATCCAACCAAACGGCCACAGCCATAGAAGGGCGAACTCTATTGTGTTGATCTTCCAAAAAAAAGGATTCTGCATCAGCTACTTGTTTTTGGTATGAACAATGCACTGAGCAATTCGACAACACCGAGGACATCTGGAACCTACAGCAATATTGGCTTATAATGTAGCTGTGTTAGTTTCGAATCAGTGAAGTTGTCAAGTGAATAGAATTCAAGTGTAGGATTATCCTAATTATACACAAAGAAGAAAAAGAAGGTCCCTGGCTCGAATCCTAGATCCTGGTGGTGACAGTCCCCGATTATTGGATATAAGAGCAAGAGCAGTTGAAAATGCGAACTAATCAATACTGACAATAGCATGATTAGGTGAATGTGAATGTGATACTGATGCCCTTTATCGAGTCTCAAACCAACTTGGTACGAGCAAAAGCATACGGAACTATCCTCAATGTTACAGCGAGGACTGTGAAGAGAGAGCCACTGGGCCTTATAGGTACACCCATTGGCGCAATTATTTCTTCCTCAGATAATATTATTTGAATTCTTATAGTGGACCAGAGAAAACCTAGCAGTGTATTAGAGACGGAAAAGTCCTCACCTTCGCCATCTGGTAGTTCATGGTGGTACGCAAACCCATGAGACCGAGGACATTGACGACCTGAGCGGCCGCGCCAGTGAGGCCACCTTTCATGGCTCTGTTGCTGGCCATTGAGGCAATTTCACGAAAGCTTTTCGTTTCCGTTGGAGGATTAGCCGCGGCCATGTTGATAGACTCCCAGTGAAGACAATAAAATAAATTAATATCAATCAGAGGTGGTGACGAGAAAGGAAAGGCGACAACAACGCAACGACGTTACGATACACCGGAGATCAACTGAACACTTTCATCTGGAACACAGATTTTTATGAAAAGCAAAAACTCGAGCTGGATCGACCTCGAAGACAATACAAGTGTGGATGGAGTCTACGAATCCATACATGCGGTACGCCATAGTAGCGTGTGATGTACAAACGGATGGACCCCCGGCCCGGCGTTGGTCGCTTTTTTTGTTTTTTAGCCACCCGCCCTGTACATCCAGGCCGGCCAGGATCGATTGGTATGGTTATTTGGGCTTTTGCCAGTAAGTTTTGGCATTTTATTCCGGACAAATTTTCATTCACCGAAGACTGAATGAAGACTGTCTGAAGTGCATGCTACCGAAACATGTATCAAGAGTCCATAACCCCATGGGGTTACGGACCCTTGATGCTATGGTCCGTAGTATGGATCTAACGTGTGCATCCCTCTCAATGAAGCGGTCATATCCTCCCTCCTCCCCCCAACCCCTCTTATCTCATTCCATTCTCACATTCGCTTGAATGTGATAGCCCGTGTGCACAGTCATGTACAGTACTTGCAAATAAAGAAAATACATACAATTATTCCAGGACAGTTATACTAGTACATTAAATCATATCTGGGCAGCTTCCGCTGCACCAAGCCCAAGGGTTACGGCAGGTTTTGCTGTTTAGCTACATGTATGATGAAGGACGGCGTATCATAGTGTGGCTGGTTTGGCGGAGCTCGGCTAGCCAGGAGGCGCATGCGGCACTCTCATCGCAAGCGAAGTCATCCTCTACCATGCTTTCCGACTTGTGAACGCTGAATACAACACTACAACTTACAAGTAGGCGTTACAAAAAAAGTAGGGGCGGAGCAAATACAGTATGTACAAAATGTACGTAGTCGTTTGCAGTTGTGCGCGCCTAGCGCCTCGACACTTCGAAAAGCAACACTGCATGGGCAGTTGGGCACTCAAGTCTAGGGTCGCCGGTCAAGGTATGCGCGAACCGCACATACATATCAAACCATGCATGCATGCCGCGACGCATCGCATAATAAGTGGTTGCAACACGTGCTGCGCTCATGCTGACGCAGCCAACAGATTCATTGTGCAGTGTGAAGTGCTAGTGCCGTAGTGCCCGTAGTGCTAGTGGTTCTTCTGTCAATCAAACTACATGAATATGAATTGTACAAAGAGCAAAAATTAACGACATGTCCACAACACTCAACAGAGTCGACACTGAACAATTAATTTTTATTAGTGCAGTACACGACCGTTGACCCTACACCCACAGACTCACACAGTGATACAAGAATACAGAACATAATTGTAACTAATTGGTCATTGCAGTGCAGGACTGAAGGTACAGTACAGTCATGCATCATGATTGTGTATGTCAATGATTATGTACCTGTTTGTACTGTGCTACATAACTGTACAATCATCTATGACCTACATGATAGACTTGGAGTACACAATAATGCCAGACAAACACGTGATAAATGATCAACTGAGAGCATTATAGTACTAGTATGTGTGTGTGTGTGTGTGTGTGTGTGTGTGTGTGTGTGTGTGTGTGTGTGTGTGTGTGTGTGTGTATGTGTAAGTTATCTGGTGCTGGGTCTTGAGCTAATTCATACGGATCTTGTCCGCTAACAAGTATCATTGCTATGAAAATTCTGTGGGTGCTGCACATCCAGTGCATTTGCAGATTTGCGTCTTCTCTTGTGACTGGTGTGTATGGTACATGGTACCTGGTGACGTAGTGGTGTGTGTGTGTGTGTGTGTGTGTGTGTGTGTGTGTGTGTGTGTGTGTGTGTGTGTATGCATGTATGTGTGTGTCTTGCATGTGCTGAAGCTGTACACTCCGTGTACAAACGACTACGGCAGTAACATACTTGTACATACATGTACTAACATACAGCGCATACTTGTACATGTACATGTATAAGGCGTTAGTTTCGGTGTAACTTGTAAAAAGATCCGGTAGAGAAACCAGGCACCTACAGTCCATTTCAAAACTATAGACGCATAGGGTTTTTGAAATATTTCAAATTTGGCTGGAACTTTTTGAGAATAGTTTTCGGAATATTGCTCAGGTCCGCTCCACAATTTACCTCATATAGTTTCTAAACGATTGGATAACAGACGCCCAATTTGGAAACATTTATACACAAAGTGATCACAGATTTTATGTGGTATAGATGCTGGCATAACGGTTTTTGCCTAGGTACGCGTCTATAGTTTTGAAATGGACTGTACATGTTTAACTGCATATAAATTTAGATTACACCTGAACGGCACTTGTAGAGTAAAGGGAATGTTGGTCACCTAATTTTACATTACCCCTGAAACCTGACAGGTTCCTGACAACAATTTTTTAAATACACCTAAAATGCAGTGATGTAAAGGAATATTCGCATATTCGGAATGATTCTAGAATACCGACACCAGAAAGAATATTCGAAAGCAGGCAGTGCCATTCGAATATTCTCTTCCTCGACATTTTGTGCTGCTTTGCTGTATTATGCAGCTCCGACCATGATCTCCTCTGTAGTGTTGAGGATAAGAGAGAAGAAAATTATTATGTTCTGAGAACTGTTTAGCTTGTTCTTTGATCAAAATTGCTCTTTCACCAGTGGATATTTACAATCCACGTGATCTGTAGACAGCATAACTGTTGGGTCTGATTGAGTGACGTGACTGAGCCACTTCAGATGAATATAGAATATTCGTTCGTTCGCCCAAGCAACATTCAAGGGAATACTGTAAATTTACAAAATTTCGGCGCTGCAAAATTTCGGCACGTCACGATTTTTGACATTTCGGCGGCGATTTATTTTCGGCGTGGGGTAGAGGGCATGGTGTAGTGCGACAGATGCTGTGAAAAATTTCATCGGCGTTTTAATTTAGGCGTTTTGGGTCGGTGCCGAATATAGCCGAAATTAAATAGCTGCCGAAAATTTTGTATATTTACAGTATTCGTTCGAAGAAAACACCATTTCATGCATCACTGCTAAAATGACATGTTATACTGTAGTCTATGGATCTGCCGCTAGGATTTACCGGGTGTTAGCGGCCGTCGTGAGTTCCCTTCGGGAACGGATACGATAATTTACTTTTTTTTAAATTTTTTTTTATGGATTCTTTGGACAGTCTGCACGCGGACTCAGAAGAATGATCGGAAATGTACACTGTAGTAATAGTATTGTGTTGTTCAGTTCAAGAGCAAGTACACTTGAAACATGCACATGCACATGCACATGTACTGTACATGTATGTACAGCGTACAATGTACAAATGTACATGTACATAGTCATTGTACACTAATACTATACATGTAGCAGGTGCCTGAACTGAAGTCAAACAAATCGCAGTATGAATTCAGGAAGGCACTGGGTGTGGAGCATACTGCACGGGGGGGGGGGGGGGGCAGTTCACAGACATCCTAACACCTAAAGAGTAAAAGCCGTAACTACATGATAATAATTATTATTAGTTTAGAAATGGCAGCTCTAGCAACATGGTTATGCATGTAGTGTGCGTACACTACTCACTAGTAAACAAGTTTGTGCATTTATGACCCCCTCTTCTCCCCCCCCCCCCTCCCCTGAGGAAGGGTTTTTCATATTGGCGCGAGAGACTGCACAAAAATCAAAAACATGGCCGGCTACATTTGCAAAGTTAGGCATGTGGGGGGGGGGGGGGGGGCGCATGTGCTGAATAATGAATGAAGCCTAGCTGACCCAAGGGCCACTTTCCGGCATTGTTTGACACACCTCCATCACACCTCTTATCCCTGCACTAGCAGTCTAGCACTGACCTGATAACATAATCATTCACCACAGGTGCTGTACTGTTGTTGCGCTTCATCACTACAATCATGTAGTCACTAGCACTGTACTTGCGCAGTCACATGACTTGTAGACTGCAGTGCAGTACAACAGTGCAGTCTAGTGATGATGAATGGAAATGAAGAGGCATGGGTACACGCAACGTGGAAGCTACGGCCTACAGAGTCAGCAGGCTACACTGTTCTTTCACAGAGCATCTCAACAGGAAGTGCATTTGTGGCAATAACAATTGTTTTCCTTGTCAGCCTAGCAGTGGGCTGAAATCGCGGCCTTGAAGCCTGGTAAAGAGGCTTGTGGATCAGAAGGCGGCCTAGAACATGAAACACACATGTATTGAAAAGCAATTCACTTGTACTCATGTGAATTCAAGAATAGCTCAAACTGGAACAATACTACATTACACAACACTGCATGAATGTCCGTCCTGCATACGTACAGGAAAGAAATTCACAATATATACTAGTAAATGCAAACATGCCACTAAACGTGACTAAAAAGTGCACGTGAATGTAGGGGCGGATCCAGGATTTTGTGAAGGGGGGGGGGGGGGTGTCAACTTTTGCAAACAAAGCTACTGCACACCCCGGCATCATGGCTCCCACTCTGCGGCCCGTCACATCTATAACTTACAATGCACATGTACATGTGTGTGAAGCCACGTCATTATGCATGTACAGTTGTGGCAAGTGAAATCCGACACTTGGCATAAGGGACTGCACCGTGCATCCTGCAGCCTCTGCAGCCCTGCATGCGTATACAGTACATGTGCTGCATACAACTTTATCTGTCTGATGACAGAATTCGTACTCATCACAGTCAAGGTTCAAAAGGTGCTGGCAAAAATGAATGGGAATTGGATACCAATACTCCTTATGTGTACAGTCAGACCTCGCTTAACCGCACACATCTGTTTTCCACAAAAATATCCGGATAGGCGAGGGAACCGGATAACTGAAAACACATACTGTATATGCATGTGGCATGTCAAAAGCAGTGACATCGTACATACATGTAGACAGGTCCTATGCAGTACAACTAGCGTGCATAGTGTGTAAAACAAGCGAGAAAAACGACAAGTGCATGCAACTGAGTGCTGTCCACATGCACCCAGCAGGTCAAGGACCTCATTTGCCTGTACAACTCCCTGATTCTAGCTTCTGCAAGCCAAATGCAACTGGATACGACGAAGCTTTTTGTACACATTTCAACCAGTTTGTACACAAAATCATGCACCGGTATGCGGATCGCGAGGTCCGGTTATGTTGTATGCATAACATATGCTGCACATCGGTAACCAGCGATTTTCTTCCGGATAAACGAGGACCGGATAAGCGAGGTCTGACTGTACCATGTTTGTGAACTGTGTGTATCTAAGCTGTGACCTTTCGACCTGTTTGGGATGCATACGGCTCTATAGTACAAATAATAATTAGGTGCAGTGCATTACATCATTGATGTCCATTTGAGGCGCTGTCCCCTATGGCAAGTGTCGGATTTCACTTGCCACAACTGTACTTGATTGTATGACATCGCCACACAGTATGTGTGACAGTTTTCACCTTTGTGTTAGTTCTCACCTTATACTGTAAAAGCCATTATTCTAACGAGGCGCATATAGCGATTTCCCAAAATTGACTAGTTTACGTGTACCAAAGGTACCGTAGTTCCGCGGATATAAGCCCATGGGCTAATATACGAAATAATGCATTTTCCCGGAAAAAAATCAGTAATAATGGTTCGTTCTTTAGCCCTGGGCCTATATTCGAATTTTGAAGGCAGCTGGCACGCGAAAAAGTACAAGTTCGTGCGCGGTTGTCCGCCTACCGTAGGTACCGGTACTGGTAATGTAGTCTGCACTGACATGCTGTACTATCGGTTCCGTAACGGTGTTTGGGTCTGTTTATTAGCCCATGGGCCTATAAACGGAGGTGGGCTTATATCCGGATATAGGCCCATGGGCTTATATGCGTGGAACTGCGGTAACGATTTTCACTCATTCTCAACGCTCAATAGGACAGTGTACGTATCGATTTCTGTATAACGATTTCTATTTTAACGACAGATTTCTCCTCGTTAACTCGTTAGAGTTAGCACTTCGTTATATATATGGCGTTTACAGTACATGTTACTATCTCGCGCTATTGCGCGCGCATCTTCTATCATATAAACTCATTTGTTCATTGAAAGATCATTCTTCACTATCAGTTCATCAGTCTGTTACATTGGTAGCAGAGGATGGTTTTTCCACCGCGGAAACTCTGCTGGGCCTGGTATCTGCAATCGTCGTGACAACCTGCGTTCTGCTGCTCTATATTGTGCTGAGGACCACCGTGACTTTGGACCGACTGCTCGCCAGTTCATCGGGACAGTGCCAGCATGCCGTGCCTCAAGAAGCAACTCACGCTGCAGAACAGCCAGAGCACCGATGCTATCGGGGACAATCTCAAACTGGCCCAGGCCATCGAACAGCAGTTCGACCACCGCCGACCTTCAGTGGCAACTCCGCACAGTTTCGAGAATGGGTATTTGCAGTGGAACTCGCCTTGCAATCCCACGGCTTCGCTTCTCCTGAACTGGAGCTGAACTATGCTGCCAGTTTCCTGGAGGATAACGCCCGCCTATGGCTCATGACGTCGTTGGACAGTGGAGAGCAGTACAGAGTGGAGCGGTACAGAGATTGGGAAGCAATGCAGGATGCGCTAGAGAAGACATATGGGCCTCGGCATGATGCTGAGCAGGCGAGACTCAAACTGTTTGCCGTGGAGTACCGTGGCCGTCTCGACGAATACATCACACTCTTTTCCCGTCAGAGCTTGCAGGTGCCTGAAATCCATGAGCATTCAAGGGCTCTATTATTTGTTAGGGGCTTCTGCTGGGGTTACGGAGACAGCTGTTGACGGAATACCAAAATCCCTTCCGGAAGCCATCAAGGCAGCTGAGACTGCAAGCCAGAGCTGGTATGCCCGAGACCGACAATTTCTTGGCAGTACCAGGAACCATTCAACTACTAGTCCAAGATGACGCAATCCTCTGCAAGGCAGAACGGCTTCAGCCAGGGTGCAAGAAGGAGAGCCCGATCGTCGCCGCTGGTGGTCCTGCGGCAATCCCAACCATGTGGCAAGGGACTGCCCGGAGGCTCAATCTCACCCAAACGGTGGAATCCAGTGGAGAGAAGCGTGCGCTCACTGGCGAAGCCTACCGCACCCAAGGAGGTTCACTTGGACATACACAACCTCCACCGCCACCTATCACAGACTTAGACGGTGCTACCCGTTACATTGTGGATAGCATCATCAATCATCGGACGTATTGTAGACAGCTACAGTACCTAGTGAAGTGGCGCGGATATGAGGAAGCAACCTGGGAGCCGGTAGGTAACCTCCAGGACGAATCTGGGCGAAAAATCATTCCCTTGCAACAATATTTGAAGAGCCTTGAATGACTTGATTCATTACGGAGGATTAGCAAGACGAAATTCGCGTTCGCGTTCGCAAACATTTTTCAGTTCGCGAACTGGATTGCGAACTTTCGCATTTTTCGTTCGGAAAAGTAGTCGGAACACGAATCGCTGATTCGTGCCAGGGCAGTCAAAAATTTACCACGCTGTACTGTCTGTACACAATGTACGTCGTGTCAACGTCATGCATGTGCGAATTCTGTTTGCTAATCCTTCTCATAACGCGAATTCCGTCACTGAGTTCGACTTTCCTTGGAGAGCGAACGCGAACACGAACTTCGTCTTGCTAATCCTCCGTATTGAATTCCACCTTATTCTCGCGTTGGGTTAAGTTGGGCTACTGTTCGCAGCTGCTTCACCCCTCTATTCGCACTGGTCGAAATGTACCTGTACACATTCTCCTCGCATTTATGTATCACTCACATCTGCTCATCTCACGTCTTATATAATCAGGGCATATTCCGCTTGAGTGGGCTGACCATTTCTTCAGTTGTATTTCAGATGTTGTGTATTTACCGAAGCCCGCTGGCTTCGAGGAGGAGTGGAATGGTGTGACAGTTTTCACCTATGTGTTAGTTCTCACCTTATACATGTTACTATCTCGCGCTATTCGCATCTTCTATCATATAAACTCAGGCTCATTTGTTCATTGAAAGATCATTCTTCACTATCAGTTCATCAGTCTGTAACAGTATGCACCTGATTAGGCTAGTGTCCTATTCACCGATGCAGAACATTGGGACTTCTGGTATATGGTCAGATGACCCATAAATACTAGCATACAACTGTTTCGAGTATAAAACTCTCGCCAGTGAAGGTAGACATTGTAGAATGGCAATGATAGCGAAAAATCTACCTTTGGTACGGAACTGGTCTCACGTTATTACATTGTGCATCGGTTATAGGGTGGTCGTGGAAAAGAATATGCTGCCTACAAGAATGAACTAGCTCTCATATTTTTATAATCATTACACGGGTTTCCAGTGAACATTTATTCTTACAAGCAATGTTATCGCATAGTAGAATATATCGGTCCTAAGAATGGACTTTGTGTAGCAAAAATTGCCAGATTAGTACAACGTGTATCGCCTGTAGTAATAACATCTGTCCAATGCAGTTCTGATCCGACTCGCATTGCATCGTTGTGCTGCAGGTTCAACTGTTGCCGTCATGTAACCCATACTGCATAGCCACATGGTAAGCTTATGGGACTATGTATACCCGCATGCACAGCAGCGATACGTTGCATGTATGATGGCCTTCCTAGTTCCTACCTCTGCGCACATGCATATGGCATAACACACTAGATTTATCGCGCGAAAGAAATATTTGGAAATAAGAACAGAAAGTCGTTTCTCAAACACCCACATTATAACCGATACCTGCTGTACTTGCCATGCTGTGCTGTCAGCCGAATTCACACATGGTTATTACAATATTTGCCAAAAAATCCGTCAGACGCTGCATGCATCGTAGTCAACTACCATATGCAGCACTGGCCGGATTTTTTTGGCAAGTATTGTAGTTTCACGTCTTCACATTATCACCAGTTTAGTTTTTCACCTACTGCACCTACTGTTCCACACACAAATATCAGTGAAAGTAGGAAAGGCAACTGCCAATCCGTTTCTCAGCACCATCGGCACAACCCCCACCCCCCCAGCCCAGGGGATGGCCTGAGCCCTGTTCATTTTATTTGTTACCTGGAGGCAGCACTGCGCCAAGTGAGAGCAAACCCGAACGCCCTTTCGCCGACCGTCACATTCCTGGAGAAACAGGATACGCCGATGATGTGACGTTGTACTCAACCAGTGAGGAGTAGCTGAAGCGAAGCCTCCCCATCATTAGCGCAGAACTCGGGGGTTGGTCCCTTACAGTAAACGAGACCAAGACCGAATTCTTGCATCTGACATCCACTTCAGACTCCTGGCGGTCCAGCAGGCAGCTAGGGTCCCTCATTGGCGACAGTGAGGACTTGCAGCGGAAGAAAGACCTCGCTTCCAGTGCATACGGCAGGATGTGTAGCCTCTGGCTGAGGCGTGGGAAGGTCAGTGAGCAGAGGCGCATCCGACTGTATAATGCCCTGGTTCTGCCCGTCCTTCTGTATAACTGCGGCGCATGGAGGCTCACGGCGGCACAAGCAGAATCAGTTAACGCATTCCACCAGAAGGAGCTCCGACGGCTCATTGGCATAGTCTACCCAGCGAGGATATCAAATACTGAGCTGTATGAGAGGTGCAACACGGAACCACTATCTGACATCGTGGACAGGAGAAGATGGCAGCTAACCGGCCATATATTCTCCGTATGGACAGGAATGCGCCGCCATGGATCGCGCTGGCGGGCTATTTTGCAGGAGATGCCAAGGCTGGGTGTGGACGTCCAAGGACATCCATTGCGACACGCGTCACAAGCGACTTACAGAGAATGAACATCGACTTGAAGCGCAGCAATCAGCTGGAGAATGTGAGGGCCGTCGCTCTGGACAAGCCTACATGGAGAAAGCTGGCCGACAATCCATGATCTGGCGTCACAGGTCATCAGTGCACCATATTAATATCTTGATAATGGAATTTGATCATAGGAGATAGGACAGAAGCGGAACGTAATTATATTATTACGCGTGCTGTGGTATTACTATTATTAGTTTTTCACAGTGTTTTGCACTTGGTTCTTTTGCTTAGCCCTAATCTTCGCGCCTGAGGCGTGCACATTATGCGTACCCCTTTGAGTACAAAAGGGTGGCTTTCACTACCATTGCCATTCTACAATATCTACCTTCACTGACGAGAGTTTTGTACTCGAAACAGCTGTATGAAGGAATTCAGTGCGAACGGATGTGTCCGCGGCTTTGCTGGTGGTATGCTGTGGCAACGTATCAAGGCTGGCTGGTGAGGGCAGTAATGGCTTGGTGGTCGATGAAAAATCTGAGTAAGGACAGTAGCGTGTGGTCAGTCATCCATGTGCTATACATGAGGTGGCTTGTGCTGTAGCTGTTAATATGAGAGTCCAGCATACATGGACATGATTGTACATGTAGCAAACAATCTATGAACCAGTACTACCAGTACAGAGTTCAGCACGGGGTACCACAGCTCTACTGAAGATCAGCGTGGCGGCCACTGCTATGGCAACCACACACTGAAATGCTTTATGCTGGGTAAGTGTACATTGCGAGCTGTCTGATTGACACAAGCGAGATTTGATATTATTTTTAAAAACACGCAGGAAGATGCTTACGGTAAGATTGCAGAACGATGAAGTCCAGACGCCGCAGTATTTACGGAAAGTGGAAAGGATCCGGATATCATTTCCCAGATGCTTCATGTGTCTCTGAGAAGTTGCTTGACAGAGACCTCGCACATGTCACCCATGAGTGGCTTACTCGCTTCAATCCTGCCCTGTCTGGATAAAGACAACCCGAAAAGCACAACAGCACCGAATACTGTCAACGGAAATGACAGTGAACGGAGTATATTCGAATATATTCATTTCTATCAGGTTCGGCCTCATTTCTCTGTGCCCCACTGATGAGTCCACAAAGGATGAAACAGTTCTGTCTGCAGATTGAGTACATTTAAAGTGTGTACCAAGTGAAAAAATCGCACTGTCTTCTATACAAACATATGCATGGCTCCTATAAAAACATGGTTTGAATAGCAGCACGGATAGTTGAAGAGTGGATAGACACATTAATGTACTTTTGTGCATCGGTCATGCATAACATTGTGGTTTAAATAGAAGTATGGTCCAAGCACCGGCTTTTGCGGTCTTTTGCACTGGTTTTATATGTGGCTTTAACCTATAAAAAGCCATATCTAGTCATTAAAAACACCCGAATGCCACACCAGTACACAAGTACACCAATACCACAGCCAAAGCAGCACAACATGCAAAGGCTAGTCTCCAGTGAAGAGACTGAGACTGCTATCAAGCATATCCAGAACCAAAGGGCACCAGGAGTAGATAGCCTGCCACTGTGACGAGCTCCTCAAGTATGGAACACCAGCTCTTAGCTCTATTACTGCTATTATCAACCACACATTCACCTCAGGTTATGATCTATCCCATATCACGGGAAGCGGATGTCTGATACCATAGGCAAAGCCAGGAAAGTTCTGTGGACCAGTCCAGAGTTGATGGCCCATCGTGCTGTTGAATACAAACTGCAAGGTCATGATAATAGTACTTGGACGAATTTCCAAATCTGTCACACGGTTCCTTAGGCCATGTAATCTGGCTTTCGTGGTGGTTGCAGCACAGCTGATGTCAAATGGACCCAGCGTTGGGTGGCAGCCAAGGCACAATGGTACGCATAGCAGTGCCATAATTATGTAAGGCCAGGACATGTCGAAAGCCTTTGACCCTATCGACCGAACAACCCACGTCGTATCCAAAGGGGCATAGGTACACGTTGTTGCTGTGCTGGCTGCCTTCGCTCCTCTCTCTCTCTCTCTCTCTCTCTCTCTCTCTCTCTCTCTCTCTCTCCTCCGCCTCCTCCTCACCTCAACCACTTCTCTTCTCTGCTGTCTTTCTTCATCTTGTTGTTACAGCTCATGGAACAATTCATCGAACATCAGCGATCGTGCCTTGCTAGCAGCTGACGGCAAGCGTTGCTGACGGATGGCTGGCGTCTGAAAATAGCTGCGGTCTGTTGGCCTATGACACCAGCTTCGACAAGAGACCTGGCGAGTGGAAACTGCTGCGGTGTGTCTGCTGTTTCTGCTGCTTGTTCGTCAACATGGGCAAGGTGAACAGTTGAGGGCTGCATTTCAGTGATGGGTACCGCGTCTCTGTTCAAAGGATAAATGCCAGTCATTGAAGAGCTTGCGGTGATTGTGGCTGGCGTCACAGACTTCGTGAAAGCCTCGGCAAATAATAGGGACGAAGTCGTTGATGCTTAGTTTGTGGTCAGGCTTTAGAAGGCGAGCGGCAGTACTGACTGACTTGTGGTGTTCCGATAAACTTGCGAAGACTGCCCGATCCAGCGGCTGGAGAAGATAGGTTGTCTTTGGCGGAAGTGCTAAGAAAAGAACATTATTCTTCCGTGCCATGTCAATGACCTTCATGTTTTTTTTTTTTTTTTTTTTTTTTCTACAAAATCCACATATCTCCAGACACTGGGGTGAATGATGGAGTGTGGTGGTGGGGCCCATTAAGCTCCGCCGACCAGAGGTCTCGGCTTCATAGCTCCATGGACGCACCAAAGGGATATTGGGTAAGGAGGATTAAATTGAAAAAGAAAACAGAAGAAAGAAAATGGAAAGATTGTATTGCTCAGTGAGCAAAAGAATAAGTTGAGTATTGATGTGAACGCTGTTAGACTTTTAAATTCAAGAGGAGACTGTCCGTGAGGAGAGATTACATGTATGTCCAAGCAGGGTAGGACACTGTACCCTCTTACTCGCGTATGCTATGAGTGGCCCAGTGCCAGTTCGTTCTGAGGAGATGGTGATAAGCTGCTGTCTTGAACTTTTGGATGTTCTTTGGGTGAAATGGGTGGGGAATGATAGAGGTAGGCAGCTGGTTCCAAATTGGGATGACGGAGTGGGGAAAGGCTCGGCTCACATTGTTCCTGGAATTGGCAGGAAGAACATTCTGTAACTGATGGGGATGCGCGGTGGACAGTCGTACAGCCTGGCGGGTGAGGCGTGTGGTCCTGGGTTGGTGTGTCGGGGGTGGAGCCATTCTCGAGAGAAGAGCGGGAGAATTATCGCAAAGGGCTTTATACAGGAGGCAGAGGGCAGCGATGGTGCGGCGAATTATGAGGCTAGGAAGCCAGCATTGCGGATGTATTGCCTTGATGGCTCGCTCCTGCACCCAGTCCAGCCGATTCAAGTGGGAAGAAGCTGCCCCCATCCAGACGATTGGGCAGTACTCCATAACCGGCCGGACAAAGGCTTTGTAGGCTCGAAGCCGGGCAGGAATAGTCAGCAAGTGAAATGCCTTGCGCAAGGCTCCAAGTCTCTGCGTTGCTCGGACTACAACAGTTCGGATATGCTGGCTGAATTTTAGCTGATGGTCAAACGTGACGCCGAGTACCTTGATGGAGGGCTGCTCCTCGACAGGAGTTCCATTGAAGACAATGGGGGGTATTGGCCAGTCCCGACGATGGTGGGAAATTGTAAGGGCCTGAGATTTGGCTGGCTCGAACTGCACTTTCCAATCCGAGCCCCAACTGGATACTAGGTCGACAGCAGGTTTAGATGACTATAGTGGTTGTCCATGTTTACCAGGTGTGTCTTGTTGCGAGGTGTGAATTCCAGGAATATCTCCGTAAACCAGTCGTAAAACAACTCTCCGGCCATCGATCCTTTGGCGCTTGTCGAATAGATTGCTCCTGGTGACAGGAATTCAGCAGAAAACTAGCAGGTGTCACACACACTGCATTCTTGTTGTCTGTATCAGTACATATGAGCTGCATTATTAATGGCGTGATCAGCGAAAACGACCCTTGGAGATTTCTGAACTTTTTCGAGAAAAAGGTCGATTTGTGACGTTCAACGATTTGTTGATCGCACTGCGAACAGCGCGTCGCGTTCTTTACTTCTTGAACTCCTTGCTTGAAGCAAATGTTTAGAAGTTAGTTGAAGTCGTGTCGAGTGGCGACTCAAGTGTTCCTTGATCTTGACGCGATGGCTGCGAACGCCAGAGCTGCTCGCAGAGCACGCGCAGCGGTCATTGTGTACAGTTTGAGCCTGGTCGGAAGTGGATGCTGAAGTAGCTGCTGAAGTTCAGAGTGAGGATGAGACGTTCTTTGGTTCCGACATCGATGTTGACAGCGAGGCGGAATCGCAGCCGCCATCTCCTGCTGCGAAGCGGCTCAAGGTGGCGGATGACTCGTCAGAGTCAGAAGATAAGGAGTCGTCCTCTGAGATAACATCTGTGTCTGAGGCTACTGATGGCAGCGACACCGTGTCTTCAGCTGCGGAGGAAGAAATGGAAGGTGATATTGTGGAACGGCTCCACGCTGGATGCAGCTGCGAATGAGTCGATCATTCCGTCCGCAATCTTCAGCCATTATTTGTTATTCTAGCTGCTTACTGTACTATTTCAAAGGTATTCCAGCTGCCCTCCCACTATTAGGACGCTGAATATTCATTGCACACATACATGTACATCGTATACATACATTGCACCAATTTGGAGTACATCTTGTTACTTTCTTGTATATTGGTGTAGACCCGGTTTAAATCGGAATGTTGGACTTTTTCTTGGCAGCAGATGTGTTTCAACAAATTTCTAACTGAAAAGGAATTTTGAAAATGTTGACTCTCTAAGGGCTGTTTTCGCTGGTTGATGCCCATATAATAATTTTAAATTATACGTTTCACAAGTGTATCTGTGCTCTCTGCTGCACACAGTACTAACCCATGTTACTACTTGCTAAATTGTTGCTCAATGTGTAGATATCTATTGCATGCAGGTGTTTAAATTGTTTGCTGCAATTATATTTTGATGTACAGTAAAACCTGTTAGGTTCGGTAGACAAGAGACAAGTAGTTTATTGGTTAGAATATACGAAGTAGAAAAACTGACAAGATTCAATCTGTAAACGACAGAGAAGACCTTCAAAGTTCCTGGTCTGTCTTCCAGCCGGACTTGTTTATCACGTAGCCGCAGAAATTGATCTCGGTCTCGGCGAAAGCAAACTTCTTGGCTGACAGGGTGATACCATACCGACGAGCGCGTTGAAGAACTTCACGAGTTCGTTCCAGGTGCTGCTCAAAGGAATCAGTGAAGACCAGGCAGTCATCCACGACCTTGGAGAATTGCTCAATACCAGCGAATGCTGCATCGGTCCGCTGGTTGAATTCGTCGCCAGCAGAAATCAGACCTTGTGGGTTCCGCAGGTACTGATATCTGCCCCACTGTGTGATAAATGTGGTCAAGCTTCTGGACTCCTCGTCCAAGGGGACCTGCCAGTAGCCGTGGCGAGCATCCAGCTTGGTAAAATACTGGGCATTACCAAGGTTAGAAACAACATCGCGAGGTGCGCGCATGGGATGCGCGGGCCGGGCGACTTGCTTGTTAAGCTTAGTGAAATCCACCGTCATCCGGACTTCTGCAGTGCCTTTCTTTTCGGCTATGACGATGGGGTGACACCACTCCGTTGGCTCTGAGACCGGTGCGATGATGCCATCTGCGACCATCTTGTCCAGCTGGAGTTTCACCTGGTCACGATAGGCGTAAGGTAACCAACGGGCATTGTTCAACTTGAACGGCTGGGCGTCAGGCGCGAGTTGGATGTGCATCGGCTGACCGTCCATGGGTCGGAGCGTGTCCTCTGCAAATACGTCAGCGAACTCGTCGAGGAGGTCCTGGCGGATACGTACACGCTGGTCTGGTGTAGGGTTGCTGTGCTCTGCAGAACGGGATGTCCCTTGTGTCACTGAAGCGATCTG